ATCCATCGTTACCCCGACATTCATACACACGCACTTTGGTGGGACCGCTTTCGTCCAATGCATGCCGACTGCTTGATGAGCATCGGCAGTCAGGGATATTCTTCCTCTTCCAGGATCTATCTGTTCGAACGGAAGGTATATCTTCATTACCGCCCTGGACATTCTTCTATCTGACGCCCTGGGGTATCTTAGGAACCTTCCGGCTGCGTTTACGTCTAATGAACGTTGGCGAGTAAGAACCGTGGTGTTATGCTTGGGAGATAACAACAACAATTGACATTCCATTTCCAGACTGCCAGCACCGGAAGCGGGTGCAATGCGAGTACATACTCATGTTTCACCGGTCCTTGCGCAAACGTTCACCGAACCCTTCGTCGTTTTCTCAGCCAAGCGCTTCCCAGGAGTTCCCGGTATGTTCTAAATTGCCGGTCTTAATCCAGAAAAAGATTATAACCTCCTATGGGGCGCAGATACGACCGCGCTGTCAATTGCTTTTGGTAATCAAGGCCAGAAACTACCGCTGGTAAGATCCTTCCATCCTCCGTCTGAGCCGGAGGCTTAGAAACTCGCTATCATTGCAGCGAAATCGCCACGGAACTAATAAGCATGGGCGACGACGACGAGATGGCGATTCCGACCCCTCTGATGAGTCAGAAGATAGTTGATGGGAGTCACGTAACACCGTACTGCCTTTGGCCTTTGATCTTCGTGTTCAGACAATGTAATCACCACTGCATCACTAATGCCTCCTCTACCTCGCAATGTACTCCGTACTTGGTGCCATGTACCTTCGTCTACCACCCATCGTCCTGTGTCGTCAACGAAGATTTCCGTGCAATCCAACGCTCGTGCAAGCGAATAGCGTGAATTGTGTCAGGATAATTGAGATAAATGCGGTCAAGCATTTCTCGCGCAGGGTTTCCACGAGTGAAAGCGTCGTCAGAGTCAGGGTCTAGTGCCTGTGGCGCTGAGCTACGGTCTCCCACCGGCTGGACAAACATCCCAGATTCCAGATGGCGCAGCACACCTGACAGCAGGACAAGTACAGCACGATGAGGGCGCCAAACATTCCAGGAAGGGGATATCTGGTGTAGTATGTGTAATGGATGAGCAAAATCATCCGAGGTTGGATCCATTTCTAGCGCGTCACCGGATCTCTTCGTAGCCACTTTCGACTGATAAGCTCGCCGCTCACTCCGGTGCATCGGCGACTGAGAAACTGGTTTACTGACATCTGCGGGATTGGTATCGAAGGTGAAGAGGGAATTAGGAAATAAATCTCTGTCACGGAGTACAGCCTCGCTCTGACGCTGATAGGGTAGCAATACTCGCTCAACTATTTCGAAGGCCCGCTCCGGCTCTGCCGCACGGACCAGGGCCACCGCCAAATGGTTCCAGTTATGTGAATCGAAGCTGAAGCCATGAGATCTCGCTTTCCCCCACATCTCGGCAATCACAAAGTGTTCCCCAGCCGCAGAAAGTGCATCAATATAGATGGATAGGGGTGCACAGAGAAGATTACCCTGACGTTTCGTGGGGTCGGAAGGATTGTTATCTTCTCCATCGAAAAGAGAATCTGTCTTCGAAAGACGTAAGGCGAGTTGCCATATTTGTGGCCAAAGCCCATGGACGGCTTCAATGTCACCAGAGCGACGGTAGGCATCGAGGAGCACTGCCAAGCTGGCCAACGAAGGTTCTCCACCCGCATCCAACATAGATTGGAACAGCCGCTCCACCTCCTCCGGTTTATTAGTTTTCGTATACGCAAGCATGAGGGGACCGTGGACGTGCTCAAGCGCTGCTGCGCGAGTCTGAGGAGGGATCCACGACGCCGAAGACTCACCAGCCATGATGGTCTTCAAGAAGCCCTCTGCAATCTGAAGGCTTTCTTCGGTTCTCTCGTTACCATAAGCGCGAAGGATATGGTAGAATGTGGCGGATGTAGGTTGAATGCCTCGCTCGCACATGTCGTCATAAACAGCCTTTGCACTACGCTTGTCACCCAGCCGCAAATGACCAGCCATGATGATCGTCAACACGAAGGCATCAACGCGGTAAGTTGTCTGCCAGTCTTTTGAGGCTGATTGCATCTCGGCAAAAATCTTGTTGGCGATGTTCATGTATCCTGCGTCGCAGGCCGACTGGATGATGAGGGTATACATCCGTCCATTCGGCTGTATGCCCATAGCTTCAAGCTTGCGAAATATTGTAGAGACGACATGAAAAGGGGCGCCGATAAGGACGTAAGCCTTCAACAGGGTATTGTAGACTTCTACTGATAGCCGAAGGCGAGGATTTCGTGATGATTTGAGGTAGTCAAAAACGCGCACTACTGCCGTCCAAGAACCGGCTTCTACGTGGGCATTCATAAGAGAGGTGATCATTTTGCGATCAGGAGCTATCCCTTCACGTAATGCACGTTTGTAAATGGCTTCCGCGGATACGGGGTCCTTCCTATGTGCGAGAAGAGATATGACAGTTGTGTACAAGACACGAGTGGGCATAATTTTGGCGGCGCGCATCTGATCCAAAACGGCAGAGACAGATTCTACTTCTCCACGCGCAGCAAAGCTTTTGAGGATGATGCTGTAGACGTAGATATCAGGAGTGTGTCCAGCTTTCGACATAGCCTGAAGCCAAAAATTGAGCCCGTCGTAATCCGCGCGCTCTGCGTGTGCATACACCACAATGCTGTAATGTACGATCGAAGGCTTTGCTCCGACCCGTGAATTCTTTGGGCCAGGGAAGAACTCGTGAAATAGTTCGACGACTTTGCCCACTCGTCCGGCAACTGCATATCCATGCATAAGAGTGGCTCTATCCTGCGACGTAATCCACCGCGCTGTGCCGAGTTGAGAATAGTACTCCTCGGTGCGGTCGATGTCACCCTGATGTGCCGCGAGGAGCATTCCAGTAGAGATGAAAAATTTATGCCGGGTGCTCGTCGACTCCGATATGGTTCTGTACAGCTCATTGGCGCGAATGAAAGAGTCAGCGCGAACAAGCGAGCGGACCACTCGTAATTGCATGTCAACTTGTATCGAGATTCGCTGCGCTCGCATTTCTTTCAGCAATGCATACGCGTCCTCTGCCAGGGCTTCCTGCCATAATACGTCCAGCAGGAGGACTCCCATACGCTGTCGCGTCTCCAAACTCCAGTGTCGTCGCTTGGCCAATAGAGACGCGACATCCGGTATGTTGGCCAAAATCGAGTAAATCGTATCTTGGAACGATGAGGGTTTTACGGGAATGCCCAAAGACTGCAAACGAGTAGAAAGAGGTAAGAGATGCATCCCGATATTGGCCCACTCTGCGAGAATAAAATCGAGGACGTGCTCGCCATCTTGATGAAGCGCCATTGACCGTATAAGGGTTCCATAGATTTCCAATAATTCCTCTCTCCGCCCGTCAATAAGTAGATCCGATAATTCGCGGGCGGTAATGATTGCATGGTCCAAATCTCCTACAAATGCAGAGCCTCTCGCTACGAGTTTCAACCTCATGACGTCTTCGCTCGAATGCTTCTCGAATATGGATTCCAGCCGCTCATTCAGCGCAGCAAGTCGTGTGCCCCATCTTTGCAAGTATGAAACGCCATTGTCCTCACCACCTGCCTCTATAGCAGTAGAGAGCTTTTGAGCAAAGTTAAAGACATCTAACGATTTCAGATGTTGGTAATCGTCAGAGGCAATGAGCAGCTGGTAAGCATTCCATGCATCATCCAAGTTAAATGGGTGGTTTCCTTGCAGGAGAGACAGGAAGTGGTTCAAAGGAGAGGTTTGGACGTCCCAGTTTTCGGGACTCGGCGACGACGAAGTCGTCAAGAGATGATTAAATTGTGGAGAATTTGAACACGATGGAAGAGATGAGGAATAGCGGCGGATATTTGAAGGACTTGCAGAATGACTCAATGTTTGCGGTCGACGGGGAACGGCGTCATTGATCATTAATATATGATTTCGTCCTGTGGTGCGCTCCACTGTTAAACTTAAAAACTACCGTTAAAGGAACGACACGTACTCGGACACCAAACGGAGTGCCTCATGACGCAGCACGATTCGTGTGTTACTCCCAAGAGCCATTCGGCACATTCGGCGCACTGAGCGTAATCCACATCCTGGTCTACTGCTTTCTCTTTGCCTTTCCACTGCCTCGCGGTCGGAGTGAAAAAGTCGCGTAGTAGAGGTCGGCGTATGGACCGACCCATGTGATCCAAAGAAGGCCTTAATGCAGAAGCGCGTCCAGCGGGTGTACGCAACAAAAAACTGTTTACTACAGCTGCTGCTAAAGGCTCGATCATGAGCACCCGCACCTGGATGTGGAGTGCTATCGAAGCAGTCTTCAGACTCAAACCTGCCGAAAGTAAAACTAAGGCTTAATATATCGGAACCTTGGAGTTAAACTTGTGTAACTCACGCGAAACAAAATCAACGACGCCAGTGACAGCACCAGTAGCAAGTTGGTGACTGTCCTCACTATGTGTAACTTGGACCAGGCGTGTTTGGCCTTATTTGGCCTGTTTTTTTCGGCTTCGTGCGAACCTATACACTTGTATGTAGGTTAACTGCATAAGTATCGAACGTGGTACTTACCTACCACTCATTCGCCTGAGATTGTCCAACTTGGCCTATCTTAGTACTTAGGGGGAGGAGCAGCGTGCTCTCTTTCATTCTTGTTTCCTTTTCCCCATATTTTCACAGGTCTGAGTTCCTTTTGCCAAATACTCGCGCAGATCATGAGTTGCCACGTCGGCCCGAAAAGCTTTCCTCGGATGTTCAAGCGCTGGCAAAACTGAGACTTGACCATGATTCGCTGAGCTGCTACCGGCACCGTGAAGTTCATTTCAAGCATTTTCAATAATATCTAATCAGCTCCACATATGATAGCGCACTTTCTTCCGCATCGCCGAGCCGAAGGCTGAATTTGATCCATCGACGAAAGTCCATGTGACACCCAGGCGCCTATTAACGTTATTCTGGTTTATCCCTCTCACCCTCAACGCCAAGAGACCTCAAGAGGCCTGGTTCCAGGACTATATCTGACCGCCTTCGCAAAATAGCTCATATCATTCTTCGATATCATTTTCATTTATCAACATGGCAGATGACGCTGTTCTCCGGGTCCCGCCTCCCCATGAGATTATCATTGTTCCCCCTCCCGAGCACGAAGACCACGATGCCCTCCTCCAGCAGTGCATCCAAGTTAGGATCGCCGTTTTCGTCACAGAACAAGGGTTTCCGTTGGAAGTTGAAGTAGATGAGTAAGTTATCTCTTTCTAGATGACCCGCTATCTGTTTCAACTTTGATTTTTTTGGGTGAATCATAGACATGATCCGACAGCCACACATTGCTTGTTAAGACTTTTACCGTCCCTTGAGCCTATAGGGACAATCCGTGCCCACAAAGTGGAAAGCGCAGGTGGCTCATACTATAAACTTGCAAGGCTCGTCGTTCTAAAGGAATACCGACATTGTAAATTCGGACGCAATCTTGTGCTCGCATTGCATAATTGGGCAAAGGTTCATGCCAGAAATTCAGGGGTAACCGGCTATGTCAAGATGGTTTGTCACTCCCAAGCAGTCCGTGCAGACTCGGCTGGTGCTGTAGGATTTTATCGCAAGTACGACGTCATTATGAACCCTATTTGGAAACCTGACTTACCGCCGGTTATTCTCCTTAGGTTTGGCTACGAGGAACAGGTGAGGGTTATTGCCGCGAGACCTTATGACGTTGCTCATCCTATCTGTCAATCAGGGCGATCTGTTCGATGAAGATGGGGAACCGCATCAGAAGATGGTCGCCCGATTATCATTAGAAGAGTAATTGATTACAGCGTTCGTGTAAAGATGAAACAAGGTATAGGACATGATATACTAGGGGGAATCTACCGATACACATGAGGGAAATCAAGGTCGTAAAAAGAGCAAGTCCTGTGTCGTAAACAAAATAACATAACATAACACGATGCCCCCGAAAATGAGCTATGACGACCAAAGAACATATAGCAAGTTAGAAAAGTAGGATGTGATCATATCATGCGGAACCGGCTGACACCATCGTCAGTTGTTGCTGTCTCGCTCTCGCTTTCCGAGCTGAACGACTCCGTCTGTCTCGCTCGCAAGGCACGGAATGGACTCTCACCGCTGGGGCTGCTTGGCAAGATGCTGAAATTGATACTTGTGCCAACATCGGTTGTGCCTTCCTCGTACAGCCTCCGCGCAGCCTCGTACTCAAGTTTCTCCTGCTCGGCTTGGGCAAGGAAAGGCTGGAAAAATGTGATAAGCTAATTACGCAATTGTGACAAAGAGTTTGCCGTACCTTGCGCTCATCATCAGTCATCGATCGCCATTTGGCAGCGGCTAACACGCTTTGCTTAGTTGTCTCTTGCTCATCACCAAATATTTCCCTCACAAGGGCACGGTCGGATCGAATGCGCTGCAGGAACATGAAGTATGCGCTAAGCGGCTTCTTGGGTGCGTTGGGATCTTTAATGTTGCTCTTCCGAGAACGACCCGCCTTTCGTTGGGCAGTGCGGAAGGCATTCTCCTTCTTAATATCATCAGGAGTGAGACTCTTCATGTAGGCTGCGTTCTCGCGTTCTCGAGCCTCTTTCAGAACTGCAGACCGACGCTTGTAAGGCTGGGAGTGATTCGTGAGCTTATGGAGACTTGACAAAAGGAATGGAACAAACCTCCTTCTCTTCTGGAGTCAGATTAGCATACTCCTGACCGGCTTCCTTGGCAGCTTGTGCAACATTGAGTTTTCTCGTGCTCGTTGCTTGGTGTCGCTGTATCCAGTCTGTGAAGTAGAGCTGCCAAGCGCTCGGTGCTAATTTAGGCTGCTTGAGTATAGACTTGAGAGGAGCTATAGCCACGGGATTAGTCAAAGTTAGTAAGATAACGAGGATAGGTACATACCGGAGTCTGCTGATTTGTCTTCCCTGGAAAGTTCCTCAGTCGATAACCGCTTCTTACGTCGCACGGTTGCGTCGCGATCATCGCTGACGCTGACAGAGTCGCCACGGCGGGAACTATAATTTCTCGTCATTGACGGCATGGCCGTGTGTATTGGAGCACTTGAAGATTGGAAACCCAAGCCTAACATGTCTCGTCTGGGTTGGAATCGTTGGCGTTTGACTCCGTAAGGGTGCTCGGATAGGGGCTGATGAACACGCCCTGAGGACGTGGAGGCTTCGTATTGTGGGGAGTCCCACAATTGAGTTGCCCATGGTGGTGGTCTGAGTGAAGTGTCCGCAGGCGATATGGACGCCACGCGGAGACCTGGCGAACTAAGATAACCGTCAGAGCCGTCGGCCGGCGATAACGATCTCGGTAGCTGATGTGGTGCCGCAAATTCCGACGGCGAGAAGGACGCGTTGGGCGTAAATGTGTGATTAGGGTAGGAGAAGAGTGGCTGCGATTGCGGATCTGGGCCAGCACCACGGATGGGTATGGGAGAAGTGGGAGAGTCCAGTACAGGTTCAGTTAACCAATGGGAGAAGTGGGGACCGTCTAGATCAAGCATGGAATGCATATCATCGAACCGACCGAAAGTCGAATCATAGAATGAATTATTGGGGGATGAGTCTGTTATATCGAAGTCTGAGAGACGATGTGGAGAAGGGGTATGGTCGGATGAGGGCGGGGATAATGGGTGATGATAGCCGAAGTCATTTTGGGGATCCCACGTATGAACCATTGAGGGACTCAGTAGTGGGCCCTCATCGAACTCCAAGGGACCGAAAATCAACTGATCACCATCTGGTGACAACATATCGTATGACGAAGTGTCCAAGAAGTTCATTGAGTCTTTGATGGCTGTATCACTGGAGAGAGAGATGCGGGGAAGGGTAGAATCACGATGGGGATAACTATCCATAGGCATTATAAAGGTAGGGATGATAGGTGGAAGAAAAGAGGAACGGGATATGATTGCTTTAATAGTTGGCGGAACCACTTTGTAGGGGAGCGAATCGGAAGGGGTGACAGCGGGATGGGAGGACATGTACGAACGCCATCGGGCCTGCTTAAGAGGGGCTATCCTTAGCGGCATCCGAAACCTGAGGACAGATGCCATAATGGTGAGTTTATGACAACCTGACTCGGATTGTGATTTCTTGGGAAGTCCAATTATCCCGTACTGCTGAAAAGGGTGGGGGGTCGGTACCTAATTAGGCTAGAGCAAAGGGGGTAAAACCAATAATAAGTTTGTACTTACTTTGGAGGAAAATCCCTTACGAGCTGCTGAACTGAATTTGGAAAGAACGCTAATCCTAGTGAAATCGCAAGTTCAGGACAAGACTTGAAGCTATGCCAACTGTCTTGCGGCGTCAGACGACAACGAAAAATGTGCAAACGTTGCAAATTGGAGGCAAAGGTTTAGCGTAAAACTAAAGCGCGACCTGCCCTAAATCTATGATCTACTCTTGGTATCTTTGAACCGAACATATGGTGCACCATTTACATCGCCATTCGCCACCGGTAGAACTAACCCGCGCGATATAGCAATGGCGGGACCAGATCATAATAATGCTGTGTGGCGCCCCTCTGTCTCTCTATTCAATGGAAGCTGATCTAATAATTTGATTGTGAATCTACAAAAGAAACTAATCATAATCATAACACCACAATCGATTCTGCCGAACGATATCGTGCATTGTTATAAACACTTTTACCAGGCTGAGTTTCAGTGATTGGGTATGAGATACCGGGCGAGGCGTATCCTTTCATCAGATTTATACAGTCATATTTTGTCATCAAGCTTACCTCCCATCCTTTAACGTCCTTCATAATCTCTCGCTCCCGTTCCAATGCAGCTTCCTGCCGACGATACGCATCTCGATCCCCCTCCGCCACCAACAAGGGAACAAGGTGGATACGAGACCAAACTTTCTCTCTTTCCAGTTCCCTGTCGGGAACAAACCCCAAATCAGTTTAGTTGGCTTTTTCTGGTACGGCCCTTGTACGGCCCGTAAAATTATGCATGATAAGAACAGCGGCCGGATCCTCACAAGGGCACGTTTAATGGCGAGCGCGCCATGAAAAGACACGTTTTATAGCCTGCTGACTCCAGACGCCATTCTCTCGGTCTTCAAAAGATAAACTTACCTTCTTTCTAGGTTTCCCATCCCAACACGATAGAATCCATATGCACACACGGCTGTCACAGCCCCAAGAATGACTAGGCCACTTGGACCACGAAAAGGAAGGTTTCGTTTGTACTTGACTGCCTCGAAGCCCCCAGGCGGAGGCATGTCTCTGCAAGGACTACGCTTTAGCTCATAGCCATCCTGTACAATGTATTACACGCACTGTCGGTACTGTATAGACACTAAGTTTTTGTAACAGTAGATTAGCGCTGTCCTCATTAATAAATCAATGACTCACTCGTTGAATGGTTGGGCGCGTCGTGGAGGATGATGGTGGTGAAGGCAGCTTCCGGATTCGCAACAATGTGAATTATCACGTGATAAAATAGAGACCTGCCCTAACCTCCCGCCGCCATGCTGTGTTACTTATCACATCTATCGAATGATAATCGTTTCATGTGTAACGAAATGGATCGCAGCAAGATCGGTAAGACTGAATCCAGGCCCCAGGTTGGGTACATAACGGACTTTTGGGTGTGCAGCGCCTGTCCTTGTGCCTCGCTGATTCCGATAACCATGCTCCGAAACTCAATACACGATTTGATAAGTTGGAGCAGGCTCTCGGACATGGGTCCAAACATCTTAACGTACATTTTTGCCACTGTTACCGGAAACGTGCCCTGGATTCATGAAAAATATTATTTACTAAAATTAAAGACATGCTGTTCGAATTCTGTGACCCAGTAAGGCAGACTTTGTGATACGGAAGACTCGACGTTTACCATAGCCGCCGTTTAACCAAAAGTTTTTCGATGAGTAATAGCTGCCACCTCAGAGCACTGCCATAATGTCCCACATCCACTCCCCAAGCCCTCTCACTCTCCCTCATCTACAGATGCCTGCACAATCCGTTTCTGCTACTGCTGCGCCACGTCAGAAATCTAAAGCTTATGCTACTGGTATAGCAGCTGGCGTCGAAGATGAAAAGTATCAAACAAAATACAAGGAACTCAAGCGAAAAGTAAAAGAAATCGAAACCGTTAGCAAATATCACATTACTCGGTGTATTCTTAACTCACCTGCTTTTAGGACAATGACAAGCTTCAGTACAAGGTCCTTATGGCTAAAAAATCTATTCAACGTATGAAACTGGAACGAGCGTGAGTAACTTTCCATCCACATCATCCCAACATGTATCTGATGCGAGATAAAGTGTCTTGTATGAACGTCTTTCTGCTGTGCCACCTTCTCCAGACCTTCACAGCCATGCACTTCCCCCTACCCACTCTGGTCCCGGTGTACCTCCCCCACATCCCCGTGATATAGGTGCAACAGCGCACCATCAACATCGTGATCATCGTGACTTTCCACCTGTAGATTCAAACGATCACAATGCTGTCGAATATGTGCACAATCACAGTTCCTTCCGCGTTATTCCTGGCCCAGATGGTCGGCCTATTCAGACTCCCGATGGGCCCATAGGTCCTGGAGTTGCGCCTTCCCACGGAATGTCTGCAGTGCACATGTCGAGGGGCGGTTCCGCCTCAGGTCATGACTCTTCTCGGCAGCTTCCACCTCTCTCGCAGATGACTCCTGTACAACATCTTGAGCCACCGAGGGCGCATGGTCATTCACAGACCCATAGCCCTCATCTTCACCCTCACAGTAATGGTTCTTCGCGTTCACAATCCTCACCTTCCAGATCGCGCGGTCATCAGATAGCTTCTCAGGCACCTCCCCCAGGATACCACTCAGGGGGAATTCCCCACCCTCAACAATACTCCCAGGATTCTCTCATCCCTGTCCAACACGGGTATCACAGCCCGCCACATCCGAGTGATAGGGAACGGTCTTCTAGAAGGCATGAGCCGCTTGATCGTGGCAGCTACCATGGTGATCCATACACTCATTCGCGGCAGCATTCCTCGCATTCTTCCACGATGGCATCCCCTAACACTCGAGCATCACGTCTCCATAATCATCAGCGCGTCGGGCCTGGAGGTACCATCAGCCACCCAGATCCAGAATACGAACGCGATCTTGAGAGAGAACGTGCATGGGCACGTCATGAGGGTGAATCCGCTCGAGAATACGCGCCATCGGGAGCGATGCATGCATCTCCCCCCTCCCACCTAAGGCCTAGGCCTCACGTAGACCCATACTCTCGCGAACCCATTGGACCAGGCATGCACGGTCGATCATCTCGCTCCGACACATCAGGATCTGGTTCCGGATCTGGTTCCGGTAATGGTGGCGGGGATGCACTATCGCGACCTGAAGGTCACACTCAATATTATGACCGTGACAGGGGACCCTATGCACCCCGCCAGGCAAATCCACCGCGCAATCCAAGTGAAGACCAAGACGTCATTTATGAAGAAGGCCGTCCATATAGCCGTGACCGAACTGCCGGACATTACATGCTTCCAGAGCAGCATCGCCCCCCTGCGGAATCATCCAGAAAACGCTCTCGTAAAGACATGGAAATAGATGGAATCGATGACGTCGATGATTCACCCGCTGCAGGCAGCTCTGGGGGCGGAGGAGAAGCACCGAGGTTCACAGGCGGTCATCTTCCTGATGATCGTGGCTCCAAGAGACTTCATCAAGAACCTGCCCGTCCCCACGAGCGCGAGGAGGAAGAGGAAGAAGATGAGACTTCGGATACTTAGACAAAGAGTTAATTATTATTTTTTGCGGCGGCATGGTGAGTTTCCTTTTAGATCTTCTTGAGCCCGAGTTCTTGATAGGATATTTTCATGGTTTATTGCGTGTATGTATATGTTGTTGAGTATTTCTGTACACATCGCTAGCAGTCGTAATCCTTGGTATACCCCGTTCGTCGTGTTGTGCTCGCGCCATATGCTCCGTTCTTGTCGCAAAACATAAGGGACAATTGTCTATACCTAATTCCATCATAGTGGTCTGACTTGCGGGCACTGTTTGTCGTGAGAAGCGTATACGAGCGATGACAGCGATGTATGTTTAGACCGGCGGATCAAAGTGCAAATCTTGCCTTGGTCCTGTACAGGAAAGCAATGGGTTTCCTAATCAAAATATCATCTAACACAAAGGGGGGAATAACAATGGCCCAGGAGTCATAAAACAGGACATAAACAGAAACATATTTATCACTGATCGAGAAACACAGCGGTGCAAATACCAGTATCATGAGTCAAAAAAAGCCCTAGTCGGCGGCCGTGCACTAGTACACCTTTCCCCAGAAATATTCCGACTGTACGCAGCGGCCAAGACAGTTATAGCAGCCCGTTCGAGTTGGTACAGCTCCATTCTGCCAAGACACGCTTTGGACGGGTAGGTTTTTTGGGCATGGGGAAAACGGGTTTTAGCGGCGCAGTGATAAGGTTGTGTAGTTGTCACCGGCCGCGTAGATCCCAGGATGATGTCCATGGCCGTGACTGTGCGACCTGTGCGCCCTGACTCATACTTGGCGAGCTTCTGCGCTTCCGAGAGCAGTTGCCGAGTGTGGTTGGACATGGGAGACGAGGAACGCGCGTATGAGGAAGGCAGTATCATGCCATCCTGTTTGTCGATGAATCTTACGGAGAGACGCGGCTGGGAGTGTGGCTGAACTATCAGGCTTGTTGACTCGATGTGGGAAGTACAATGACCCGGGGTGTCAGGGGAAACGAGGGGGGCCACCTGCTGCGCTCTATGATGGAATCCGAGGATTAGTATCCGAGTCAAGGTAATATTCTTAGATGGTTCACCTATTGTTCGATCTTTTTGGAGCATGTGGTTTCTTTGGAAGACATGTATTCGGAGCTACCCCGTTTGGCGCCATATTTTAGCGCTAATGTCACTGGGAGAAGTAGAGGGTTTTCCATAACGATTGAGCACGAGCTCATCTATGCCCTCCCATTGGCATTCAGTCTGTGCCATCTAAGACCGCTCATAGATGGGTATTTCCGGCGGCGATCTAATGGTCTGGTTTGAAATCAGATCCGCCTCGATTACGGTAGTGGAGCCTCAGATCTGGCCAATATAACCTGAAGAAAAATCAATCAATCCAAGAATTTTAAGATATGGCAATCTCACAGAAAAGATGGCGCAGATGGGCCAGAACATCAGGGTTCAGAATCAGTTGCACATGGTACGATAACCTAAGCTTAAAGACACAAGATTGTGACTGAGAAGTGCCCCTTCCCTCATATCTGATGCAGCTTGCACGAATGGAAGACATTTTCGTCATTCACACACATCGCGCAAGTCATTCGAATCGCAGCTGCAACGAGGCGGCCGGATCAACGTGTTCAGAAGGCGCCTGTCTTCAAGCTTACTGTTCAATCTTGATGACATCAGGTGAAGAAATTCAGAATTGGACCATCAGATAAGTACACGACTCATCTAAACTACTACTTCACCGGTAAACATGGTCCGCTGTATGACGATTCAACACGTGTAACCCCAAAAATGTAATGGATGCTTACAATACAAGTTAGCAGCAATTTCGGCCTCTGCCCGGTCGCCATTTGCAAGCAACTTCTCTTTGTTATACAGGAGTTCCTCGCGAGTTTCCGTGGAGAACTCCTGATTTTGTGCTGAAGGGATGCCATCAACATTCCAGTGTCAGTGATGCTCCCTTTTTAACACGTACTTTCAACGATCGCGTCAACCGGACAAGCTTCTTGACAGAAACCGCAGTAGATACATTTCGTCATGTCGATATCTTGGCAGGAACCGTGTAAGTTGTGCAACGTTCCACATCAACACGATACAAGTCATACCGTATTTAGTTGTTTTTCTGGAACCATCCGCGCGGGCTTCACTCTCGATGGTAATCGCTTGAGCAGGACAAATAGCCTCACAAAGTTTGCAAGCTAATAGTATATGCTTCTTAGCCGCGCAAGATACGGTCGAAGATGTTCACAAACCGATGCACCGCTCTTCACCACTGGGATACCGTCGGAGAGCGTGTTCTCCACGGAAACGAGGAGACAGAGGACCCTTCTCATATGGATACATTATAGTGTAAGGCTCCCTGAAGAAATTCTCCAGAACAATCCACATTCCTGAACTAGTTATGCATAAACTTGAAACAATTACATTTCAGAACACATACCTCGGATAATCTCGGTAAAGAAGAAGAGATGAACGGCTTTGTCAATGGCACTTTGCCCATCCTTGTAAGGGTCAATATCCTTTCCGGGCTCATCCTTTGCGGTCAAACTTCCTGCACCTAGAGGCGGTGACCTTATTGGACCTTCGAGTCGGCTTTCAAGATGCTCTGCGTGCGAGCAGCGGGTACTGTGAATGTTGCGGTATGCCACTAGCGACGAGCGCAGCGCAATAGAACGCTGTGTCGCCACTATCCTAGGCGCGAAGCCCAGTACAAGACGCGGGCGAGCGAAAGACATGACGGTCAAAGTCGGGCGAGTTTGCTACACCGAACATTCTGCTGTGACGCATGTCACCTTAGTGTGACAATGCTAACCAGCAGCCAATCGCGTATCCTTCATTAAATCAACACTAGTACTGGACCACCAGGCCATCGCCGTTATCCTGGACCATGTCGACCTCAAAAGCAAAATCAAAAGTTCAACCATTGAGCGATCAGGGCACGCGTGCATTCTACCTACCATCCTCGCTTCTAATCGCTTCTTTGATCAGATAGAAATACAGCAGACTTACTCCCGTCTGCAGAATGAGCTTCAAAGCCTTGCTGGGAAGATAGGCGAGTTGGAGCAAGAGGCAGAAGAACATGGGTACACCCTCTGTCACATATTTGATACCCACATTCGAATGACTTTTTATTAGACTCGTTCTTTCCACTTTGAATGAAGCACTTCAAGTGGAACCAGGTCGGAAGTGTTTCCGCTTGATCGGTGGTGTGTTGGTTGAGCGCACAGTCAAGGATGTAGTCCCTGCTCTGCAAACAAATCGCGAAGGCGTACGTGCCTTTTTCATCCATGTCACTGATTATCTGATACCTACGTCTCTTCAGATCAAAAAAGTTATTGCCAACCTTACTGAGCAATACACCACGAAGGAACGCGACTTCGAGACTTTTAAACACGATTATAACGTTCGTCCAATCAGCAGGGCGTAATGCTGTGCGCTGGTATTTGGATGTGCGTTCATCTTGATCTGCTTACCTTGCGCTGTTGAATGTTATTTCCAGTCTACCCAATGACGCAGTCAGCAGCGATGTGACCTCATCATTAGCATGCGCAAATTGAAGACCCAGTTGCACATCGTTCAAGCTGCCGGTTTGCACTGAGTTCTAATTGTTGGGCTAGAATTTTTGTTATGCTGTGGTCCACAACGCATCTCGCAGAACACAAGAACCATAGCTGGCAGCAGCGTTGTCTCCGTAGTGCCTATGTGCATGGTTTGACACTACGAGTTAATATTCGTCTTGTAATTTATATCACATCGTCTCTATGAATCAAAATTGAAGAACATAACGTGCTGGCTTCTAGATGTAGCACTAAGTCGTCTGTTGCACTGCGAAGTTGCTGTGAATTACCTATAATATATTTGTTCAGTACTTTCACCAGCACTATCTCTTAGTTACTGCTGGTTCAAGTTGGTTTGTACTACTAATCCATGTAGTACCAGGCTGTACAGCCACTACCGTGAGCACTGAGTACTGAGTACTGAGCTTCGGGCCATTGTCTCCGTTCTGAATTCCACATTCAATACCACTATGTCAAACGACATTTGAATCCCTCCCAGAGTCCCAGTTAAGCTTATTGCTACGATCCTTGGCAACATAGATTTCGAGTTGCTAATCAGTGTCGAATTTGTCTCGGAGACTAAGACGTGTTGCTTCAAAGTTCAGACTCGACTTTGAACGCCTGGAAACCCCAAATCTGGTTAGTGGCGGCTACGAACGAAGTTTCCACCACTCCTGTCTTCGTTCAATCGTGCCCAGAAGTAATTGGATCAATATCCCTACGTTCGCACTGCCAGATTTCATACTTTTTGAATCTTCACTTCCTTCAACTCGATGGTTTCCGAGTGGGAAGAACGCTCCAGCAAATGATTCATTCCTTGATGGTTGGTTGAAGTGGAAGGAGCATAACACTTGGAGGGCGTAGGCCCATATCAGGTGCATACATCTCGTGTTCTCTCAGGCTTAGGAGTGTGAATGATACAGTTATAGAATGTTGTATTGTGTCTGGCACAAAACTTACACGACCTGCACTACGGATGAAGTTTGAACTAAATAAATGGTGTGCATTCTTGCGGATGGCCGTTTCTAAGCAGGGTGCGGCCCAGATATATGATAATATCGGGCTCAATCGCAATAGTTTAGTCAACGAACTGGAATCGTCCTCGCGGGGCTTCAGCTGCAAGGACATCTTTACCGAGATGCAGTAAGCTCGGCAGGTTCAAGTTGTTCACCTACAATAAGAGTCAGTGCTTTGTGTTCCGCGTAGCCACATTACTGATGATGTACTGGCAGGTGGTCGCCACATTTACTGACGTCCGGATCATTGCGATCGGAGTTCTTCGCATGCCTCGTTGATTGATTGTAAATCGCCATGCGCACGCTTTACTCCATCATCCCCGAGGTCACTGATATCCTTGGAGCGAACTTGAAGGGCAATAGCCGGGCATCGCATGACTCTCCTTATGGAGATGAGTGTGATGGCCCGTCAGCTGGTAATATCGAGCGGTATTCTGACTCCATTTGTGAGAGATCGTTTCTTAGCAGGTCATGGTTCGCGCCCATACAACACACTTATTGATGGTCTCGGAATATAACACTTCGTCTCGTCGTCCATTAACCAATCTTCACACCATTGTGCTGTTTGAAAAGGTATCAAAATCACTCCGCGATCTTTGTGGTTTTGACTGACCAAGGTGAGACATGACGCCTTGTTCGCGAGGCTCCGGGCAGCACCAGTAACCTCGGTCGCTATATTTCTCTTATTGTCAATTTCTGCACGGTAGGCCGGTTTGTTGTCATTCTCAGCACAGCAGTGATGTCGAAGGTTTCATATGTCTTCCTCGTCATAGATCAGCTAAGGGACATGTCGGTTTTCTTTCCGAATTAGGCGCTGACATCGCTTCGGCCTTACAACAATGGATTTCTGGCCAATGTCAAAGTCCGCGAAGCTTGATCTTCTACCTCGGGGACGGGTGGCCTCTTGCCTTTAAATCATGGTACAATATGTGGTTCAAACCCCTGCGTGTTTTATTGCCTTTATATTTCTTTTAATCGACGTCGCTGGCCAACGTCGCCCACCCTCCTTGAAGTTAGTAACATTTTCTACCTGCTACAATGCCGACAGTAAGTGACGCATCGCTGGGACTCGAAGATCGGTTTACTTAGTAATACGGATACCAGTGGCCATGTCCATCGTGCCACAAGAGCTTCTCTCGTAAGGGCGATCTTACTCGCCACCAGCAGCTACATACTGGAATCAAGTGAGTTTTTTGTTATGTTGAAGCATTGTGCAAGCTGACAGTTTTGTCTTCCAGGCCACACGCCTGCCCGTCATGTAAAAAAAGATTTGCCCAGCGTTCGGGCCTCAACACCCACATCAACACGCAGTGCGCTTGTTCGCTTTTGGATTTCGAACTACACTGACTGTTCCATAGCACCAAGGCCAAGCCTTACGTGTGTGGTATTGGTACTTGTATGAAAGCATTCAGTGATCCCTCGTCTTGCACTCGCCATCGAAAGGAAACTCACAGACGCGAGGGCGCGTACAAGTGCACTATACCAGAGTGCGGCACAAGGTCAGTTTTGGTTATTACCATTGGAATTGTTCCGTCGGGCTCATGCTCTGTCAGAATTAAACGACGATCTGCTTTTGTCGCGCATATGAAGAAGCATGGAGTCAATCCCTGCAAACTAGATTTAGATGCCATTGCCTCGTCGGCAAATAAAAACACTTCCCAACAAGCCAACTTCCATTTTTTACCTCCCCAAGTAGCCGATGCCCCTTACTGTCCCCCTTCAGAGACGTCACTTCCAGACGTTACTGAAGACAATTTAGCACATTGGGCTCCCCCTGCTCTGATGCTGACGAACGACTATCAGATTTCCGTTCCTGAATATGATGGAGCCTCTGGCGTGGCTGACGGCATGTATGACTATAGTTGGCCGTCTGAATTTGGTACTGGACCATCTAATTCTTCGCTCATGCCTCCACCATCGGTATCTACGTGTCCTCCTACGCATGTTGACGATTTCATTTTCGACGCTGGATACAACGGATACTTACAACCTAATGACGCATTCTCTAGGTTGCCTTCTCCATATGCATCGGCGTCGCCCTCTTTACCTCCTCTCCTTGACGGCTTCGTGGACTGCTTCGGGTCTCGCATGCGATCGATGTCCTCTTCACCGGCCACGTCTTCTAACTCTGCACTGGATGATCAGTTAGATTATGCTCTCTTGAGCTGCGATGTACCCAAGCCATACCTTTTGTTCAACACCGTTTAATTTACCGCACTAATACTTAGTACACTTCACGCATTCAAGGATTGTCACCGGACCATTTTTTATTCATAATTTATACCGCTGCACTGTAGCCTACATACCTCTCACTCTTCACCACCATCTGTTCAGTGAACTTATGTCTTATTACCCTTATACCAAGAGGCTTTTAATATACTGTACTTACTTTTGAAGCCCCAATGACACTGCAAGCCAATATTACAGATCGATGGAGTTAGATAACCTTCTAATCTGACAACAAACGTAAATAAAACGCCCACAAACTAGTACTAGGCCAACCCGAGTACTCACTTGAGGATTTCTCAAGGTCCCACTCGCTCAGGCGTCTTTCCATCGTGTTTATCTTCTCAGTCCATCTTGCTCAATTTTTGCGGCGCGGGCCACCGCTGGCTTCCCTTACGAAGCTTTTTTCGTGTCCGAATCCGCGTTGGCAACCTTTACACTGCAAAAAGGAACATGTTAGCATCACCACTGTACCCCACTTCCTCCTTTGCTCCTCAGCTTGCATCCGATGATCATTCCCAGTTTCGCCCTGCCAGAGATATTGAATCCTTCAATAACTTGCTTCCGCCCCCGATCGAATTCGTAGAAGGCTCGTCTTCTGGCGCTCTCGCAGTCGCGGAAGGCAAGTATGAACCTATCAACGCCACACCGAAGGCATCACAAAATATCGTAGGTGCATGCAATAGCTCTATCATCAAGCTGCTCACCTGGTCATCACCTACCAGGTTCGTGAACACCCTCGAACACCCTCCGCACCCCTGGTTTCGCCCTCAAAACAACCGATATCTCCTTCATCGACAAAGCATGGCTCGTTATTCACCGGAGTTTTGGACTTTTCATGGCCTTGGCCCCCTGGTCACAATATCGGTAATGGCCTTCATAATACGGGGAATACTTGCTTCTTGAACAGTGCTTTGCAATGTCTCCTCCACACGTCTCCTCTGCTCAATGTTTTAATGGCACACTCAAAGTCTGACCCATGTGAGGATAACCTTAATAACCACGAGTTAATCTTACCTGGTATGTAGGTCGAGTAAAGGGAGGCTTTTGCATGTCATGTTGTCTTCGCCAAGTGATGCTTGACTCCCATCAGAAGAAGCATTCTTCCACGCCGTACGTCATTGTTTCGAAATTGCATGGTACGTATTACTTCTCTTATTGAAACCTGTGTCCGATTGTACTTTTCTAGTCATCGCAAAACACATGCGGAAGGGCAGGCAGGAGGATTCCCATGAGTTCCTTCGCTATGCCATTGACGCTTTACAAAAATCATGTCTAGCCGGATACCCGCAGTGAGTGTTTTGTTACTTCCTACCTGTGTGGTCGTTAACAAGCTTCGAAAAGAAAAATTGATCCGAAACTTGCGGAGACCACCTGGGTTCACAAGATATTCGGCGGTCGGCTGCGATCACGAGTGACATGCAAGGAGTGCCACTACAACAGTGACACATTCGATAACATGCTGGATGTGAGCTTAGACATATATGGCTCAAATAGCGTGAAGGACGCCTTCCGGAAGTTTGTTGCTGTGGACTATCTCAAAGGGTCAGACAAATATAAGTGCGAAAAGTAAGCAATATCTATTAGCGGGCAGGCTCACATCTGATGCGCAACACTCTGGCAGGTGCAAGAAGCCGGTCGTTGCCGAAAAGCGGTTTACTATTCACGATGCGCCTGCAGTGTTGACTATCCACCTCAAGCGCTTCTCACCCCTCGGTCGGAAGATTGGCCATTTTGTCCATTATGACGACCGTATCACGCTGAAACCGTTTATGAGTGAGGGTCAATTTGGCCCAACATACTCATTATATGGTGTCATTTGTCATGCAGGCGGGGGACCAAACTCAGGCCACTACTATGCTACTGTCAAAGGTGCCAATGGTATGTGGTATGAGATGAACGACGACAGCGTATCACAACACCGTAATACCCCTGGGCCTCTGAAGAACGCATATATCTTGTTTTATATCAGGGAGAAAGGCCAATCTCTCGAAGCTGCTATCACTCGCCCCTCGATGACCCCTCGGAATGTTGTCGCTGGAATGAAGAAGAGGAAAGTTGTGGACTCTGAAGACGATGGCGGTGACGACCTTGGCGTCAAAACTGATCGACCATTCATCGGACCTCTCCTTCCTTCTCCGATAGCTAATGATGCGGAGGTACATAAAAAGGCTAAAATGGACGACAGGGACCCTCAGGCTGAGAGTATCAAGAAGAAAATCGAAGCTGTTAAACAGGTTCTCAGCCCCAGCACTGCCCTCACGAGCCTCTCACAATACAATGATGACGATGACGGTGACGATGACGATGACGGTGAATCGCTAGTTGTGACGCCCGTTGACCTTAAGCCGCCTTCAAGCACCACTGAGTCGCTCAACGCTACCTCACCGCCTCCCCCCGGTCCTCCTACCTCTCCTCCTCCTATTTCCAGCGCATCATCCCTCAATTCCGTGCAATTGAACACAACTCCTTCATCAGGCATTTCGCCGAGCGACTTCTACGCGTCATCAAAGAATAACGACAAGAAGCGCAAATCGTCAGATTACGATGACCACGACGAACAGACGCCTCGGAAGCATTATTCCCGCGTGCCTTTGCATAACCAATCTTCCAAACAGTCACACGGTCATCGAAAGTCATCGTTTGGCGGTGGCGCAGTCAATCCTTACAGCCGGCTAGCAGGAAGTAACACATTATCCCAACATCGATCAGATAACTGGCAAAGACCTCCGCAGCAGTATGGTAAGAAGAAGAAAAGGATGATCATGTAGACCAAATTTCTTGGCATTATTAATTCTAGAGTATATGCTGCAAGTCACATATATGTTCACGATTCTGTACGAAAGGTCACGAAGCTCGCTTTACTACAGCTTGGCTTTTATATTATCAGAAGAGAACGCCACAGTCTTGGCATTACCTTCTTGTCCATCTTCCCACCAGATAACAGTCACGGTGGTATCATCTCGATAGCTCCTGGCAATCGGAGCAGGTATGCTCATCAACTTCCTCAAACTCTCAGTGTCGCCCCCGCCAAATGCGTTCCGGATTAGATGTGAGCTGACGTTCTCATCTTCAAATGACCAGGAGCCACTGCTATTATTTCGTTTCTTCTCCTTGCCTTCCACAGTTGGTGCACCTGACGTTGTTGGTACGAGTTCTGGAAGGGCTGTTTTGGAAACCACTCCTTTGAGACCTTTTAGATGTCCGCCGACAAGGGCTACGACATCCTCTGAGCTAAGCTTATCCCACAGTCCGTCAGTTGCTAGCACCACGAAACGGGATGTAGGTGACCGCGACGGCCGTGCAACACTGCCGAAGTCAAAGTCACGATGGGTTACGACTGGGGTGGCAGTAACGTATGGCGGAGTCTTGAATGATGAAGGGGGTGAGCGCAATGGTTGATCGTTGCCCACAAGGAAGGCACGGTTTAGTCTGAATATCAGAGTCAGCAATGGTTTGTATTGACCTTGCCATAATCAAATCTAAAATCACGTACACATCTTGCACCTCACGGGGCCACTTGTATCGGGCATCTCCGAACGCACGGCTGGGTTCAAGCCCACCAAGTATGCGACCTGCTCGAATAACACTACCCGCCTCATCAGGAGGATGTTCAGATTGAATCCTAAAAATCGATTGTAAGAAGCTGTACCGGAAATTAATTGTGCTAGTAAACCTTTTCAATTCACTCGGGTTGCGACCGGTCTGGTCTTCGCTAAGAACCTCAACACGCCACGACCCCTGACCTTGCTCATTTTCTTCCCAAATGCCGGCAACCGCACGACTATCCCCTGAGCAAGCCACGTACAGGTGCCTATGGGTGGTGTCGAAAACGGCCATCAGCGCACAGCTGCCTGAAGATAGAACGGCACGTCATATTTGAAAAAGACAGGCAGAGATTGTGCCGTACCAGATACAGCAGGAAGCATCGTCTGGAGTGCCAGCGGATGTTTGCTAAGATCGGGGAGGATATTTTTCTTTATTGATTCAGCATCCAAGTTTGCGGCGAGAACCGAAAGGGGTGCATTGATGAGTTCCTGATCTAACTTAGTGAAAGCATTTCGTATGGCAAGGGATATTCTCTCTGGGTTTTGAGGGTCTTCGCGAGATTTAGGTGCAGACGTGCGAAATATCAACTTTAACTTTTCCAGAAGTCCGGATTTCGGGACGTCTGTGGAGTGAATCAGGGAGGATAATTCCAGGACCACGGCGCTGATGAGGGTCTTTGAAAGAAGGCGAGATGTATGGGGGCCGCCATGGCCATCCATAACGGTGAAGAACAGCCAGTCACCTGGTGCAGATGGGTCAGATGGATCGCGGGCAATTATAGCGTCTGCATGTGCATCTTCTAGGGGGTCATTGGCGGCAACAGATGCCGTGGCGTATCGCCATACTGTGCTATCAGGTCTGGAAAAGCTGTCAGACGACGCGTTTTCTATCAGACGATCTTTAACAGCGTTCTGTGATAACAGGGAGAATGTGCGGTTGACCATAAGTGGCATCCCGTCCGCACCGCGAACTTTGACTGCAAGGTCAAATGTCTGCTGCTTGGTGAAAGTATAGTAGAGGTAACTTGGTGTGCCAATAAGAACGGTAGTGGCGGCCAATGGTTTCCAAGCCCTTCGAAGCATGCCCGAGAGTCCTGGAAGTTGACCGGTGGTATGCGGTAATAAATGATCTCAACTGTAAACAATGAGCGTGATCCACGAGATACACAGCGCCTACAGTGCCACACACGTTGAAAAAGGTGGAGAGTCTACCGACAGCACAAGTTCGGAGTTGGCTGTGCTGCTACAGCCCGAAAAGTTGCAGAAACTACGTAATATGGTTGTAAGAAGCAGAGCGAATGTGTGAAAAATGAAGACAAGTTTTACTTACAAACGAGGTATTTCCTTCTGCCTGACGCTGCGCCGAACAATGTCATGACCGACGCTTGCCAAATTCGGACTTAACGCGCCCGATCACGTGTACGTGTGTAGACGCAACATCGGAGATTAAAATGCGTTGGTCTTCCCATGCTCAGGCTGTCAGCGCTGGACAACACCAACTTGTACTGCTACCACAACGTGCTGCTGTGCCATAGCTATTTCTTTCAAAGGTCCTTTGTTATCCATTACATCCAGCCATTAAGTCTCATTCAAGCTTTCATATCTCTTTGTTATAACAGCTCTTTCGGATGACTAGTTCGGGCAACAATGATGCAATCTTGCAACCATCGATAGCTGTGGGAACAGAAGAACAGGAGGGAGATTTTCTATCGACGACGAAGACATTCGATTTCGCGATCGTCAGTGATGATGATGATGATCCTGAGCTTGATCTTCCGTCCCAAGTAACGAATGTAAGTGAAAAGACATGTCTGATGACGCGAGCAATCAGTCCTTAAGTGTGTCCTGTTATGTCATTCCTCAAGCCACCAAACTTCACGGCCCCAAGCGATGTGCAGCCTCAAGTTCTAAGACCGTCCTCTCAACAACCCACCGTAGAAACACTCCAGTCACTCGGCATTAAAGTACGAGATTTTGCGTATGAAAGTACTTTGCCACCCATCGCGCCTGTTCCGCGAGTTCCGCGCCAGACTCAGCCTAGTGCAAGACCGCTGAAACGTACCAGAGGAGACTGGGAAGAAGAAGAAGGAGGGCCATCGCATTCGTCACGCCCTCAATTCGGACGGGAAGCCACTAATGCTGGCACGCAAGCAAGCAGCAAGCCCGAGTCTCTTGTGCGAAAAGCCACTGAGCCACTTGAATTTAACCCTGCGCCCGCTTCAAAGCGCGCTATGGGACGCGCAGACTTGAGCAAACCTGTATATGGAAGCCAACTACCGTTCCGTACGCCCCGTTGTGCCCTTAAAACCCATCGCACCCCGCCGAGAAGATTTTCTACAACTCCGCTAACTTCCCCCCTGTTTGGGTCGCCGTCAGAAGAGCCATCTCAGGGGGGATCACAAGAGTCGGAGTTAGTGATGACACCTGCTGGACCGGTGTCCTGGCATATCGAAGACACGAGCTCGATACCCGCTTCACAAATGGACACAGACTTGATGGCTTTTGTGCCAGAAGAAATATCTTATTCCCAGCTAGGGCTTTCGCCTCAGTCTTCGCCACTTGCCACGTCGCTTTCTACTTCTACTGCCATACGGTCTCCTGTTACCCCTAGTCGCGTTTCGCCAGCATCTCAGGGAGGTGGTAGCTTGGAGTCGTCGCATGTTATTGCACAAACACTAAATTCCAGCCGAGAACTCAAACGTAGCTTGAAAGCTAAGACGAGCAAAATTTCTACGCAGACGTCCCCTCGTTACCTCCTACGTCGACGATCCCTATTATCCGTTCATGCTCCCACACGTTCACGGTATCCCCATCCACTGACTCCCACGAAGAAAGGAAGCCCGAAGGGTTCTCCGCAACCTCGGTGTAGACGTTTGCAGCGGCCTGTGCTAACGAGGTGAATTTTAGTTGACTAGATTCGGTTGATGATTGCAGAAGTTGGTACGAGGATGGGTTTAAATTATTTTTATTGCTGTTGTTTCGACATACATTCGAGGAGTACACGGTCCGCAGTGATGCTCCATGTAGTTTTACATCCCCGCTAGTTGATGTACGATTTCATGTACACGTGTACCGCTATTAATCAGGATTCAAGACCGCAGAGTGATCTTCTCGTCTTCTTGCTATTTTGACTTGACCTGGGTGGAACGGCGAACGTGTAACTATGTATATGGTAATGATGTGAATGGGTTGACTATTCTTGGAGAATACAAGCAGGATTAGTTGATCCAGTTGTCCTCCAGGGAAGGCTCGGATGGGCACTGCGTCGCATGAACTAGTCCCGAAATGAAACGCCGATTCTCAAGTCATGTGAGTCCGGGGTGATTACAGTTAGGGTCCTAGGGACGACCCATAACAGATTTGTTACTGGATTAGTCTACGCGGCTCAGATCTTTGCCGCAGCGGCTGCATGACAAGCATCGCTACATGTGAGGTGGACAATAAGCGTGGAAAGGTCTGGGCATAAACGTCGAGTAAACTTTTTTGTCGCACTAGGTCCCACTAGGTAGGGACACGGCTGTCCATTTTATTGATGCGACCAAAGCTAAATGGACTGTGTTGAGTAAGTTCAATTAGATCCCGATTGGATCCACGACTCACAGCCAAGTCACTAAAGTAATACCGAGCGCCGCATCAAAATGAAAGCTGAAATTTATCTCCTGCAGAACGAGAATGTTCCGCGAGTGGAGTCTCCACTGTTACTCCGACACATGTGCAAGAAGTGACTCCGACGAATGTGCAGACGTGTACTCATATGATCATGGTGCCGAGCGCTAGTAGGAGGGACGTAAAGATAAGGTGAAGGCACGTAAAATTAAAGCCAGGAGAACATAAAACTACATCACGGTTGATCACTGGGGAGGTCGCTATGATCGGTCCGTACCAAGCCTAAGGACCGTGAATTGGGTAATCGGTGGATAGGTCTTGGAAATTTGAACCTTGTTTCACTACACACGCCTTCTTCGCGTGACTCCCCCTCAGATCTATATATTTCTATTCCCTCCCGAAGCCCTTCCTTCTTCTGCTCTTCCATCATGGCAGAACCTTCCTCCAATGTCACAGTATCCCTTCTCCCTGTATCCCTCTCCCTAGTACACATCCCTCGCTCTCGTCTACCCCAACTATCACATCCCGTCCTAAGGCAGATCCTCCAGCCAAACCCCACTTTCATCAACGTCACCTGCAATGAGATCGAACTTAGTCTCTTCGCAGAATCTCACATGCTAGCAGATTTCGAACCCGTCGCTAGACGAGACAGGCAAAGGCAACGATCTCGCTCGGGCTCTGGATCCGGTTCAAAGCGTCCTCACTCTGTATTGCCCCAAGACCACCTCGAAATATCCTACGAAAAGTGGAATGTTCTTCAAATTGACTCTCACTCTGATCAACTCGGTATGCTGTATAACCCCTATGAACAAATTCATCAATTCACCAATGTTTAGACAGCTCCGGAGCCCGTATACATGAGCTCTCCGCACCGTTAGCTGCAGCTGGAATCTCTATCCTATACCAGTCCTCTTACTTGAGCGACTTCATATTTGTACGTCATATATTGAATTATCCAGCACCTAGGCTTTCTAAATTGTAACAATCAGGTAAAGGAGTCAAGACTCCAGGAGGTCATGTCTTTGCTCGGATCAACGGGATTCGATCTCTATTCTTCTGACCCGGAACTACTCACTTCTAGAGTAGTCTCCCCATTGCTCTCCCCAGTCTCCCCCGACGACTCTTCCATCTCCGACGTAGCCCAGGATATCACGGTAGAATCCGGCGCCATTCTGACCCGCACAAGGAATAGTCTCGACCCCGTTTCTGCTGCTGCCATCAGTTTACAGTGCATAAATCTCACGACATCACCAAACGACTCACCAACAAGCAGTCCAACTCATCATAAACCTCCATCACGTCACAAATCCCACTCCCCAACCTCGGGGGAAGTGCGCGTGTTGACTCCTAACCTGGCTTGTGTCGGCCTTTCTGATGACAGTGTTGACACGTGGGGACTCAAGATCGTAAAGCTCGTAGCGTTCCCCGAGTTGATCCCCGTCAAGGAACACTCCTCACGGTCACACAAGTCACAGTCTCGCAACGCCCGCCCTACCGACGGAGTTCCGCTATCGTTGTCAAGTCGAAAACGATATTCAGATTCATCAGATTCATTTTTTTCTTCGAGCGACGATGAGGAAGAAGGTTACTTCTCTCACTCTCCTCTCGGTAACCTGTCATCCATTTCACTGCAGTCTTCCGCTGCTTCCCGGTCCTTCCCAGATCTATCTATTTCTGTCCCTACTCAAACAGGATTTTTCAAACCCTCTGCAAAACACATCGTTGCACCACTTGCACCACTCTCTCCACTTGAACCAAAGCCAGCATCACATCGTAATCCCACTTTCCACCATATGGATCCATCGGCCGCCATCAAGAAGCCTGTAGATGACACCATACGTGGCATGGTTCCATTTTTCAGCTTCACCCGTACACAAGAAGGCACCTCATTAACAACTGATGTTTCTCTTCTTGCCGCCCTATTTCCTCCGAATGAGCGGCACATGATGATTTGCGCTGGCGAACTTGATGCTCTTGATGCACAGAGTTCGAGTACAGATTCAGACTCCGAGGACGACGAGGACACGCTTTCATCAGGTGGTGCCCTTAAATGCTTGCAGATAGATCTGCGCAGATTCGGGCTTGGTACGCCATTCATTTGTTGTCTTCTGGAAGGCATTGACACCTGTGCTTCTGTCCCACATAGACAAACATGGCTTAGTGAACCGCTTTTCGCGGGTCTTGGAACAAAATGGTATCAACCATATGTATAGCTCGACCTATAAAACGGCTAATCTACTAGTGCGTATATCAGTTCCTTAATTATGTGCTTCGATGTGATGAACTCTGTTCTTGGGTAGGTTTCTAAAGCACACGCCAATCGTGCCCGAGCCTTACTGAAGGCTTGTTAAATTCCATCTCCGATCGCCATATTCGTACGCGCTAGCAATCACATCAACACCACCAAAATGATCCAGGCAACGCCCGGTGCCGCCTGCATTTCACACATTCAATCCCTTGGGTCACACCAAAGAATTTAGAAGTACTTTACAAAACCCATATTTCCGCAAGCCCCGCTTTTTCGTTTAGCGTTTACAACGAATGATACCCCCCGTTTCTATATCATTATGGGCATCCCCATGTTGCAGGTTCTTTTTGGTTTAAAACCCCCATTTTGCGTGTTGTAGCGTATGTCAGCATGTCTATGTCTCATTCATCGTCATCGAGTTGTTATTTTATCTCGGGCATTTACTATCCCAATGTTCTTTTATGTACATCAAACCACACGCATACTTTTCAGGAATATTCTGTAGTATGTAGCATCTTGTATTGTTACCGCGCGACGAGGGTGCCTCGTTCATGTCTTGGGACATAGTTGCCTTTAAGGCAACCAACAGTAATTTCAATATGGTCGATGATGATGAGTGTGAAAAAGATGAGAATATAAAAATACAAAGAAGTACTGCGGGTATATATATGCGACGTTACTGCATGTGGGGCAGGTACCAACATATGTCGGGAAGTATATACGATGAACGAAAGAAGCCGTTTCACGCTAAGCGCCAATAGATTTAGAACGTTCGATAACAGACAGGTACCAATCATCAAACGGGGGAAGATCGTCTTCGTCTTCGTCGTCGGAATCTGGCGTGGGCGTCTCGCACCGAATAATAGAAAGACCAAGAGACATTTTTTCTGAATCCGTAAACTCATTGACGTCTGGGGTAAAATGCGGGTGATCGGTATAAGTTGTACGTCCCTTCTCGTGTGGTGTGAGAAAACACCCGTATTCGTCAAGGGACGGAGGTATGGTGACCAGATGACACTCCCGCGAGTGGTCAGAGGGTAAGCCACTGTTATCAGGGTCGTCTTGGTGGTGCGGACCAGGAACGGAGACGGTGGCGAGGGAGGTGGAATTGATCGGAGGTGTCGAACTGCCCTTGGGATATACCGTCAGGTAGTCGTAATCTTGGTCATCGACCCTGTTGCCCCATGAGATCCACGGGTCATGCGGCTCCGCCGCAATGATGATGATATGAGGTGCTCTAAAGGCACAGTCGGACTCTATGATAGAGATGCCTGAGAAATTTCTAGAGGCAAGTAGGATAGGCTGGAGAAGTTTTGATGTCAGCCGGCGTAGAAGTTCATGCCCGACAATCTGCAAATTCGTACCTGAGCAGGATCTGTCCACACGAAGGGCCGTTCCAACAGTGATGAGGCCACTGATTCATTGAATCGCGTGCAAACCGCGGACGCCGAGAGGGATGCTTCGAATGCCTGAGAGGGAAGGCAAGCATTCAGCTGATTGGTTCGAATGAGGGATTTATAAGACGGCTCACCACAGCTTTACGGCGGTGTCGGAATATTCCGTCCACTATTTTGCGGAATACAAGTCTTTCAATTGAAGAAGCTTCGACCTAATAGAGAGTAAAGGAGATGAGATGAGTGTCAGAGTGACATAAATGTCACTAGCCGGCTTACAGCGAGATTAAGTTTCTTGCGACTGAACACGCGAGGGGGGGTTTTCGGCCGAATAAGACCAAGGTGGTCTGATGGGGCTACGGACTGTGAATGGAATTCTTTTGAATTACAGCCAGCTGATTCATCGTGGGATGATGGTAGAGGACGATGATGGTAGTACATGCGAGGGGATAAACGGGGCACGTTGAGAAAACATGGCCACTGGGGATCAACCCGGTTTTGATACGGTGTGTAAAAGTCGTCTGCACAAGAGACAGGGGGAGTTATAACTATATGGGGTGCGATGTCAGGATACAATGAGTCAAGCACGATGTTGCGGCCATCCAGGCGCAAGTCGAGGAGGGTGTCCTGAAAGCGAGACATTGGAATGGGTAAAAAAAGAGAGGGAGAACACTTACATATTCTCTGTCCTCTTCACAGATGAAGCAGGAGCACACGGAAGAGTGAGAACCTCCGGTCTCTAAGTCTTCTTCGAGAACGATGTGGGAGTCCACAAACAGTTGCTCGGGAACGGATTCGATGGGTTTAGCTTCTGGGCCACCAGTCTTGAAAGTATGTTCTCAACAAACCAGGACAGTGTGACAAAAGTGTGTAACGTACCATGTCATTTGTGCGGGAAAGTGGCTGAAAGGTGGTTGAGGTTTCTGGTGAAGAGAGAGAGGTAAAGCGCTCGTCTGCATCCAAAGGTGAGGCAGAGGCGCAGCTGGCATCTGACAATGTGCTTGCATTCTGGTTCTGAACACCGGAAATGTTGAAATTCACATGCGGCGCCGAGACCGCTGTGAATTCCTGGTGGTCCGATTGTGAATATGGCACGCAGGTCTGTGTGATGGAGGCATCCTGATGCAATCCGTTAATCAGACCAGTATATAGCTGACCATGAAGCTTCGACTTACTTTGCTTGTGCATTCCGAGTCAGTGTCATTGTTGACTGGAAGTTTGATGTCAGGGGAGTAGGCTGCGTCCAAATACGGCTCATCGAAGCTCACGAGCGCGTGCAGCACACGTTCCCACGCCTTATTCCATCTTCTCTCCTTGAGCGCGTCGTATGAGAATGCATCTAACATTGACTCTGGGACAGCCAGCATCGACTGTATGATGGTGAGTGCGAGCGCTATAAAGTTGCCCATAAGTGTAGGTGGGTCTATCGTTTGTATGGTGGCGCGTTATAAGGTCCAAGCAAGAATATTGGTATGACGCGTATTGGAGTAAGTATGATTCGTTGGAAATCGTTGTCCTGACGCGTTTAGCTAGACCTTTAAGTATAAGGACCCAGAACGCTTTGCTGTGGCCCAGCGGAGTTTCTTACACCTTTGTTGTAACTGTGGAAGTCCACATTTCTACACGCCACTCAACTCGCACCCTTTGTGAACGTGGATCTGCAGTCCTGTGGCTTTTTCGGTTGGCCCGCATACTTGGAACTTGTCTTGGTGGATTCACGCGTCGTAGAAGCTGCAGCATGCTCTGGTCTAGGATACTTATCTTAGCATCTGACAGTCTATCGGAATTCGGACGTTCCTGTAGTGATATCAGCAGGTGTGTCGGAGTTGCCTTTGCTCAGCCTGTTTCGACGGCTGGACATTTCTGCAGTCTGTACAATAGAGGTGGCGGGCCTCTTATTCCACAACAGGGCAAATATGATATTCCTGTAGGAACATAACATCCAGGGATCAATATCAAACCCACAAAATACACAGCCGGGTTGCACATACAAGTAGTCTTCTACTACTTGTTCAGTTAAGCTTCGAAGTTCAAGGCCTTGATCAGACATAACCCATCAGGGAAATGCCAGTGATATTACCACTGCACAGCCAAAACTGTAAACCCAATACCAGAACTTTGACAGATCATAGGAAACTGATAATCCGGCTGTGTCCAGTATATTGCTGCAGCGATATTAACAGTGTCGGTACAGTGCCCTCAGTCTTTACCGTTAGCAACGGGAAGATCTACCTCATCCGGCCTGCGTGCTGTTACCTTCGTAAAATTCCTCATGGAATAATCAGCTCCGGAGAACTGGTTCGTCATCAATTAGTCAATCGATCCTCATACACGATAAGATAACAAACCTTCTGGCAAAGATCCCTAAGGTAACTGGGTATCATCCTAACCACCGGTGACAAATTCGTGTAAAACGGCAGAAAAATAGTTTGGGACTGCTGTGCATCAAGTGCAGTGATGATCGCCTTTACTACTGTCACTGGCGCGATGGATGGTACAAAGAACTGGAAGAAGGGGTTGGATGGCAGTCGGACAGTGGAGAACAGGGGGGTTAAAATGTGTCCTGGACAAACGATGGTGGTACGAATCCCCGGCGCATCATACCTAAGAGCGAGATAAGCATGGCACAGTATCGTGTGTAATTCATATACATACACTTTGTCGAGCTCGTAACGCAGAGACTCATTGATGATCATCAGAGCTGCCTTTGATGCACTATAATCGGCTACAAGTATATGTCAGGGTAGTATTGGAGGAAGCTTCTTGAAGCTTACCCATCCGGACACAGCCAACGAAGCCCACAACAGACGACATCGTCACCTGGGGTGGCAATTCATAACATTTCACCCTGACACATGAAGAGACTTACAATATGACCAGTTTTGTTTTTGATCATTCCCGGTAAGAACGCCTTCAAGGTCCAGAAATGGGCCAGGGTATTCACACCAAATGTCCTTCATGTTACAACTAAGCTTCAGCACTCGAAAAAATGTAAAATGACATACTGGTATACGTCCTCTGGTTTGAGATCGATGATGAGTTTCCCTTGCACAACGCCAGCGTTGTTGACAAGCATAGTAGGTTGCCCGATCTATGATGCAAACTTGAACATATGTCAACAAAAGATACAAGACAATATACCTCGTCAATGATCTTCTTCGAAACGGCCTCGACCTCCTCCCACTTCGAAACGTCACATTGGTAATAAACGATGTTGTCTAGTAACAAAATCAAAATTTGCGTTGAATAGAAAAATATATAGGAGAGGGTGGCGCACAGTTTTCAGTTACTATCGGTTTGACATCAAGTACAACCACCGTGACGTTGCGGACAGCGAGAGTGTTTGCTAATAGTTCTCCTACTCCCGAAGCGCCTATATTCGTCTTAATTCATGAAAGCGCTCGATGCAACTAATAAGGGTCATACCTCCAGTGATGACCACAATCTGTTCGCTCCAATCTAAGGGTTTGGGTTTAAAGAAAAAGCTCCCTTGATTACGATACAGCTGTGAGATCCACTTCAAGAGCCCTGCCTATATGTTAGTATCAGAAGCGCTCGTATTTCTGAGGACGCACAGAAAGCAGAAACAGCTGCGCAATATATGGATGGAACGAGCACGACTGGATTTACGAACTCGTAACCTTGAAAAATATAAAATATGGGTATGAAACACGTAAAGAAGGGACCTGTGGATAGACAACACATTAACTAATCACGGGGATACGGATGACAAGTGCACGAACTGAAAGCTGTCTGCGACAGGACTTTGACGACCATGTCGATATCTACGCTGTCGTAGATTGGCGCAGGATCGTAGCTGGATGGTGCGCTCATATTTAAGTCGGTTGGAATGGAATATGTAGGCTTGACGATGACACCAGATTACAGTGGGTGCAGTGGGCGGCTGAGAAACTCGATGATACGGTAAAAAGATATAATAAGAAGACAAGCTAGCGGCTGTACGGCACAGCCGATAACAGGAGAGAGAACGTTGAATGAGACTCCGTCTGATGGGTAGTGAGAGGGTTGTACGTCGTTTCAGCCTTAGCACCGGCCGTGAGATGATTTATTGCTTGTTGCATCAGCCCATCACTGATTCACTGTTGTAGGCCACAGCCATGGTTGCAAAAGTTTGAAACGATACACGAGTGAAGGACGACGGTTGAAGCTTAAGGTGAATAGAAGTCCGAGTTCATTGAGGAGAATATTAATCTGATGGAAGACGCGCCATACAGGCTCTATGGTTCTAATGGTACTACCCCATACAGACTCCAGAAGCTTTTGCAAGTCAGCCCCACGTGTCTTCACGCGTTCCATCATGTATCCACTTGCATACCATTGGAGCTCATTGGAGTCGTATTAACGTTTGGTATACTATTCTGTTTGGCCTACTTTGCAGTCAGTCGAGCCATCACCAACTTGAACATCTCTTCTCTTTACCTCCATCCCCGCGTTTTCAGTCATTAATCAGACAGGTGCCCGCCAGCCATTAAATTTGATAACTAGCATCGAGGGCGTATTCATCCAGGGACACAGTAGGACACAGTACGTTCGCGCTCTCAGAATCCTGTCGTGTTTCCTCATCCAGTCGGAACGATATTAAATATATTTATAACTCGCACAACAGATGGGGGTTGAAGCAAGTCGCCCTCCGGCTACTGCTCCCATCGGCTCTTCAGAAAAGTCAGCGACTAAGGTCGCAAATACCGCTCATGCTCCGTGCGCAACCGTGACTGCTGTCAGCGCAGCCTCCATTGGCGAGATTACTCCGGGTCATGTTAAAGCAACTTCCGTGAGTCGCTCGCTGCTTTGACATGTACCTTTATCAGGTCCTGAGAATCTGCAACAGAGGGCCGATGCGACTGCGTCTAGGAACAAGGTCGGGTATTTTGATGCTTTGACTTTGAGATGACTTAATCAGGATATTCCACAAGGCGATCATGCATGAAGACAAGACTACTGTTATTGTGCCTATGCCAGACCATGTTCAGCTTAACACGTCCAGCGCGGTGGATGCCGTGAGTGCCTTTTCTACATCTTACCCTGAATTACCACATCTTCAAGTTGAGTTTGATAAGACCGGAGCCACTAGCATAGAGGTATGAGTTTCCAGAATATTTGAAGTCCTCGGAATTGGACATTTACTATCTCTATCTTAGACACTCGGCTTTGATTGCGCATCAGTCACCCGCCAAGAGGTTAGTTTTGCTCACGGTCTTTGCGAGCCTACTTTTCACGCCACATGCTTACAGACAAAATGCAACCAAGACTTTTATGTTCCGGAAGCTGTACTACACAGACCTCCGTGTACACCGGGGAATGAAACTGTCGTCTCCACAGGCTCCGGCGCTCCAGGGGTAAGTAACTGTGACCGTTCATCCTCATCTTATCTTACAAAGTCTAATCTTTGCAGAATATTACTCCGCCATTAATCGAAAGACAATTATCTGTCATACCCAAAGAGGAATTTGTGCCTGTCGAACACGTCCGTAACATCGAACCAATTTGTGCCTACGACGCTAACATTTACTTCAGCCGGCCAATAATTCCTTAGACTCAATTTCATCTGCAATCATTCCCGAATCATTTGAAGCATCGGAATCACTTTCTCTTGGTCGTGTACAGCAGCCATTTGCAAATGTTCTATCTAATGTCACCCAGCGACATATCACCACCGCATCCACAGAAATCAGTTTGTCTCCTTGCAAGAACAGCATTATCGTGAGTGTTCCTAGTTGCCGGGTTTTCTGACATTTGCCAATCGAACTTCAGATACCCGATGTAGCATCTACAAATAACATTCCTTCCGTCCTTGAATCCGCCACTGAACACAGCATGGAGAATACCGACAGGACCTATACAACTACTCCAATCAAGACCGAAGGCACAGAGGTGCCTGTTGCTGTTACATATGCGGACGCCACAAACGTAAGTCGTTATCTTATTGTTTATGTCTCTATCTGCGGGGTTTTACAATAAAAATCACAAATATAGTTAGCCGCACGATATCCAGACCTAGCCTCTCAGATCCTTGTTTCCCCACTGCGGCAGCGCACCACACATCAGGAACTTGCCCTGACACCCGAACATAATTTGATCGAGGAGGACCCGCCAAGCAAGCGAAGGCCTCGTCGTCACCGCAGGCACAGGAGTAAACGTTCTCGGGACAATCAAGAAGAATCGCAGCAACAAAGTCGAGGATCCTTGCGGACCCCGGGACCTGATCCTTCTGCACCCCGTCACAAGGATCTCAGTCCCGTTTCTGGATTGGTCGACCCGAAAGGGACCTCGGGATTTCATTCTGTGCACGATTCTCGGCAGCCGGTTTGGTTGGTCGATTCTGCGCTGTCGAATCCATCTGTGAAACGTGCCCCGTCATTCCAGACGAATCGGCATACGGTTCCAGCAACACTACAAGAGAGAACGCGCAACCACCAACGAGAAAGTGGAGACACGAACTGGAACGCTCCCGCAGCCGAAATTCAGCCTTCGACTTTACCTCCTATGAGAATTGCAACCCCGAAACGAGCTTTTGTCCAAGAACAACACAGCGCTATGCTTCTACAGGGCGAAGAGCGTGTTGGTGCTACCAAGGCTATGGATCTGGCGACTGCTTCTATCGGGCGACGTTCTAGTAACGCGGAGATGTTGCTCACGGAGCTGTTTCGCAAGGCGATGGAGACAAGTAGCTCCTCTGCGACGAAGCATAGTCCTCTTAAGAAATGTCAAGCTGAAGGGCCAGATTCTATCAAGGCACTCGTAGCAGAGACTGCACACCCAGTGAATCAGGCGGAGAAGATCATGGATGGTGACTCCCCTCGGGTCAAACTGCCAGCCCCGTCGACGCCTCCAATGAGGACCTCTCCTAACCCTACATGCAAGTCCCCAACGGCGTGGATGGAACAAGATCACACTATACGCCAGAGTTACACACCCCCGGGCGCGCGGACGCAAGACTACACTTTACACCAGAGTTGCATGCTTCCAGCAGCACGGACGGAAGAAGATTACATTGCACACCAGAGTTACTTGCCCGCAGCAGCACGGACGACGGAAGATCACGCTACACCCCAGAACTACAAGCCTCCTCACCAGCGCCTTGATAAGAACAAGTATAACACGATAACTACGCAGAACTTGAAGCCGCATATCCACCACCACGCTTCTTCACTGAATAGGCATTCGAACCCTTGCACGCCGCCTTCTCCAGGCGCAATTGAGTTACTAGAAAAAAGTGAACGTATCCGTCATTTAGAACGACTTCTTTCAAGAGAGCATGCTCTGCCGATCAGCATCCCCGGGCTTACTATGCCGTCACTCAAGCCGGCCCAGATGCTGCAGCCCATCGGACCGTGGCGAGCTTCTGACGAAAAGGCGTTCCATGAGCGCGGCGCGATCAGTCCCGGTACTAGCACCAATCAGTCCTTAGATCTCGTGCGCGTAATGGAGGCGATGGGCTTGGACATCTCTTCAAGGAAGGATACTTTGGCTTCGCTCGGGAATGGCAAACCATCTGGCCGTCTAAGCGTGGTGGAGCATAACAGCTTCGATGGCGTGCGAAGGCAGTCAGATACAAGGATGGAGAATGCCGTCGTGCGGACTGACTTTGCACGCGCGGTTCGTTCACAGGGCTTGAGGTCGCCACGCGGAGGCGGAGGATATAGGAGTGTGAGCGGTGAGACGGACATACGGTGGACACGCTATACATAGATGACGGCGAAGGTCCTAAATACTTTTGACATCTTGCGACCTCCATTGGCGCTGTTAATCTTACGTTGGCCCGTAATTTTGGCGGATGAGGTCGGGTGCACTCAATCAATCAATATGATATGCACGTGTGGAGACAAAATTTGGTAGCGATGATGCAGATCATACACGTTGGTCACGTGCGGGTAAGTGTGTGAACTGCAACCTTGTTTCAGAATAGAAAGTCTATTTTCGTGTATATCCAATTTGGAAATGAAGTCTGCCTCAAACATCGCGTCCTTTTGTTTGAAAAATGGATTATTCGGTTCTGCCTTTGTGCTCTTGTTCAGCTAATTTAGAGGATATTCTGTAGTAGTAGGAGATTTCCCATTAACAACTTAAAACCGTAATAGAACCAGTCATTCGTAAATTTAAGGTCTTCTACTTGCCTCTTCGGTTTCGTGATGAACGAATAAAGTTTTGTATGTACTCCGTTAATCTCAGCACCTTCAGGTAACTATAGGCTCAAGCGCGTGGTAACGCCACCTTCTACGTTCTTTCTACTCCCAACAACCATGGCGTATTCAGCAGGCAGCGGAGACCTCACCCTTTCTCCAGAGTCGAAGGCGAGCTTGTTGCCTCGTAATAGACACACTCTTTCGCAGTCAGACAGAGTACAAAGTTTTACAAGTATATCGGTAAGCTCCGTCCGTCCCACTGGGGTCCATGATCGCCTTTGAGCACGTTTACAGACAGAGTCACCGTACACTGCTGGAGCAGGTTCGAGGTTGGCTACAATATCAGACCGTGTATGTGGAGCTCCCCTGCATCAGCCATACGCGCCCAAGTTGACTGACTGCATGATTTGCAGTTTCATTTATCACCGGATCCTCGTGAATGGGGCTTGAATTTATATAATGATTGCAAGGAACCCGACGATGACCTTCACAATCCCAATGTCAGGGATCACAACACTTGGGGTCCTGATCGCGGTCTAGCAAATATCGGTTGCCTGCTGGTTCTGGGCATCGGGTTAATCACGCTTTTGTGAGCGTTCTCAGTTATTCAAGTATTTTGCATTCGACTGAACTTGGATGCTTGCAGCGCTGGATATCCAATAATAACTTATTTCACGGGGACTGCGCTATCGAATCAAGGCGGCTTCAACCTAGGAGGAATAAATGCAAGTGGACAAGTAAGTCTTCTTATTGTCTTCGAATTTCAGTAATTCAATGGCATCTCGCTCGTTAGATACCACAAATTCCTGGAAATTTGGGCCTAATCGACACAGAAACCCCTAGTAACGTGTTTACCAAGTCCTCCTGGAATGGTGGGCCGGACTTGCACCTCGTCTTCTCTGACGAGTTCAATACTCCAGGAAGAACATTCTGGCCAGGCGATGATCCATACTGGGAGGCAGCTAATCTACATTACTGGGTAACTTACTTTAACATTGCCCATGCTAAGGTGCTAATGGTCATCCCAGCAAACGAACAACCTGGAGTGGTATGATCCCGAGGCGGTCACCACACAAGATGGCTACCTTGTAATAACATTGTCTCAAAAGGAAACGCATAACCTAAACTATCAGGGCGGTGAGTACTTGATAATCTACGATGCTTCTAGGCTTTTTTAAAAATCTTCATTCCTTGTCCAATCAAGTTGCTTATACCTGTTCTTAATAGGCATGATATCCACATGGCAAGTGCTCATCTGGCCGGCATCTGGTGAACCGTCTCATTTGTATACAGGAATAAATTCTGTTTCACCGGTGGATACATCGAAGCGTCCGTCTCATTGCCTGGTGTGAACAACATAGTTGGTAAGAGAGCATGTCATAATCATGACCATGCATAAACAACGTGTACCACAGGATTATGGCCCGCTATCTGGACACTAGGAAATCTTGGTCGAGCCGGCTATGGCGCAAGCTTGGAAGGAATGGTCCGTCATTTATCCTTCTCTCTGTTCTCACTGATCGGTTTGACCATGGTTCACAGTGGCCATATACCTACGACGCCTGTGACGTCGGTACTGCACCAAATCAAACCTTGAACGGCCTTCCGCTCGCGGCTACTCAAGGCGGAGACCCAACCGAAGGCGGGGTCCTGTCTTTCCTCCCTGGACAGCGGCTCTCGCGGTGCACTTGCAAAGGCGAGTCTCACCCAGGTCCTATGCATTCAGATGGGACATTTGTCGGGCGCGCCGCTCCTGAGATCGACATGTTCGAGGCACAGGTATGGTTCGGTTTATGCATTAATCGAACCAAGGATCTGACAAACCCCAGATCACGGGTGACCCTCTTACAGGTCAGGTTTCCCAGTCAGCACAATGGGCTGTATGTATGCGATATCTTATGACCGAAGGCAGAGCTCACGTATCCCTCAGCCTTTCAACGCTGGTTACATCTGGCTAAACACAAGCAGTAACGAAATAATACCAAACCCGTCGGCCACAGTTCTAAATACCTACATTGGTGGAGTGGAGCAGCAGGCTACCTCCGGCGTGACAACCACGAATCAAGGTTGCTATGAGGGTGAGACAGGGTGCTTTTCGGTATATGGTTTCGAGGTTCGTTTATGACATGACATTGATCATTCGCTGACTGATCTTACTTCAGTATGTTCCTGGCTTTGAAAACGCGGTTGGTATTTCCCAAAATATCAAAATATCATAAGTTAATTGCTCCACAGTACATAACATGGATAGCCAACAATGAAGTTGCATGGACCCTGAACGTTGCTGGCATGGGACCGGATCCTAATGTCAACATCTCCGCTCGGCCCATACCGCAGGAGCCAATGGTATGCCCTTTTGCATTTCAAAATAGTCACGAGCTCACTTTTTCTAGTACATCATCATGAATTTGGGAATGTCTACTAATTTCGGTACTGTCGACTTGGCTCACCTGCCCTTCCCTGTGCACATGCGTGTGGACTACATCCGTGTATACCAACCATCAAACGCACGAAATATTGGGTGTGACCCGAAAGACTTCCCAACAGCAGATTATATTAACACGTATGTTTCCTGCTTATTCGACTTGATGGGGGATTCTCATATCTGTCAGGTACATTGAGGCATATACCAATCCAAACCTTACCACTTGGAGGAACGACTATAATCAACCTTTCCCCAAGAACTCATTCTTAGACCAGTGCTAGTTTTTTTGCCTGTCATTGTCGACCTATCATCACGTCTGCGACGTTGCTTCTCTTTATCCCTTTGCTGTATCGGTACAACTGCATCTGACTTTAACGCATTCCCCTTTCCCATCCTCATAGTCACCCATGGCTTGTTTGCATGTCGCTTTTCGCCCACCGTCCTCCATGCATGTGGCCTACTTGGAAGTTGGCCCCATGACTATTTTTGCTCATCTATTTGTCTTACAATCATGCTCAACCCGATTCCATTGAATCCACCTACTGCATCATCATTCGTTTAGGTAGCAAACCTATATATGTCAATAGAAATAGCATATTGTCTGTACAAGAAATAAGACAATTCATACACCTGCAAGCTTTGATGGCTCGCTCGACGTGCGTGGTATCCCTATGCCGGGTAAAAACGAGCGTCTGTTGAGAACGAGACCTTTGAGTGCGCGTATCTCACGGCGAATTTCGTCCACGTCGGTGTTATTTGTCGTGAGCGAGCCGCCGATGCCGCGCATGTGGGTCCCGAATGCATATGTTTGGGTGGCGATGTACCCGGTGAAATCTGCGAGTGTTTGAAGGGTTCGTTGTGCAGGGCGAAGAGGTACTGTTTCAGTTTTGGAGAGCGGAGGGACTGGTGCGTTATGGGGAAGCACTGCTTGTAAAGTGTCAAGGGCGACGATCATGGGCGGAGGGGGTGATATTGGTGGAGGAACATATGACCAGAGGAGGCGAGAGGGATGCTCAGGGATAGACGAGGAAGAAGAAGATTGTGGTGAGGTGGAAGTGAATAGATGGGATTTGTCGAGTGTCTGCCAGAGGTCATTCTGTATGGCCATATAAGTTTATGACGTCAAAGGCAGATAAAGTACGGACCTGACATTCAGCACCTCGCTCTCCCTTCAACCATGGAAGCTTGGCCTCTAGATGGTTGAATAGGTCCCCTGTACTTATTCCCTCGGTACTTTCCTTCGAATGAGTCAGTTCCTCAATAGCAGAGCGTAAAATTGAGACGTTTGAGGTGTCACTAGCATCCTCATCGTCAATGTCTGCCTTGCGGCGACATGCGAGAATATCATCTAACGAATGACAGTCTGCGCACTCTGGCTCCTCTTTATATATCATGGGTTTTGGTAGGTTGTCAAAACATTCCGCTTGCTTCTCCTTGAATGTAGCGAGGGATTCATTGAGACGGAGCATGAGTCCGGACTGGTGTGCACGGAGTGCACGGCGAGCGTGGTAAGTTTGGGAGATTCTCGGTAGCAAGAACCGCTTCGAACGAAGGTCAGCCGTGCTTTAATATGGAGCGATGGAGCGAGGACTCACGTAGTAGATGAATAGGACGAATGCAGAGCTACCGGCGAGCCATGTCAACATACGCGCAATTCCAACAAGCATATTTGGGAGATTGGATGGAGGAGGCTGGGGATATGTCCGTGGTGGCACTGGTGGAGGCTAAGTGCTCATGAGTGACTTGAATATACGCCAGCTTGATCACTTACGATTTCCCGGAGTAGTGAATAGATCTCGCCTTGCGTAAGCCCCTTCTCGACGAGGAACGCATGTTTGGAGGTATCGTCTTGCGAGCAGATATGGGGAGTTGATAGGAAAGTGCGAGCTCTTGCAATTAGTTCTGAGCGGTCGACGGACGGTTGCGGGGTTTGATCAGGTTTGATTTCTGGTACCGGCTGTGCCAGCTGTTTGTCCGCGTCACTTGAGGAAGCTTGTGTTGGAGCCTCAGCTTTCTGATCTGGTTCCATAACACTGACACAGTCTGCTGAAAGGGATGTTATTTGTCACTGGAAGCTACAGTACTAAGTAACTTGAAGGGGATGTTTATTTGTTTCTGAAGTCACCTGGCCAAACAAATCGTGTGCGTGACTCAAACTACTACTAACATCATAAAAAACACAACAACCGTACATCCCATGTGACAGCCAGTAACAGCCAGTACAAGGTGCACAAATTGCTACCATCCCCACAAACACATGACAGACATGTGTCGAGTTTGTCAGTCTCCATATAAGTCCGTGCATGCAGCGAGGTTTTATACATACTATTACCGGCCTTGTTATATTTGTATCACTCGGTAGATCCTTGTTTAGGTGATGAAATTCGATACATGCCACTACAATTGTTGTGACAATTGTGCTCTTTGGGGGACGCTCTAACGTTTGAGAGAAGGGATACCGTTCAAATGTATTGGGTGCGTAGCTATGGTACAGTTTGACTAGGTAATGAAGCGCTAAGATAATGGGCGATAGCGTGAAGCGCTAACCGGCCCCAATCGAAGATCTGCCGGGGTGGTGTGAGCTGCGAATCCCTTGAACAGTAGGAGTCCACGACGACGCATCGCAGCGACGCCGTAGAACCCCAAAATGATAGGAGGAGAGGACTACTCACGGGAGGGAAGATGGTTGAATAGTTCTCGGCAACACGAACCTTACAAAGTTTTCGTGGAAGGCGGGTACAGCCTGCATATATGGTGCCATGATTTGAGCGTGCTTTCGAAGGTACAGCAGAAACGCATCACTGCTCCATCGTCCTTTTGCCTTGACGACCTCAAAGGGAACATTTCGTAATAGGTATTCGAGGGTGGACCCTATGCGAATTCCGTGTCCTTGCAAAGGGTCCATTCCTGCCGCTCTAGCTGCTTGAGCGAGACGAGATATAAACTTCTGTTTTGTTAACGGACGATGGCCGTTCTTAAATTGATAAGCGAAAAGAGCGCCGCCCGGCGGGGGCTCGTTAACTCTTAAGTGGTGCAGAAATGCGCTCTCAGGATCTGAGGGACCGTTTTGTTGCGCGAATGATACTTCTTGGCCTTCTGCCGCTGTCTTGGTGCGAGGAATGTGGAACACCCGCATCTGAAGGTTGTTACGGTCTCGATCGATCCGCATGTCCGAGAGTTTGACGTGGATATTTGGATCGAAGGCGGAGAGGTTAGGAACTGTGAATTCGCCAACACGCGCCGTGCAATAGAATGCTGTAACGAGACAACCGAAGACAGCTGCGTCTAGGGGGGAGTCGAGGTTAAGGTGTCCGCGCAGGGTACAGATGAATTCGACCGTGAATGGGCGCCGTTTCTTGCGCTTTGAAGTTATGGGAGTGAGGTTTTCTGTTGCCTTGAGGAGCGCATCGATCTGTACATCGTCGAGCGACCAGTCTAGTCCGTGCAAAATGTGCCAAGCACGCACACCGAATACATAGTTTGCTATGGTTTTTCCAGAGTACGAACCTGCTGCGGCCGCGATGAAGGCGGAGATGAGAACAGATGATGCTGGGGCTCGGTCGATTTCGGGGATCGCACGGGAGTCGCAGAAAACGTGGTAGACAAGTAGGCCGGATCCATATGATTCGTGGGTACTTGCAGCCCAGGCGTGGCACATTACGTCTTGAATGCGTGTCAGGTCGTTGGTCGACAGGGAGTGTGCTCTCGATCTTGACGCGGCTGGGAGCCATAAACGGAGGCGTTCTTTGGCTGTGCAATGTGGGCGTAGCGATGATGGCAGCAGATGGAGACTAGCAGGGTAAGCTAAACAGATGTTAGTTGGTGGGCTCTGGCGCTGTGAGCATGGGAGAGCACGTACTAGGCTTGCGACGTTTGGAAAAGTTCTTCCCCTTGTCGTTCGAGGACTCTGTTTGCGAGGGCGCGTTCAGCGTCCCTACACGGGGAACGGGCTTTGGGTTCGGTGGGAACCGCGAAGGGAGTATTGGACTCGTTGCAATGTAAAGGGGAGTCGAAGTCGACGATGAACTCCCTGAGAGGGGAAGGGATAGGAATGGGGGGCAGAAGGAGGGAGCGAGGAGGGAATTTTCCGCGTGATGGGTCATCTGCAGGGTTGAGAGCGCTAGGGACATAGCGCGTGAGGACGACACAGGCAGCGGATTTAATGGCGTGGTGAATGCGCTTAAAGACGGTGTTGGTTGCACGATTGCGGCTGCGCCCCTTCCACCATCCTTCCACAACTCCTCTGTTATCTCCATAAACCTTGAAACAAGAGGGTGTGTCTGGCCGGGCAGTTTGGATGATGCTGAGGACGAGGAACTCGAAACCGACGGCTTCGGCCCAGCCGATGTCACGGTTGTCAGCTTTCCAGCCTGGGATGAGACGCCAGGCCCGCCACCACCCGTTAACCCAGATTGCAACTCCCATGCCTGAGCTAGCATCTGAGAAGGCGTTGAGGTCAGTGACGACACATGGTCCTGGGATGGGTCGGCTAACGCAGGGTTGTTGCAGGGTTGCAGTCCACCACCTGAGGTCTGCGGCGCAGTTCTTGGGTGGGGAATGCGGCACGAACGGACGATCACCAAATAAGGGGAGCATGGCCTCCAGTTCGACGAGGTATGCTCGTCCTTCTGGGATGATGAGAGCAGCATGGAGAAGTTTTCCGTGAAGTCGTTGGACTTCGAGGAGGGTGTGGCGGGAACGAGCTTCCCAAGCTGATACCGCCGCGAGGTATTTCTCCTTCTTGGAGGGCGGAATCTCAACTGAGCGTAGGTCAAGGTGCCACGAAAAACCGGTGAAGGGAGGCTGGGAGCTGAAGGGAACGTCTTTGGACACCTCCCAGGGGTTGCCTGTTTGGAGGGAGAGCGCGTCAATATCGGCCATGCAATATGAGAATCTTGCGTCTTCGTCGGAGCGAGGAGACCGTTTGGAGAGGTCGAGGATGGGGAAGACACAGTCCTCGTCATACTCTTCTGGCTGGTCGTTTGCGGATGTGCGGCCCCGGTACCATTTTCGACCGCCGTCAGTGCGGAGCCCGCCCTCGTCTCGGATGCTCTGAGCCCAGAGTTTCCGTTGGTTGTTGTACTCCTCGAGGTGCTCGAGCAAGATCCGGAAGAACAAGTGGTCGTCGACCCACTTAGACAGCGGACCAATTCCCTCACTACGGAATATGTCTGCTCCGGCGTCAGCAAGACCGCCATAGGACCCAGCTGCAGAGGAACAGCCGAAGCAAAAGCTGGTGTCAATGGCGAAGGACTCGTCGTCGATGCGGACGACGAGTCCTGGATATTGGGAAGGATGGAGTGGGACGGTTCTGTACGCTTCTGCGACATCGCGCGTTGCACCTTGGGATCCTGGGGGAAGGCGCCAGATAAGTAGGCAAATCGTAGAAAATGTACCGTATGTGCAAGGATATATATTTGAGTCAATGGAAGAGTTGATGGAAGGAACGGAACGGGTGATGGATGAGAAACTGTGAGATAAGTTTTGGATAAGGCGGAACTTTCCAGGCTTGCCTGGTTTGGGAATGATTGATAGCGGAGCTGTTTGAAACGGTCCGATGAGGGCTTCCACCTCCTTCTGCGAGAGTGGACCCAGGTATCTGCCGGCGGCGAATTCTCGAGCGAGAATCGCTTTGAAGGCTTCGAAGTGTTCATAGACGGAGGGGCTATTAGGAGGAGTGTACGTAGATGAGATGGGTGGGATGCTACCATAAAAACCGTATTGTAACGACTGCGGAATGTGTGAATATGTACAGTATAAGACCAGATTTATTAAGTAAGAGGAGCCATGCATCTGCGTGATAGGGGGTAACAGCTTTAAGCTTCCTGGCCTCGAGGGACAGCTTTGAGCTCCATGATCCGAGCTCCCACAACCGGAACACTTCGTGGATATGGTCTTTGCTGCTGCTCGTACATCCATTGGGCCTTTGCCAATCGTAACAGAGTTGGAGGCCTTGGGAGTTGACAAGACGGCCTTCTGGGCTTCTCCGGCAGTGAGTTGGAGTCTTGTTGTCCCATAGGAATTCGCTCTTGCACTTGTGGACGTTGTGGGCGAAGCGGCCGAGACAGAGAGCGCAGGCATGTAGGCCTGTTGATGCTGCGCTGCTCTGAAAAGGCTGCCGGTCACGGGTAGAGCGCTTACGTTCGTGTTTAGCTTGCTTCTGGTTGGGAGACACGGTGCGAGGAGGTAGCTGTCCTGATGGGTTGCGGATGGGGGAGCGGGAACGGGAGCGTGTGGATTGAGGCTGGTTTTTGGATTGGTTGCGGTGGGAGGACAATTGGGTTTCGCGAGTCGACTGACGAGCGGTTACAGCTTGCTGGATCTCGTTTAAGCTCTCGAGACGCAGTTTGTTCCAAACTTCTTCTGCCATATTCTTCAGGAGCGTGGGGTTAAACACGCTGATGTCGAAGGCATTATCGAGGGTGAGAGTGTCATGCCAGTCTCGACGGACGCGAGCCGCGTAGAGAAGGAGGGCGCGTTCGCCGAACGGTTCTGCGCGTTGTGGGTGAGACACGATGTTCATGAAGAACATCGTGACAGCGCGTTGGTGTTTCTCCGGCCAGTTCAACTTGTTGATGTACAGGAGGAAGCTGTTCTTCGCCATGTCAAACTGCCGCCACTCTAAGTTGTGGTCCTGGATGGCCTTGCGCGAGGGTTTGAAGGATGCAACAGGCTTTAGCGCAACGAAGTCTTCCACTTTCGTGAAGCCAAAGGTGCCGTCTGCCGATGATTTGGCTTCATCCGCGGTTTCCTTGCAGCCGTCCGGGCTGAAGTACCAGAGTTCCACGTATTCGTACGACTTGAGTTTGTGGATGGTGTATTGGGATGGACGGGGTGTTAGAGTATCACCGACGGAGGTACCTACTGTGAAGTCGTTTATCTTCGGCTTTTTCTTTTCGGCCTCCCGGCGCTCATTCTCGGCTTCCTGCTCATGGGTTCGTTCTTCCTGTTCAAGCAGTTCCCGTGCGGTTTGAGCTTGCTCAGCCGCAAGCCTGGCGTCTTCAATGACTTGTTGGTTCCAAGCGGTGACACGAATGTCGCGGTCTTGCTGCCAACCTATGGTCAGTTCATTGGCTGCTTCCACGTGGGTTGTCTGCGAGTTTCCGATGATGCGGTTTCTCAGTCCTTCGAAAGTCGGGGATGCGAAGTCCGGTTCGACGTCAAGGGTGGGGTTGGAGGCGATGCGTGCCATTATAAGGTGAGTGGAAAGGATGGAATTTCAAAGATTGGAAAATTAGAGGTATTGTGCAAGTAAGGGAATATTAAGGTGTGTGTAAGAAAAGAAATAGCTCGACGAGGGCTTCGTCGAGGATTCTACTAGAGGAGCGGAAACAAGAGACGCCGGCGTTTTCCGCTCGCCCAAAGACAAAACTCTAACTCTTCGCTCGTGCCTCGCTACGTAATAGAGTGAGAATTTCTGGCAGTCCCTTGTGCGGGTAATGAACTTATACACATACTCCTACTAGTCTTGTCACCATATTGTGCGATAATTGTAGGCTCTGTTTGATCACGATAATGGCCACATCAAATTGCACTGTAGTAGCTACAGTACACTGGGCTATAGGCAATGAGCACGGAAATAAAGTAGTAAGTAGAGATACGAATATGCGAAGGGAAAGTACTGAATATGAAAGTGACGATGCAAAGGTAGTCATGTGTATGATGTGAGCCAGCAGAGACAAGGGAAAAAGTGAAAGTGAAAGGCACACAATAACCCATGACAGCGCTAGACAGTATGAGAGCACACGAGAGGGATCAAGAACGTGCGAGAGCATGCAGGGATGGTGCGAGATGGTGCAAAAGGGTGGAGGAAGGTTTCAGAGGATGCGGGGGGATGCCGAAGGCTACCAAAGTTAGAAGACAAAAAGAAAAGATAGAACTTACATGTGTACGAGCTTTGGTTAGCTTAGGGAGTGAACAAAACAAGAAATTACCGTAGAGTTGAGTGCGGGAGATGCTAGCTAGCAGGTAAATGTGGGAATAAACTCACTCGAATGACGCAAAAGGGTGCAAGAGATGCAGTGAGGGACGACAAAATGTAAGAGGTGGCAGCGGCAGGGCGTAAGCTGTCACAGTAGGGCGTGGTAAGCAGCGCAATGCAAGGAAGAGTCTCTGAGTAGTACTACTATTGATATTAAAAGAAAAACATAAAAGGACTTACGAGGGCGACGACAGCTGGTGAGGGAACATTATTAGCTAGAACATAACACTCGCGGCGGGAAAGAGGTAACGGTGTGGCCCACCGTGTGGGTGGCACTTATGTGAGAAAAGTCTTAGAGACGGACGGATCTCGAAGTCGGAACTTCAAGCTCAAGCTTCGAGTTCGGGGTCCTATGAGGTAAATGACTTGGCAAAAATTATAACGTACGTGTCAAGTTGCTGTCGGCCGAATTCGTGGTCAAACTGCGGCACATCTTGGATCGGTACATGATGCATGCATATGGATGAGACCAATCACCATATGTATATAAGACCTATAGCTAGTATATATACATGTGCATGACATATACATGCAATCTTGATGATGCATACTTCTGCACTTCTGTTAATCACTGTACAAGCTTCGCACATTTCGTGTACAAGCTTTACATTTCGCCCATATCTGCTATGGCTTGCATACATGCTACGATCTCATGCATACCTCCACACTTCTGTTAGTTACTTTACAAGCTTCGTACCCTTCCGGTACAAGTTTTACATCTTACACGTGTCTGTTACTACTTGCATATGTGCTACAATCTCATACAACCATCTACCAGGGTTTGTAAGCCATAAAAGGCAGTAACCAGCCATACACGCGAACTGTTCTTTTGTTGATGAAGCTTACTGCAGTACTCCGATTGCTTTTGTTGCATGTCGCGTCGTAATTTAACGTTTTAAAGTCGCCTAAAAATGCACATCATTAATGCATCGATAACTACAACTTGATGTCTTCGAAGGGCTTCGGATTCCAGTACGACTTCCACAGTGGCTTCCACTGTTCTGGCACCAGGCAATTGAATGGGCCAACGGGTTTCCATCATCTCATAGATGTGGTCGTCAGCGGGCCAGGTGGGGCACTACAACAAAACAAACCTTTCTATGTTATGCAACATTGCTCAAATGATACTGGAATCTTACCCTCGAAGTACATGGACTCATATGATGAACTGCCTTGTGTAAGGACGCTGGGCAAGCCCGGCCACTAGTACTCATCTTCGACTTGACTGTTGGATAGCTTGTAAAACATCAACTCAGGTGGCCGGATGACAAGCGGCATGTCTGGATGGCTGAGAGGCCTCCCCGGCCCATCCCGTAACCGAAATGCAAGGTTAGTTATAATACACCAGCAAACCGTTACCACCGAGATATCTCACAGTTATAGTTAGGATAAGGAACTTCCTGGGTTTCACGCGATAAGGCCTGACAGGGCATATGACCTCATTCGCTATCGCCTAACGTACCAAGTGAGAGAGTATTAAAGGAGGATTCACAGTCTTGAGAATAATCATTTTTTACTATGGGTGAGATACAGCGGAGAGTCGCTATCATTGGCGCCGGGTAAGTATCGCTTTTTGATTTGATTCTACATGAACTGAACATTTGGACCGCGCGCAGTGTTGCCGGGTTGACCCAAGCTATTGCTCTCAAAACCAAACTCAAATTTCACGATTTCACAGTGGGTGCATCCATGCAATGAGTGGTATGCTCGCTGAGTATTTTGATAGATATTTGAGAAAGGGTCTGAAGTCGGTGGAGTGTGGCGGGTACGTTTTTGTCATGTACCAAACATTCTCTTGACATTCTTTCCACAGGCCAATACATATCCTGTACATATTATCAACGACTGAAACTGTAACACATCGCTCACCCTGAAGATTTTTTTAGGGATGCTCGTCGGATATTGACATCCATTGGTACAGCTTATCCACAGACCTTTACCCATACTGGAACAAGTCTCATGGCCTTCAACCGGAGATTCAAGCCTACTGGATTGAGCTCTCAAAGAAACATAATCTGTATCCGCACATCAAATTCAACACGAGGGTGCTATCTGCGGAGTGGGATGATGCCAAACAACAGTACACCGTCATCGCGGAAGATATCTTTTCAGGCAAGAAGACGACGAGTGTGGCCCATGTTGTAATATCCGCCCTTGGTATTTTGGAGGTCCCAAATCTGCCATACGAGATCCCTGGAGTTCGGAAGTTTCAGGGGACTTCATTTCACTCTGCACAGTGGCCAGGCTCGATGAATTTGCAGAATAAGCGTGTTGCGGTGATTGGAAATGCCTCTTCCGGGTGAGTTATACAACTTCTGCGCATTCATTATGTGGTGGTTTAGACATATGACAAGAGCACAATTCGTACCATCCATATCTGCAGATCCATCTGTTGAAGTAGTGAACTTCATCCGCACCCCGACCTGGCTCCTCACTCGAGTAAGAGCCTTCATACTACGTTCAATGACTCGACAACTAAATAAAACATCCAAGCCACATGTTCCGTACTCGGACGCTGCGAAATGGATTTTTGCTAACATCCTCTGGTGATGCGACTGCATCGAGCTTGGATCATGTTCTGGGTCGGGCCTCCTGCATCACAGAATTTTAGCTTGTTGACATTTCTTACAGTTCGTTGCTCCCCTTCACTTACCCATGGGTGATAAAGCTCTCCAGAAACAACGTGACGTGAGTCGGGGTTGCGAGACTGGGTGTTTGATCTAACGCTTCCACTTAGGCGATGGCGAAGTACATTCTTGATAACACACCAGATAAATATCATTCTCATATGATACCTGATCACCGTACGTGTTTGATCAGGGAATCTTGTTTGTGCTCACATGTTCCACAGCTCCAGGCTGCAAGCGGACTGGTTCGTCGGCAGTAGTCAAACTTGCACAATATTCCCTTTCTTATTTCATTCCATGCAGTCGCGGACAGTGGTTTCCTGGAAAGTCTCTATCGTTCTAACGTGACACTGAACTTTGACGGAATCGCCGAGATAGTGGAGAATGGCATCATCACGAAAACTGGTGTGTGGGCCGTCAATGATATGATCACTTTCCTCACATCAGTTTAGGTGAAATGTTGCCATTTGATGTCATTGTATACGCGACCGGATTCATTGGCGTGAGTTGCTATACATGATCCAACATTCCATTGCATACCAACTGCAGAAACAGGAGCGGTACCCGATGCACGTTCGTGGCTGGAATGGAGCCACTGTCCAAGGCTATTATGATGCGCATGGTGGCCCTACCGCATACATCGGGACTGCGATTCCAGACACACCAAACTTTTACTTGATCAATGGTGAGTTCAGAGAGGGCATACTGTCATCAACTGTCGCCTGAGGTAATAATCACAGGACCAAATACTGGAACGCGAATATCGGCGTTGTTCATTACAGAAGTGCAAGTAGGTACACCTTGATTTTTGGATCTTTTTACTAAGTTTGTCGGAAGGTTGCATACATCCTTCAACTCATAGAGCCGGTCCTTACCGGATCTGCCTCATCTTTCACTATCAAAGCCACTCCCACAGATACATATAACGCCAAGCTGCAAGAACAGCTCTCTCACTCGGTCCACGTACACTGTCAATCTTGGGCGCGTACGAACGGTACAGACAAAGTATTTTATCCGTTTCCTTGGCCTGCGACGGTTTGGTGGTGGTTACTTCGTAGACCGAATTGGGATCATTATATAGCAGTCGGCGCCGAGAAATGGGTATGGGCAAGGCGAATCAAGGCTGTTAAGAAGTTTTTGAAATGCAGCGCAGTCTTGACGCTATTGTGGTCATACATCAGCCTGCGCAGCGGATATGACACGACATGGTGGTGAGTCCATCATTGTTCTCTATGCTTATCGATTAAATGATCTCTATCTTTAGGCAAGCGATTACCGTGACTTGTGGCTACTTGAGTAAATTCGCCCTCCGTCTTTGAGGTGCCATAGGTTTACGAGACACATCATGATTATGTGAAGTACTGGACGGTTTGTCTCCTGATCTTACAATGAACGTCACCTGTGTGTGGAATTTGCACTTCAATAAAAAGTCGGTGGAGAGCAGTGATACGAGCGCGCATTCCGTATCAACCATTTTCAACCCACATATTACTAGCGAGTGGATCGACCGATTTCACAACACGGATATGGGAATTGGACTCTGGCAAACTCGTTCAAAATCGCTTGCCAGCGGACGCGGTTCAATTCTCGCAAGACTCGAGGAAGCTCGCAGTCAAGTCAGGTGCAAACGGTCATTGGTTTTGAAGTGTGGGATGTCCGAGCCCAGAAATTGGATCTCATCATAGCTAAATGTACTAGCTGGGCAATATCACGTGTGCCCATGTCGAGGACAAGACCATCGTCGCGGCTGCCGCTTTTAACTTCGAGGATGACGTCGAGTTGGGCTATGGTCACCACAAACTCCGGTCTAGAGCCAAGACGATCTATGAGTTTGATGCATCGACGTTAGAGACTGTCGGAGCTCCCTTCGAAGGGTAAACCGACAACATCTCTGGTCTAACACTTTCATTCGATTGTGCTCATCTCGCTAGCGCTTCTTGGGACAACATCATCAAGCTATGTGCTTTCGAGTCTCATCAGCTCCTCCCCTCATTCGACCCCCTCACCCAATTCACACCAACTAGCTTTAACGAAGTGGGAAGACACCGAAATTTACATATGGGACATTCCACCCGACATCCTCCCAATTGTCTTGCCTGCACAAGAAGTACAGTCTAATGTATACACCCACGTGCATATAGTTATCTGTTCGTGCTAACATTCTCTTTCAGACAAGTGCAGCTAAGAATCCTCGCCTCGCTGATTTACTCAATGTATGTGGCCAACTATTCACCCACACCGCTCTATTCAATGCCATTATAACAGTCCGACACAGCACGTTGGGACTTGTCTGCTTCCCATAACCTTGTCCTTCGAACCCATTCAACGGCTGTCAAGGACTGACGCTCCAGAAAGCCGTGCTTGGCCTCTGCACGGATTCGTTGGGTTTACGACGAGGAGAAAACAATGCGGCATAAATAATTCAGTCACAAGTTATACATTCAAGGTTGGAGATGTTTCTCTATCCTAAAATCTTCATTGCTCGAGCAGCAGCAAAATTTGTTCAGAAACAAGCATCTCCGCAACGAACTACTTACATGTTGGTGCCATTAATCACACGGCACCAATGAGAAAGCAGAAACATGACTCACGGTAGCTCATTTCTCACACATATATACGTAGTAAGGCTACCACGCCGGTGAGTCAACAAATTCTGTATGGAACTACTCATACTCACCTCATCAAAATCCGGGTCCAGTACTGGTATGCATTCATAGCCATGACAGCAATCTGCCTTTGAGTTGCAAAGGCCGCCCTTTGAATGGCATTTAGTGTCAGTGTCAGCACTGACAGTCATAGACACTGTCAAAGCAGCAACAACGGCGAGGACAACTCGGAAGGAGAGATGCATTATTTATGAGATGTGATATGGAGTCTCGGAAATAAATTGGTAGGAAGACGGGGTGCGTTTATATCCTTAACACTATTCTGCGCAGAACTACTAATATAACAGATAACATTTGCCATGCCAGCAAATTGCTGACGGAAGTTTGTGGAGTAAGCACGTCGCCTAGCGCAACAAACTACTTAAATGTTGTACGGCAATCAACCACACTGCACCAATGGGGAAGCAGAAACACGAGTCACTGTATATAAGTAGTCTATCCGATCTCACACGCATTGAGATGGTCCTACCACGCCGGTGAGTCCATCAAATCACTCATACTTACATATGGGTCGGCTTCGTTTGGCATGCATGCATTGCCAGGGCAGCAGTCCTTATTTGTGGTGCAAAGGCCGCCAGCGTATTGGCATTCACTGTCAGGCTTCAGCACAGACAGCCATAGGCACTGCCAAAGCAGCAGCAACGGCGAGGACGACTCGGAAGGAGAGACGCATTATTTGTGAGATGTGATATGGAATCTCAGAAATAAATCTGAATGTAGGAATATGGCTTGCTTTTAAGTATATCCTGAATATTATTCCGTGCAGACCCGGCGGCCCTACTCATCCTGAAATCCACCCTTCAAACCATTTACAACGCCAGCAGATTGCCAGCAGGCTTCAAATTTGACTCAGCTATTTCTGGTATTGTATTGCAAGGCAGAGGAACAGGACTCGGATATAGGTGGGGCCTAATCCCTGTTATCCGAAAATTCAGGATTGATGTCCGGACAGGTGGCCCAGGAATCCGGAAATGAAAAATCTGTTTGTGCGGGTGGATCAGGCTTATCTGAGTCAAGGCCGCTCAAAAATGACCGTTAGCACTGCTTAGAGGCACATGGTCGATGTAGAAATTTGGTACTATGTATGTAGATACATGTATCAATCCTTGTTTAACATATGTAATTACGACCCTCGCGTTTTGTCAGATGGAAGCATAGCCCTTGATTTACTGCTCGTGCGTGTCTCAACACACAAGGTCATTGGCAAGGTGAGGTGCACATTGCATGTACAGGCCAAGTCAGTCCCCACTAGTATCACCACCGCTTACAAGATTTGATATACGACAAAGAATCTTGTCCAGATGCTATGTGTCTCAACAGTCAATTGTTGCAATTTCTGCAAGGTGTGCTCTTTACACAGCAAACTTATGTGTCATACAGGAATGTAATTCATAGAAATGCGTGTCGTGCATGTGCACTGGCCGCAACGCTTTGCTCGCTGATGGGGGGCAAACCCGAAGCTTCGAGGAATTGGCACGACTTTCTCCTCTCTTCACGCATTTTCTCTTGTTCTGCCCTGCCGGAAATGAACGATGTACTTGAGTAGTCGTCAACATTGATATGATTACTGGGGGGATATCTTGATACGAGACCGGCGAGTGTAACGCAGCGTTACAGTCGCGATGAAACACCTAACATGACCGGAAGCACAAGATCATAGCTCTCAGCGCTGACCCATTCGATATCGAAGCGCAGTGGCGGATCGTGAGGCATGAGATGCTGCGATATCAAAGCTGCTATCGGCATGTGTGTTAAGGTCCAGTGTAGGCGAACCTGGAATGTGTAGATATTAGCAACTACAGTATGGACACGGAAAGGAGCGTTTACAACAAACTTACTCCGACGGAGTCCTCAGATGCGCCCTAAGCCATTCGACATTTCCCTACTGAAAGTTGACAGTCAGGCGGTAAAACGAAGTGGGGATGCAAGCGCGGTGAACTCCGACATGTTCAAGTTAACATAAGTAGCAAAGATGTAGCAGGATGCACCTGCCAAAGAATCGGCTCATAGGACTTGACTGTCGATGAGAGCAGGCGCGCACGCGCGGCTCGGCCCTCGGGTATCAGAGGACCTCTGGGTGTAGGAGAGAACGCATGCAGAGCTCGAACTGGGGCTGGGTAGGTTTGGGCGCTCGAACACGTAAATGTATAATTGAGCGCTAGAACGTGAGAAGCAGAGAGCTGAGATGCTGTACAGGAAAGAGGTTCTGATTTAAGAGGCGGTAGATACGGCCATGTGCCCATCATTTTCAGGTTGCAGCTATTATCTTGGTAAGATGATAAGCCCTATCTGAATCCTCAGCCCAGATTTGAACTGACAATTAGCTTGAGCAGGGAAGTGCAGCAGCGCTCGAACAAGGTGGCCATCTTCAGAAACTTTGATGAAGCCAACGACACGCAAGGAGAGCTCATCGACAGTCCTTCGAAGTGGCATACTCTGAAGACATTGACCATGGCCTCCAGCTCGACGCAGCCCGGCGCAACATTAAACGAATTGATTCTGACACCAATCATGACCTTTCGTCATGAACCTTTCAATCCCTACTACGTTTCATCCATGTGCTACTTTCCAGATGGCAAGCAAATGATCAGCGGATTAGGGGATAAGACCGCTCGACGATGGGACCTGCGGGCTGGTAAGGAGATCGAGGAGGCGCGAGAAGTTTGTGAGCAGAAAGTAAGTGCGGTGGAGGTATCAAGGGATGGTCAATGGGTTGTGATTGCTGGTGGAGATTTCAACTGCGGGGAGCTCATGTCAAGACCGGGATCGTTAGAACATTTGAAGACCCTTCGAGAGGGCAGATCGACTGCATTGATATCTCTGCAGACAACACCCTATTGGCGTGCAGGTCGACCGATTCCACAGTGCGGATATGGAGCTTGGACACTGGCAAACTCTCAGCTGGCCCATTCAGCAATGATAACGGGACCGGGATGGGCACGGTTCGATTCTCGCGAGACTCGAAGAAGCTTGCATTCAAGTCACTTGTGGCAAGCTGGCTTGAGGTGTGGGATATTGAAACACAGAAAGTGGATGTTAGAGTGGGGAAAGAAACTCATAAGGGCGTCGTGTCCCATGTGCCGATGTTCTGGACAACCAAAGACAAAACAATTGTGGCCGTATTGGACCTCAATTGTAATATTGAGGACTGGGCCACGGAACACAAGACCATCTATGAGTTACACGCATTAACGCTAAAGACTGTCGGAGCTCCCTTCGAAGGGCACACCATCAATATTGATGGTTTAGCACTTTCATTCGATTGTGCTCTCCTCGCTAGTGCTTCCTGCCTCGACAACACCATCAAGCTATGGGCCTTCGAGTCCCGCCAGCTCCTCGCCTCATTCAATGTTCGGGGTCCCTCCTTCCTCACCCTCTCACCCCAGCTGGCTTACTCAACCCTTGGCTCGGACATCCACATATGCGACATTCCACCCAAGATCATTGCCACTATCTGGCCCAACGTATGCATCCACGCCCATATATATATTCGTTCATCCACTTATAATCATATTATCTTACAGACCAACGAACCTAAAAATTCCAATATCCTTAATGTATGTGATCCCTACATTCATTTACGCATCCATTAATGTCATTTTTGCAGTCTAACGCAATACATCGTGCTGTGCCTCGTAAACCATGTCACATCTTTTGCTCCTCGGCCGCAAGGACTTTCCCCTACTACACAACGACACGATTTCTTTCGCTATCTCCGCACAGTCCTTCCTTCTCGCACGAACACACGTTGCAATGGTCAGCACCGTGATCCCCTGGATGTACGTCTCGTTTATCTGTTTACTTCAGAGTTGACTTGACGATTCCTTGCAGTTCCCTGCTACATCTCCACTGCCTCGCAACTACTCGTTCACGGCGCAGGAAACAACTCATTTGCGTATGAATGCCCGCGAAAACGTGAGTGTCAACTGCCATAATCATATCTTCGACTTACATTTTTCAGTCTCGACACACCACCGAACCATCATCCGCTGCTACTTCTACGACCTTCATGGCCCGCCTACATGACCTATGGACGGGTCATGCATTGCCGCCTATTGTTGATGTTCTCGCGCAGGGCAAAGAGGTAAGTTTGGTGGAATTGTTTTCAATATATTCGATAATTTATCTATCCATTCACAGCGCAATGTTGCAGCGGGTGCTCCTCCCAAAAATAAAGACTGGATACCTGATGAAGACCATGTTCCTTCACGTCCTGCTTCACCGAATCCTAATTCACAACAACCGCCTGCAGCGCAAATCAACGCTGGAGAGCATGGGAGCGACCGGTTATGCGGCTGCTTCTAAATTGGCTGGTATATCATCTAGTATTGTACTCTTCGTTTTCATCGTTCATGCTATAACGTCAACATTAACTTATCATATGCATAGCCACTAGTATACCCCTCGAATTACTTCTTATCTTCGTATCAATATGTAAGCTAATCATAAACCTCACGCGTCGAGACCTGCGCGTCATTAAGTCGAATGAAAGTCGGTCAAGTACGAGTGAATCGGCATCGGGGACTGAAGGTGCTGAATCCGACTATCCATAACATTCCTTTCCGACGGCCCAATCGAGATCGACGACAGGCGTCCACTCGTTGCCGCCCGGAACGAAGACCGCTCGTGCTTAACGCAGACATTCATCCACACATGCACACTCTAAATCGCAGCTCACTCACCGCTGCAGACATGGACATCTCCCGGTCCAGTCCCGAGTCAGCTTGTCGCCAAGACCAGTTTCCTAACGAGCCTCGCGCAAAGTCGTCTGATTTCATTCTTTCTCGTAGCTTGACTTTTGCGTTTAACGTGCGGAGGATCGACAAGGTGTAGAGCTTGCCTGTTTGAAGCAGGAATACGAAAACTAGACGGTTGGCGTTTTTCTGGGTATCGTCAGATTTGTTGGTGTGAGCAACTTGGAGTTGCACCCACGTTATGCGAGAAGAACAGTCCTGCGCAAACGGCAATGCAGAGGGATGGCCAGACTGCAGATTCTGTGGCGACAGCGCAGAACCGTAGGAGTGCTCTGTCGAGATGGTGCACGCCGGTCTTGTTTTTCCATAAGAAATAAGCGACTGTTGGATCACATCAATCAAGTAAGATCTTGGTGAAGTTGAAAGCCTGAAAAAGACTCACGGATAACAGAAAGAATGACATCGATTACTTCAAGAAAATAACATCAGTAGTCTTGCACATAGAATCACTCATCGTGACCTACCGAGCACCGCCGTTGTCCAATACGAAAATGCAATGACGCTCAGCTAGAAATGCAGTTGGGCACACATGCAGAATAAAGCAAGCCTTCACGTACTATGACATCGCTAGGCTTTGGATTGACGACGCTCAGACGTGAAAAAGCCACCGCCTGAACATGCCAGATTAACGTCAGATTCAAACAGCAAAAAAGTAAACCACACACGATCAAGATATTCGCGCCGTACGTGGTTATCGTGAACGCGAACAAGACGGCTATCCACCAGCTTCCTTTCGTAACCTAGCAAAACCAAACCTTTGAGAGTTTGCGCTAGAGCTGGTACTTGGAATGCATACCCGCCAGCAGCGTCGGAGGAGGAAGAGCTTGTTCGTTCCACTGATGAAACCGTTCAGGAAAAGTGCGAACCATGCTCGCGGAATCATCAACTAATCCCAAGAAGTCAGACCAGAGATCAGCATGATGATACATCGACGTACCAGCGTCTTACGGTCTACATTAGCCTTCCAAGCTATGTATCCTTCGAACGCCGTCTGTGCACTTTCCCAAACACCGGAGACTAAGCACAACACTCGCGTTACACCAAGCCAACCACTCACACAGAAAGCAGAGTAACAAACGCTACGAAAAGATTACGACCCCAGGAATCTTCATAACACACCTCGTAGTACTGCCCAGCTTCTATGACGATGATACCCTGGAAGAAAAACTGTATAAACACGCCGACAAGTATTGCACCAGGTGGCTCCTCGAGAGCGTGTGTGGTCCGATCGGTCACAATGTCGACGGTAGGTTGGCTCGCGTTCAACATGGCAATCGATGCGTGAGATGACGAACTGTACAACTGACTCGTGGCATGGGCGGTTAGAATTAGAATCAAGACTGAGATGTATTCATAATATGGCTGACATTTCGTGATGTGCATAGCGTAAAATTATCACAATTCTAGTGGTCATAAGATAATAATATGCGCAAGACGTACTAGTGTAGAAACATAAGGTATGAAGGAAGGGGAGTCACGAGGATGGTGGTGGTGCTAGTGGCTCGAGGTCTCTCCTATGACGGAGGTCCTCCCAGATCGTGGGGTGTTCTTGCGTACAATGCATAAAGAGGTCTTCAAACTTTGGGTTCACTAACACATCCGGTTGTTCGGGTATCATATCGTTGTCATAGCGATCACTGGGAGAGACAAATCAGGATTGAGGACACGCAGAACGAGGGTTGACTTACAGGCATCTGCCACAGAAATATCCATCGACTACTTCAGCATCTGGCTCGTAGATCATGTAGACACATGCTTCAACGGATCGCAAATTATCCCCACTCGGTGGGCCAGGCGTCTGTTCTTGAGCGGGCGACGGCGTGATGGAGCTTGGTGAAGTTGGGTTGGAACCAACTGCAGTATCTGAAGGCGTGAATGGAATCGAAACCTCGTCGCTTGCGGTGCCCACTTGACCCGTTGAGGCCCCATCCATCTTTTCTTGAAGTGGTGCAGGAAGCGAGGGTGAGACTGGTGAGGTTGGATTTAAACCAATTACAGTGTCTGGAGAGGATGGTCTGGGCTCAGGATCGACGATCGTATCTTCAGGCGAGTGAGTGGGCTCTGTGGTCCTTTGTCTCTTGATCGACTCGATATCCTGCACTACTGAACCATCCATGGCAGAATTTGTGCGTTTTAGACCGCTAGGCTGATCAGCCAGGCTACCTCCAGCTTGCTCCGTCACCCTTTCGTCTTCCCCGGTCATATCTACAAATAGAATAGGACGTGATGTCACAGTGTGCAACTTGGGGTGTAAATTGAAAGGCACGAGTGGCGCCGATGCAGTTCCATTTCGATAGACAGTTTGCGACGTAAGCGTATGCGGATGGGTAAAATGCGGTTGCTGAGGGCGATTGGGATTAACCGGGGCTGAAGTAGAAGGCATGTGTGCAAATTCTGTGGGCGACCTGGCTCTAAACATTGGAGGTGCTGGTGCCGGTGGTGAGTGCTGCCATCTCTGCGACGTAGGAAGGGGTTGCTGAGGTGGATAAGGCTGATACGAGGATTACTTCAAAGTCTAAAAGCAGTGGGAATAGGCGTACATTTTGAACACCATCAGAAACCCTCCTTTGAGCGTGTGCTTGATGGGCATGTTGCAGCTGATGAGGTGGCAGGGTGTGCTGAACCTGCGGTCGCATTTGTCGTGAGGGTTGTGCTTGTTGCTGAAATTGTTGCTGCGGTAAACGAGAAGGGTGGAGTCGGGGAGCACCTTCGGCAGATACGCGTCGCTGATGAACCTAACGATACTGTTATTCGTACTTTGTGAGATTAAATAGAAAGTACCAACATCGCTAGGGGTAGGGACTCTGGGCTGGGCGATTTGAGGGACGGAATCTGTAGTGCGCAATCAGAAATGCTAGAGTACAGAGAATAGGAAATGTCCGACTTGAGCGAAATAATACACCTGAAGAAGACTCGCCACTTTGTGTAGCCATAGCGCATTTGTCCTTGAGCATTTGCATGTCTCTGCAAATGCGACTAGCATATACCCTCATACGGTCGAGTTCTTGGACGAGATGTTCGTGTGAGGTGCCTTTATTGACACTGAGAAGGATGTCTTGGTTTTTCCGAGCGAGAGCAAGACGATCGCTCTCAAGAGTACGTATCCTCTCTTGCATCATTGAGAATTGTTGTATCTGAGTGCTCGGATTAGCCGATCGGTGTGCGATGCGCTCTTCGAGTATCTGAATGGCTACTGCGAGTCGGCAGTTGTCTTGATAGAGTTTTCCGTTGTCCTCTTGGAGTGATCGGACGAGTTGCGTGGATTGTTTTAGCTTGTCCATTATGTTTGGGTGGTAACCCAGCTCTTCGAGACAGCCATTAGTGGTGGATGAAAGAATTTCGACGATCTTGGAGTGCAGCCTGCCATCTTGGTTTGGATTGCTGTTGAGTGCGTTAGAAGCAAATAGGAGGAGAGCTAACAAAGGCTTGCCTAACGTCGGGATAAGCCCCGACAAGTGCTTCAGGAGATGACATCCAGCTGCAGCCGATATAATCGCTTGTGTGATAGAGGAAAAGAGAATTGAGGGGGAAATTTCTTCCGAGTTACTTCTCAATTTGTAGGCCCGGAGATTTTCAGTCGAAATTGACTTAGGTCAGGGTTTAACGTTTTGTTTGATCCGTGGATTCCTCTCTAGCGTTATTAGCTTACGATGATCCGGTGAGCTTGTCACGAACGCGAATAGAATGCAAGTGCAGCAAGTGGCAAGTAGTCCAGCCCTTTTGTACATTAGCAGGTTCTTTGTACAGTCGTCGGAGTCATACTTTGGAAAGCAGCGAGGCTGCAACGCGTTTGATCACAGACTACTTCTATCATCGGACACGACGGTCCGAATATACCATGCGGTCGTCTGCAGGCGAATCCTTTTATTTTACTACCAGGTGTTGCACAGTACGAAAGAAAAAATTGATTCCAAAAAGTACTCCCTATGACTCGGAGTGATCGCAACGATGAACATGCACAGATACCAGGTAGCCACCCTACAACAAAGTATCACTTGTTGGCGTACAATTTGAATATGATGGACCTTTACAACCACCACCGTTCGCGGCTGATAATTCGAAGCTGGCTGAATTCTGTCATACGCATATCACCAGTTCAAGAATCGCATCAAACAGCAGAGAAGGGAAGCAGAAGGCATGGTGGTGGTGCGACGCCTGCGCATTCTGCAATTCCATTCCATCCTTACCAAAACCAGGGCAGCGGTTACTTGGTTCGTAACGACCTTGCACTGAAATATGATTGTCGTGATCTGGATTGACGAGAGAGCGAGCAACTTCGCGTCAGTTTACGATCCTTCCTGAGCTTGCCATATGCTGCGCGGAACACGAGCTTCTCGCCTGCCTTGGGTTCTCCAGTCGTGCTGATAAATGAGCCTCGTCGATGGATCCACTTGACAAAAATTCTGATCATTCAGTAGCAGCGCGAGACGTGGAATCACGATGTGTCCACCTTCTGAAAATAATTGATTTGGTGCAACAAGGTGATTGCAGAAGACGCGCTGCGTGACAAAATCAGGTTAATGACATCTAGAAGTCTCCAATTACTGCACATACATTCTGGAGTCTTATCGTCTGATCCACGACGATCCATGTCGAAAGAATGCTGTACTTGTTGTCCATGCAAGGAGCTTCGAGAGAGTAAAAATGTGGCATTTTAATACTGCTACAACAATTTCAAAGCCATGACAGTAATGGCGAGCAGTGAGCAATAAAAGTTCATGATTAAAACTCGAAGCTTGAACACATCATGATAGTTTGAGCAAGAGAAGAAGATGGTATCATGATCGTAACCTGGCACCCGGGCCTGTCAAATTTCAAACTCATCGCTTCTCGTCAACCTTGTCGGTTGCCAACTGGCATACATCAACTTTTTCCTACGTAGGCCACGGCATGAGCGTGGAGGTTGCTGAAGATCACATTCTGATATCAAACGTTGATGATACGATACAATACGTACGTATCCGGGAATTTTCAAATACCCATGACCAACGACCTATTCGGAAAATTGGAATAAGTGCTGAGCATCGACCGACGACGACCCGATTAAAAGATCATGGCGCCATCAGCAAGACACCGGATGCGAGTCGGCGAATGCCCTTCTGGTCTAATTCGAATCAAGTCTAGGGCTTACTCGATATCAGCGCCCAAAACCCGCTGGACATGGAGTCTGAGACTAGCAAATCACAGCTCTAAGCCTATTTAATCGACAATGACAAACCCGAATTTGAAGTGTCTGGGTGTAACACAGTAAGCAACTGCCCACGATCGTGAAAAAAACAACCCAAAGATGACAATAGCGTGTATGCTTACCTGCCTTCTACATGTTTTGACACTCGGAGATGTCACAGAATCAGGCAACGCGAGTACTGTCACGATGCAGGGTCAGTACGTAAATGTTGGATTTCTCACCGCAGCTCACGCGGTGAGTGATGTGGTCACATATATAGATCGGAGTCACAGCGTCACCTATTATTGATCACACTGCATCAAACTTATAAGCAAGACATTATCAGATGCGCGTAGTCCGGCGTTCGCTCCCACTCGTGCCCCACCAACGCCTGTGCTGAATTCAGCTCCATTCAAATGGCCTTAACAGAATCGTTTTATCCGAACATCTCTTCCCCATTATTAGCAGAGTCTGACACAGCTCTCCTAGACGTTCTCACCAGCCCACGATGGCAAGGCGTACAAAAATTCTCTAGAAGGGATGCTGCTTTAGACCCATTATTGCTTGCAGTAGCAGCGTCTGCAGGCACCCACACCACCCGAAATCATTATCATCATGATTTCTTTCCCGGTGCACAAGCCGATGCCGTAGCTCGAGGCAAGCGGGCTTCAGAGAATACAAACAAGCCTCAGGAGCGCAAGCGTATGTCATATGTGAGCAAGCAAGGCCCTCGAAGACTGCGCTTGCAGCCCACCATTTCTCTGCAACCAGCTATAGCCTCTCAGGTCATTTCGTTGGCTGGACCATCACCCATATCCTCTATAGAAGTTAAATGCATGGCTCGTACCCGTATACCCACGCCATATGGTCCAGTCTTCTTACACCTTTACCACAATAATCGTGACAACAAGGAGCACCTTGCCATTGTCGTAGACTCAGCACAATACTCGGACGATAGTTCTGTTCTAGCACCGCCAATCCGCAGCAGTTCTTTAGACGCTGTTTGGAATGATGACGAAACAGACATGGACCGCATCATACGCGGGGCATACGTAGGAAAACTATCTGCTACATCCCAACACCCCTCTCGTCCTTCATTGCATCAACCATCCCCCACAGCCTCCATCCCGTCTCCCCTTGTTCGTATTCATTCCGAGTGTTTCACTGGTGAAACAGTGGGCAGCATGCGCTGTGACTGTGGCGAACAGCTTGACGAAGCTATTCGTCTCATTTCCGAACCGATATCTCTTCCGAGCAACGCATCACCTAATTCAAGGACGATTCCCGGCCGGGGTGCTGTAATTTATTTGAAGCAGGAAGGTCGTGGAATCGGCCTTCTGTCCAAAATACGCGCCTATAATTTGCAGGATTTGGGCCATGACACGGTCACAGCCAATTTGATGCTCGGGCATCAGGCCGATGAACGTGGGTACGAAATCGCGGTCGCCATTTTGCGTGACCTTGGGCTTGGTTCAGAGCTTGGCGAGGGTGTTCGGCTATTGACAAATAACCCTGACAAAGTTCAAGCTCTTGAGAAAGAGGGCCTGAGGGTAGTAGAGCGGGTGCAGATGGTGCCTAGAAGCTGGAGACATCGCTCTCACTCACAAGCGGACGCGGGAGAGGCTGACCTGGGTAAAACTGCAGGTGTGACCATGATCGGCGGAGAGGCAGTCAGAGGGGAGGACTTGGACAAGTACCTCCGCACCAAGATTCTCCGCATGGGGCATATGTTGCCGCTTTATTTGGCAGGCGGGCAAGCCGAGTCATGACGCAACTCCATGTCGCTCCTTCGCACAGATAATATGAAGATAATATGCAGGGGGTTTGACTTTAACATGACTATTCTTATCATCTATTTACCCTGTGTATTTCTTGGTCGTCCTTAGATAGAGTGTACTCATTAATTTTACCGGTAGATTTACAGTCAGAATTCGAGGAAGTGTCTCATAATAGTTGCTTATGTGATCTATTATCACATCAAATTGAGGCGTTGGCGAAATTGCGGCCATCGTGCACACATCATCACTTTCTCTATTACTGTCCTTCTAAACACTATACGGTGTTGTCATGTTTGACCCTCTTAGCTCTACTAGTTCCATTTTTGCTAATGGAAACACCGACACGTCACCACCATGGCCAACGACTCCCCACGAGCGGAATTCTCCAATACCCCATTTACGTCGCGCTTCCCCGTCTTTACCATCACCAGTGAGTGTCCAAAAAACAGAGACAGATGGGTTGTACGGTAGAGAACCCAAAATTTATGGCCAGCCTGAACCTGGCCTTGTCTCTCCGCAGACGACAGTAGGCTCAAACGGTACAAAATATGAGAAGATGGAACCATATCTACGTGTGCGGATAACTGGAATGGACAGGAATAGGCGGGATATACTCTTCAAGCTTGATGCCCAGGTAAGCTAGCTGCACTTTATCATCCATATGGTAATCAGACTTGCGCTCGCAGACAACACTGTCTAATTTTACAGGAACCACATACCGCAATGTGTCCCGCTCATACCTCGAGTTTCAGCAGTTCTACGAAGCGCTGATCAACAATTGTCCTCATACTATTATACCTGCACTACCTCTTGCCCAAACATCGGCGCCTACAGATGAGGAAGATGATCGTCTTGTGCGCATAATGCTGCAGAGGTGGTTGACGCGGATATGCGAGGATCCAATTGTGATCCATGACGAGGAACTGCGCTCGTTTATCGAGAGTGATTTCGGTTATCAGCCGACGCCACGGCCTCGGCGTAAAACGGGCTCAGGGTTTGGCCTAATACGCCGAGGCGTACCTGACGAAGATGAGGTACTGCAACGTGCACGATTTGAATTGACGAAGCTTGAAACGCAATTTTTCGATGCTGCTAAAGCCATCGACAAACTTGCGATCACACGTAAATGTGAGTGGCTTGAAGGTGATTATCAGGCTTGCCATTTGTTGACCTGAGTTGTAGCTCTGGCTACTGCGCATGCGGAGATGGGCAATAAACTCATTAATGTTGCTACTACGGAGTCACATCCTCCTCTTGGACATGCGCTGCAGAAGCTCGGAAGAGCATGGCATACTCTCACGGATCTGGATCAAGCGCAGGCGATTAGTGAATGTGTCGTCATCGGGGACACCCTTGGGTATCAAGGTCTAAACGCTCGTTCTGCAAAGGAAGCATTGTTACAACGAGCCGGTGTACTGGAAGAGTATCAGGCTGCGGTAAAGTCGACGATATCTAAGCGGAGGAATATAGAGCGGTTGAAGGGGAGTTCTAACATTAGGCCTGAGCGGGTGGATGAAGCTCTGGAGGACATAGAGGAGGTAAGTGCAATCTGCTTAATATTTTCTCCGTGTGAGAGCGCTTATCTCTATAATAGGCCAATAAATATGAGCAAGTGCTTGCTCAACGAGCTAACAACATATCCCAAAATCTTCATCGTGCAATGGATACACACAAGCGTACTGTTGCGGACGATATCACCGCTGCTTTGATCGAGCACGCTCGTTCGTCGCTCATGTACGAGAGGCAGTTACTCCGAGAATTGGAGGCGCTTCGCACAGATGTTAATAACGCCAACCAGAAGGTAGCACTTCCAAACCCGAATGGCATCCCCAAGCCATCTGTTATCTTACCTCTGGAAGACGATATACCACCCACGCGTATTAGGGCTACGCCTCCTGTCGCGAAGCCCCCAAACCGGATGCCGCCAGCCGCTCCTTCACCCACTCAATCCTCATTCAGACATAACCCACTTCCTCCTCAATCACCTGGTGCGGGACCCTCGACACCTCAACGGAACTCCTTCGCACACTCGCCTGCACCCCCGCAACCACGGGAAACTGGCCCGCCTCTGGGTGGCCGCTTTGTGGACGGGACCCAGTCGATGTATGTTAACGCCTCATCACCATCACCGTTGGGCCCTCCGGTAGCTGCTTCCGCCTTTTCGCCATTGCCCCAAGGCCCCCTTGGGGGAGCCATTCATTCTCCTGTTCCATCCTCTGCCACCCATCCTCTTGCGGGTTTCGCACAATCCCCATTGGCCACTAACGCTCATGTTCGCTCTGCAAGCGCGCAACAGGCAGTGGACCCTCTGGGAATGTTCGCCCCAACGAACATGTCACAATCAATGCGGGTACACCCATCACGCCCACGCTTGGATGCGCGGGTTGCAGCGACCAAGCTTGCTAATATGTTCTAGCCATTATGACAGAGGACGGACCATGCTTTCACACATTTGTCGATTAGTACTGCTCAATGGATTGCTATTTGTTTGTCAAACTGGAATGCTGATCTTCAAATTCGAGAGCACAGATACTCGATCGGATCAATTTGTTGATTTCAGTAGTAGAATACATGTACACTTCCATTGATTCTGCCATAGTCGTATACTCTCGTCGATTTATCTACAGCAGGGACTTGAGCACCTCGACGACCTTGTCGCCGACCTCGACAGTTGTTGCTTTCCCTTGCAAATCAGCTGTTCTGATGCCATATCCACCAGCACTCGGCTCATCCAACACCTTGCGAACGGCAGTCTCAACAGCCTGGGCCTCTTTCTCGAGACCAAGGGAGTACCGCAGGAGCATGGCTGCGCTGAGAATGGTGCCGATTGGATTAGCAATGCCCATGCCAGCGATGTCGGGGGCAGAGCCGTGAATAGGCTCGTATATGCCTGAAGTAGGCTTGAAAGAGGGGTCTGAAACCAGTGCAGGTGCACCAGCAAGGGATGCCGATGGCAGCAATCCCAGAGATCCAGGGATAACACTCGTCTCATCTGACAAGCTGAAATCAAATTGATGAATATCGTCACTAGTTAACCAACTGAATGAGACTTACATGTCACCGAACATGTTCTCAGTCAAGATTACACCGTTCAACTTTTTGGGGTTAGCCACGATGATCATCGCAGCGGAGTCAACGAGATAGTGGTCAACAGTCAACTGGGGGTATTCCTTTGCAAGTGTCTCGGTGACAACCCTTCTCCACAACCTCGAACTTGCAAGCACGTTTGCCTTGTCGATAGAGTGGATGGGGAGGGGTGGGTTGGCAGCAAGAGCAATTTGTGCTGCAACCCTAGTAATTCTTTCGACTTCGGCAACGCTGTATACCATGGTGTCATATGCGGAGTCGCCATCGCCTTGTTCCTGACGAGGACCGAAGTATAGACCACCGATCAGCTCACGGATGACGATCATGTCGACACCCCTGGCGATCTCGGGCTTCAGAGGGGTGTATGAAAGCAAGGCGTCGGACGCAAAGTTCGCTGGGCGAACATTTGCATATAAACCCAGAGCTTTGCGGATGCCAAGAAGACCTTGCTCAGGGCGGACTTTTGCCTCGGGGCCCCACTTGGGGCCACCCACAGAGCCTGGATTCTAGTCAGTTTGATGGTCGTAAAGTTGAACAGGATTTTTTTACCCAGAAGAATGGCATCTGCCTGCTGGCACGCTGCCAGGGTGGATGCGGGCAGGGATTCGCCATACTTGTCAATGGCACATCCACCAAAGTCATGAGATTCGAGGACGAGCTTGACCGATGTAGATGTCTCGCTGACGAGCTCTAGCACTCGCGTTGCTTGTGCGATAACATCTGGTCCTGTAACACCGTTTAAGCTTCACATCTTGCCTGATTAGATCAAAGGAATTGACATACCAATGCCATCCCCTGGCAGAACGACGATGCGGTACCTGCACATAGAAGTCAGTGCCAGTGAGTATAGGTGAGGATCGAGGGACTGACGACTTGGGAGCCATTTGCAAGACGGAAAAGCGGAAGATGGTCGATATTAATTGCGTTCAGAAACATGTTGTTATAACCTGCCTGAAGAGTCAGCTGTCCGCAGATAATATTATTTACCATCGGCCGATAATCGATCGCCTGACCTTTTGAAGATCATGAATATCTTTCCCACGTTTATCCTCGTCATGTTAGCAGTAGTGCTAACTAAGAACTTCCTCAAAACTTCACATCGATGGCAGAATCAAAGCCTCGCTGTAAAAACTTGGTTTTAGATGCCGGTCCACTGCTTTCGCTTTCACCACTGAGGGGTCTGGCAGAGATCTACCTCACTGTACCTCAAGTTCTGGATGAGCTCAAGGATAAACGCGCCCGGGAACACTTTGAACGATTGGGTCTATCTGCAGGTGTCCAAGTGGATGTACGCAACCCTGATGCTGCATCCCTTTCTCATGGTCAGCGCATGTCCCTGTTTTGTTGGTTTCTTACACGCCTACTACTCTCCAGTGGTACAATTTGCGAAGAAGACCGGAGATTATGCTGTCTTATCTCATGCAGATATCTGCGTCTTGGCGTTGACCCACTCGCTTCATGTACGCGAGCAGGCATCATCTGAGAAGGACCCCAAAGAGGCAAGGTTTGATGAGTCTGGTACCACAGCTCCGATCTAACATCTAGCCAGTAGAGTGTTACCAATGAAATTGACGATAACGTCCAAAGTTCTCCAGCTTCCCATTCGGATCCATCGGAGGATATCCATAGTGAGGATGACAAAGGTGAAGAGAGGGAGCCGCTAGATATCGAAATTCTCCGAGAAGGCGGCGAAGATATAGCGGAAGACATGCACCATCCCTCAGGTGATGAGGCTCGACCATCCGATCAACCGCTATATGAGGACCCCTCCGATGAGGATGATGGCGAGGGCGAATGGGTTACACCTCAAAACGTCGCATTACACAAATCCCAAGCGCTGCAGCTATTGCCTTCTAGCAGTGATGCTAATAAGAAAGGACGGGGACGAAAGCAGGAGGACGAATTCGTACCAGCAGGTTGCATGACTGGAGATTTTGCAGTTCAGAACGTCTTGCTGCAGATGGGTCTGACATTGGTTGGGACTGAAGGCAAGCGGATACAGAAAGTGAAGAGCTGGGTTCTTCGGTGTCACGCTTGCTTTAAGTGAGTACCGGGTCCACTGATTGGTACCCTGTTCTTATACCACAACTAGGATCTGCAAAGACAACTCAAAACAGTTTTGCCCGTCTTGCGGTAACCCCACACTAATGCGAGCGTCGGTCACTGTTGCGTCCCCTGATGCATCACCCGATGCTCCTGCAATGCAAGTCCATCTGAAGAAAAACTTCCAGTATAAAGTAAGGGGAACGAAATATTCAATCCCTGCACCCAAGCCCGGGTCGGCCAAGACAGGCCCTGGAGAAGGTCTAATATTACGCGAGGACCAACTAGATTACATGCGCGCTAAAAAGCGTACAGACGGTAAACGAGACCGGGAGGAGCGGCGAATGATCAAGGGCCTGGTTGACAAGGGTGGCGAGGGTGGTGTCAGTGTTGGTGGCTGGTCAGATCCTGATTGGATGCCAGGGATATTAAGTGCTGGGACTGGAGAACAAGGGCGGTCTTCACATACTACCGGAGACATGCCGCAAATAGGGTATGGAAGGAAAAACCCCAATGAAAGGAAGAAATGGAAGTGATATAGATGCCATTGCTGAAAAGTACAGTACCCATGTAATCGGAACGGAATGTACAACTGCTCTGATTTACGAGCCCAGGCTGCGGTTCATGAACCTTCTTTTCTGGAATGCCATCCACCACTTGCTCGGCTTGCCCGTCCCATCGGCATACAGGCGTTCCACCAGACGAATTGCCAGTTCCTGGCGGACCTGTGTCAAGTATGTCCGCAGATACTCTGTGATGATATATCCATTATCCACTCAGGCAAAACAATCCAACCGAACGTACCCGCGTCTGCTCTGCTCTGAGGTGGGGCATAATGGGCGTTAAGAGGGAATCCAGCATCGCCTGGGATGGCGAAACTGTCTACTGATAATGTATTCAACATCTTCGATGCCTCAATCTGCGTTGGCACTGTACGAGCAGAACCAATCTTCGCCAAGCAATCAGAGATATAGAGAATCAGGATGATCAACAGTCGGTCCGCAGGCCCTTTGATCTCAAAGTTGCGGAAGAGCGAATTGGCGCGAAAAAGGTCAAGGGTCTCATCTATGATATCTCCTTGCTCTGGATCGGCTACATGCGCGACAGTCAGAATGATGGCGGGGCGATTGTAGATTCCAGAAGACGCACCAAGGGGCGCAGGACCACGAATTTTGGTTCTTATCGGCAAGATGGACATATTGCCAGCTTGCATTGCATCAGGGAACTCGTTGAAAGCAGAGTGGTATGCCTATAAAGTTTTGTTGTTCGTCGTTAGCATTGCTCTTCGAAACTTCTCTAGAGGACTCGCTCACAGGCATAGCGCGCAGCGGTGAGAAGTGGGGGTACACAGCCACCAAATTAAACGTTAACGGGGCATTTCCTTTTCAATCTGAATTATTTTTACACTCGCTATTGTGTGCTTGATGTTCAACGTTGTTCGACCTCCAAAACCAGCAACTTCAGAAACCATGTACCAAAGTGATGAAACTGATAATGAACAAGCCTCTCTTGTCTCATCGCGGTCGATGAAACCCTCTCCGGATACATTAACGAGTATGTTTGCCCATTCTTGTATTCATTTCATTTCCCAACTGTTATAATAGAACTCGTGAAGCGTCTCAGGGCACTAGTAACGAAGCTGCTTCCAGTAGAAGTTGATTACAAGAGCATCAATGATCCAACAAGCAGGGTTATCACTCCCGACGTTATATCTGCTTTCTTAGACGCAGCAGGTGATCTTGGCGAAGCGGTGAACAACTTACAATCGTGCTAAAATGTTCGACTTGCTCATTGTGCTAAAAGCTCCCATACTGTTTGCTTCGTGCTCACGCTGATTTCAAGAGAGAGGCATATCTCAACCCTGCAGATTTTGGCGAAAACACAGGAAGAGGTAAGTAGAACTTGTGTCATCATTACTTGGTTGAAGACGACCCCTCATGAACACTCGCTTTGGCAGCTGTGGCATGTGAAGTCCTGGCTCGTCGCATTGTTCATCAGAATCCATCTGAGAAGATTAAATCTCTCATGTCTACTCGGTATAGGCATCGTGAGCCTGATGGTGATATCAGCGAGGCCTCGAGTGCTCTCGAAATTGCCATTGACACCCACTGGTTAGTATTTCGTAAGGATACATGCAATTCTCTTACATGCTGCTATGTAGCACTATATTTTTGTCTTCTACCGAAGCGCAGAATGGTGAGTTGTTCTCGACGTAACCTATGAGTCGGGTAAGCTGATTGTTGCCCTAGTTGTCAGGGCTTTATGGGACGGAGAGCTTGTCCAGACACTAACAGATCAGGACGATATTCAGTGTGAGACAATGAGTGGTCTTTTATCCTCCATACTCAAGCACCGACAGATGTATCTTACCACGAATCGCGGCAAGCCGGGTTTTGGGGTCACATGAACCCTTCACGCATTTCCGTTCCTCGGTATGAGTTGATGAGTTACTTCAGCTGCATCTTAGCTCACTCTAACTTGGGCGCAGGTATCAGAATTTCCTTCGCATTGTGGTGCGTCATATATTGGATGAAGAACCATTAGCTTGATATGATTGCACAGATTTGGTTTTTATTTCTCGCTGTGTACTCTCAAGCCGGTAAGAGATTCATCTCATCAAGGAGCGCCTAGCCATTTCATAATCAATTCGAAGTCCGTGAACCACTGGACCTACTTGACCCCAACCATACGGTGCTTGATGTCTGGGAAATTGTACTCTATACCATGGGGCTGGCATTCTCACTTGAAGGTGAGGGCATCCCGCTGTTGTTCGCACGGTTGGCTGAGTTATGTTCCAGACATACTCAGGGTAACTTTCCTGCCTCTCAATTCGCTGCAATGTCTTACAGGTCATCCCAGTTTTACAAACTATTTAAATATGCAACCTACCGTGCCTTTGGATTTTGGAATGTCGTCGCCTTCATAACGGATTCCTTATTGCTGGCTGCATGTTTGCTTCGCATTGCCGGTCTTTGCACCACCGAGGATCATTCCAACACTCTACGCTTAAGGAGCTTTCAAGTCTTGAGTTTCGTTGCCCCGTTCATATGGTTAGTCAATCCTCGAACGACCATGAGGTAAAATATCTAACTAATTATTTCAGGATCAGTTGAGCTCCACACATCTCTTGATGTTCCATTGACTCACGGCTTTTCGCTTCAGAGCTCATTACAATCTTTGATGGTCACCAGTAAGCATATATTGTGTCGTACTCGTATAAAAGATGCTGATGGTTTCGCAGGTATGTTGGAACGATGCAAATATGCGTGTCTCGTATGCTACAAGAGTCGGGCATCTTCTTCGCGGTTCGTTTCCTTTCGGTATATGGTCTCCCCGTTCCTTCACCTTGTGCAGCTGTTATCGGTGCTCGGGATTGGATTTTTGCAAGGTCTATATGCTCTAGATGTTGCTGACGGTTCAAGCGAAGGTCCATCACTTGTATGTCCGACCTTTCTCCTCCTCAAAGCTGTCTAATTTCGGTCAGCTCGTCAATGTCCTTGTTCAAGGCTTACTTCAGTCAGATTGGATATTTATTTATTTTTAATTTGAGCACCTGATGAACTTTCTTAGGTCTCCCAACTACGACAAGTTCTCGGGCAGGTAAAGTCTAATATCCATGTTTTGGAAGTCTCTGAACCACGTTTGCAGCCCTGTTGGACTTACGTTATACTATCTGTCAGTGCCCGTTTGATGAATCTCCGTGCTTGCTATCGACAAGTTCTATTTCAGCTGGAATGTTACAACAGCGATTATCCTGCTCAATGTCCTCATCTCTTTGTTCTCCTCAGCGTATGCTGATGTCAGTATTTCGTCTTTCTGTGAGGTTTCATGGGCTTAACGAATGATTAGGTCGTCGAGGACGCTGAAGCAGAGTATATGGCATTTTTTGCAGGAAAAACTGTTGCCATGATCCGCGCCCCTGATTCTTATGTCTATCCTGCACCATTTAACCTAGTAGAGGTTTTCTTCGTAGCGCCTTTTGAGTAAGGTTTCTATTTTTGTGGCCCTTCGCAGTCATTAACTTCTTTTTGAGAATATTTGGCCTGCGACCCCAGCTATATGCAAAAGTGAGGCATGAACCTTCAGTTTGCGATCTGTACCCCTGACCTCTTTGCAGCTCAATCGGGACATTATGGGCATAATTTTCTTTGTTCCGTTGACTTTCATTGCGCTCTTTGAGACATCAATTGTGAAAAAATCGTGGATGACTAGCTGGCTGGGGCAAGGCGACGAGGTGGACACTGAAAACCCCGATCTTCTGGATCCCGTAGTCGAGGGGCCAGATGCAGATAAAGGCTTGGAGATCAGCAAGATCCCTTTCGACGAGCTTGTCAAGAGGTTCCCCAATACGGAACAAGTAAGTTTTTTCCAGCTTTCTTCTACGTTGTTCACTGACGTCTCCATAGTCAACGGAAGCTACCATTGTAAAGGAGATTAAAGAAATTCAGGCAAGGTTGGAGGTACTGACGACAAAAGTGGACCGCTTACACACCTCACACTTACACTAATGCACCATTTGCCTTCGGACGTGGACAAGACGGGTGGATGATTCGATGGAACTAGAGTTAACTCCTTGGCTCTTATGTTTTTTTCTCTCTTTTGCTGGTGGAGATACTGAATGTTGTAAACAATCATATATGAACACTGCTGATTCACAACTCAGGCAGACCAGAAATGTGTAAAATAGCATTTTTTCTTCTTGAGTTCTATCACTGTTTTTTCCAATCTGTTCATAAGGTACAAGAACTTGACAACCTCAATTACAGGATGTAACTCATAAATTACTGCAAACAGAATCGTGGCATGAATTAAAACATAAGGCAACGAATTAAATCAATACAAAAAATGCGTGTAGATCATGACAAAAGACATAAGCACCTGTGTAAGTTGAATGCGTGAAATATAGAATGATAAAAAGGGCATAGCACAGGATGCAGGATAATAAGGGCGATGCATCATATTTGAAACATGAAGCCACGACGAAATTTCATTATATGTGTTGTGAAATAATTACTCATCTCAGAACCCATAAATCCCCATGACACGACGTGATATTATCCATTAGACTTCGCTATGCCCCTCCACGAATCGAGCAAACTGGTCCAGCAGTTCCAACTTTTCTGTCTGTGATAACGACGAGGCAGTGAGTAAATTTTCAACGCGCGCTAGCAGTCCCCGAGGCCCTTCTAGGGGTATCAAGTGGGCGTCAAATCGGTGGACATCTGCGTAAGGAAATAACATCACCGTCAGACAAAATAATCCACAGTAACAAAATAAACATATAGAGGCGTAAAGTAGTACTAACACTTCTTGAACGTTTCGAATCCGGATTCGGAGAGTACGTTCTCAAAGACTTTGGTGACATCCTTCCCCCGATTATGCTCCTCCTCGTGCTTCTGCGCAAGGAGAGATCCATGTATAATGGCTTCTTGACGGACGCGATTAGGTGCCCAAGATAAACCAAGTTTAAGATCGAGTGAACGGCCTTTGCCCTTCTTCTCGCTGCCTTGCTCACGTAATTGTTGTACACGGCCATGAGCACTTTGGCTCTTGTCACGTATAGAACCTCCTCCAAGCCCTAACTCACTCCGTAGAGGAGAGCTAGGGGGAAATGAAGCAGGTCCTTCCGGAATGTCAAACTCTTGTTGGTGAGGAGATGGCGGGTAGGAAGGCAGTGCGGAGGAGGTCGGTAAAGGAGAACTTGGAACCGATGAAGCCGGTTCGAAGGGGAACGGTCCGTGCGACGTGCGTTGAGTTCGTCTGCCTGATGCGCGTCCCCAACTGGATGATTGTCCAGGACCAGGAACAGATGTTCCTGTCGACTTCGACTGCGCAGAGGCAGATGCTGATGAGAAGGAAACAACAGAGGTTTCACCTGTATGACTGGCAGAGAGCTGGGCAAGAATGGGAGAGTCGGCTTGAGTGGGGTGATACGCAAATTTTCGCGACTTCCCTGTACGATCAGATGACGATGATGCTGTTCGTTCTAAGGCCGTCGGTCGATGAGTCGCCGCGCCAGTTTTACCAGATTGTGTTAAGCCTTCGCCATTTACCAGCGATGCGTTGACTGTCGAGCTGCTCCTGTTTACACCAGATACGGGTCTCTCGAAGTCAAAGCTTCCATGTTTGATGCGACGGTTGGTCATATTTCGCGGAGGACCGACAGTCCCAGCGGAATCATGCCGACCACCGGGTTTCTGCTTCTTGCTTTCTCTAGATAAATCTTTTCCCCCAAACAGCCGGGGTGAGAATCTGCTACGCATGCGGTTGTATGCAGGGTCTCCGTCAGAACCAACGCTTAGAGCTGCCCGTGCATGCAACTTTGGAAGTTCGCTGTGAACAGTGATCGAATCCTTGCTGAGCAGAACTTCGCGCGGCTTCCCCTGTCCTCCGCTCAGCGTTGGTGGTGTGGTAGCGGGTCGCACTGGGGAATCTAATTCCGCTGTTCTTTTTGGAGTCGGTGGGGTATGGATGATGTGTGGTATGGCTGGTCTTGCTTGCGGTGCACGAATCAGGGGGTGTTGTTCTGCTGTATCTTCTTCAGACATGGACTCTACCGTGGGTAACAGTGATACCACGAGACCACCGAGGTCATACTTGCCGCGTGAGTCGTCCTGCGGTGAAGGCGGGGACAAGTTGATGATGGGAGACGTCTCTTCCAAAAGTGAGCCAAAAATACCAGGGCGCGAGTCATCCATGCGAGGTGTCTTCCGTGTTTGTGACCGCAGTTTTGAATGGCTGTTATCGCGTTCTTGTTCTTTGCCTTTGCGAGATTTTCCAAAGCGGCTAAGGCTAGAGGCACTGGTCTTTGAATTAGATCTAGTGTCTATATGACTGGACGATGTGAAGGCGGTGTCGGAATGGTCATCAGGTAACGCGACAGCACTGTCATGAGCAGTGTCATGAGACCCGACAGAATGTCGTTTGTGACGTGACGAGGGAGCCAGGGGAAGGTGGCCTGATGATGTCATTGGCGTATGCGTGCGAGAACCTGATGTCAATCCAAATGAAAGTCTGCGGGGAGATGCGGACAGTGGGAGGGGATTGGAAGGAGTGGGTATTGTACCGGTGGATGTTTTCGTAACGCGCGATTCGTCAGTAGACTTTGGAGTGTTTGGTCTAGAGTTGAGCCTGAATGATCGTTTGCGAGAGGGCATGTTCTCAGCTTCCTTTTGGGAGAGGGATGAAGACGATGTTTTGCGGTCAGAAGATCCTGGTGATGGTTTCCGAGACGGATTGGATAGCGATGACTTCCGTGACAGAGCAATGCCAAAGATAGAGCGCAGCTCTAACTTCCGGCGCTGATTAAGGGAAGAGGGAGTGTTCGAACGAGTTGCACGATCGTGATCCTCCTGAGATGTGACCTGATCTCTGTTGGCCTGGTGATCGGGATCTTCTCCTTGGGTGTAATCGTGCGAGTAAACGTGATGCGACGTTCTTTGTCTTCTTCTGATGGAGTTGGAGGGAAGAGGGGTGATCGTGGAGTGTGTGGCAGTGGTCGTGGATGATATCGGGCGTGTCGAAGTTCGCGTGCCTAGCTTAGAATCTGACTGGCTTGCTGAAGCAGACATACTGGTGTCGGCTGCATGCCCTTGTTCGTACGCCAAACTGGTGGAACGCACATGACTGATGCGAAGCTTAGAGGCAGGCACCATAGGCAAGGATGGTACATTCGTCGTGGATTGCGCAGCACCTGGAGTAACAGTCGACTTGGGGTGGGGTCTGGAGCGAGAACGAGAGCGAGAGCGAAAGAAGGCAACGATCTGATGACATGATGTATAAGCTCATGTGTGCAAGACTGAAATAAGCGAACGCACCCTGTTTTCCTTTCGCGCAGGACGACTGACTCCAGACTCAAGAGACGATGAGGCAAGGGAAAGAGCGGTCATGGTAAAAAAAATGCGCAAGCTCTTCTTTGTGCGTTAAATGGTTGAAGCCACCATCAGCTACTGCAATTCCAGGAAACGGAAGTGGGACCTCGTTTTAGGCTAAGCTGTGCAGGCATCAATTCTGAAATATGTGTATTAAATTGAGGGATAACATACAAGATGCTTTTGACTTTGACGTGAGTTGGAGAGTGACCGTCTCTGGGAACTAGGACAGACGAGCTAAAGACAAGTCAAACACGTGCTGTGAGCGAGGCATGCATTGTGCGAGAACGGATTGAAACGGAACGAGAGTATTACTTACGGCGACTCGGAAAAGAAGACAGCTACACGTTGTCCCGACCGGTCTTGTGCTTGCCTGCACACGAAACACACACACCGCTGGACTACCAAGACGGGTCCGGTCACAGACTTGGAAGGGTTTCAAAAACACGTTTGTAGTTTTGCAGGCAACCAAATTAGGACAGACCCTAGTATAGGGTTAGGTGCACGTGAATGATGTTGCGCGATTGTTTCTCATGATCTCACCAGTGTGTCTCAGCTGACTGGCAGCTCTTAGAGCAGTCTATAAGATCGCACAGCACTCTCATGTATACTTCGTACATCCGACTGTCATGAATCTGATAACCAGAAATTCATTCAGACTTAGAGCACTTCCGCACCGTCTGAGCAGTCTCACTTCTCTGCGACAACAGACAACATGCGCAACCACAGCAACACCAACTTTTCCCTGCGTCGATGCTCATGCAGCTCGTGAATCTAGGATATTGGCTTCCTCGTTCTACCGTTATTCACAGACAGACACACAAGCATCATCAAGTGACAGTGGTCCGGAACCTCCCTATGCTCGCCCTAATCCACTGTCATATAATACGTACCACCATCAGTATCCGCTTGAATTGACGTATGGGTCTACGCTGCCGTCGTTTGACATCGCCTATGAAACATGGGGCATACTCTCTCCATCTCGGGACAACGTAATTTTACTGCATACTGGTCTCTCGGCATCTTCGCATGCCGCCTCTACGGAGCTTAACCCGACAGAGGGCTGGTGGGAAAAATTCATCGGCCCAGGACGTGCACTCGACACCAATCATTTTTTCGTAATATGCACAAACGTGCTGGGAGGATGTTATGGCTCCACAGGTCCTTCCTCGCTCGATCCAGAAGGTCAACGATATGCAACTCGATTCCCGATCATATCTATCTTTGACATGGTGCAAGCCCAATTTAAGCTGCTTGACCATCTGGGCGTGCAAAAGTTGTATGCCAGTGTTGGCTCATCCATGGGCGGGATGCAAAGTCTTGCTGCAGGATGGCTCTTCCCAGATCGTGTGGGCAAGATAGTGAGCATTAGTGGTACCGCCAGGAGCAGTCCAGGTAGCATTGCAATGCGTCATGCTCAACGAAGCGGTCTGTTGTTCAGACATCTTGCAATATATTTCCTTGCTAAACATCATATTAGTTCTCATGGCCGATTCAAATTGGAACAATGGCTTTTATTACGACAACCTACCACCACATACAGGAATGAAATTAGCCCGTCGTAAGTTTCGTTCAGTTTCACGGTTCATATCATAAAGTTACAATTATTGGTCATGTAGAAATAGCGACTATAACATATCGCTCAGGTCCTGAATGGGACCAACGATTTGGAAGGAAACTTCGGGAACTGAAAGATGGACAGAGCCCGTCTCCATCGCGGTCGCCAACACTTTGTCCTGACTTCCTTATCGAAACCTATTTAGATCATCAGGTCAGTGCCTACCCACCTCAATCACCTTTCAGTTAAACTCACCGAAAGTTATTATGTAGGGAGAGCAATTCTGCCTGAAGTACGATGCCAATTCTCTCCTTTACATCTCAAAGGCAATGGATCTCTTTGACCTTACCCTTCCTGCTCTCCAAGAGCTCGCGATGACCACCACAACACATGCTCCGCCATCACCGTCAACGTCATCGTCTTCTTCTCGGCAATCTCCGGTACCGTCTAAATCTCATCCACCACCGTTGCATTACGCACCTCACTTTCCCGAACTTGCTGCTGGCCTTGAGCCGCTCAAATCGATACCTATTCTGGTGCTTGGGGTTCAGAGCGATATTCTTTTCCCAGTCGAGCAGCAGCGTGAGCTCGTCGATGCACTTCGTATGGCTGGTAGTACGCAAGTCAGCTACTTTGAGCTTGGTGGGGTCTGGGGACATGATACCTTTTTGTGAGTGTTACTCCTTCACCTTTGAGTTGGCTCGATTGGGTGGCCGTGGTGTGGCCGCATTTGTCCGGACTTGTATAGCCTCCCCAATCAGAGCTCGAACCTTCATGATGCCTTCGTGCACCGCTTTGCGGGGGCAATTGTAGTGTTATCGCCGCTTATTGTTTTATTTTCCCAGCGTGTTTCAGTTAGACTGGTTTACTGACTGCCCGTTCCGTTCTACCACAGACTCGACGTATTGAACGTTGGAGGGGCGGTGAGGGGGTTCCTATCTTAAGCTCGTCCTGGAAATGTTGTTTCACCACAGTCGCCGGTGTTTTCATATTGCGCTGTTTGATCGGTGCAACGTTCGTGAATTGTGAGGGTACTTGCTAAGAAGTTCTAGAGTCCTCAGGAAGTACTCATGTCAGTCCTACTAGCTGTTTTAATATTCGGATCATGATCAATGCTATGGAATTCTTCAACTTCTAATACTTGCGGTCTCGCACCCTAACTTAAATGTTGGTCTCAAAGTATGTGGGCAGTGCAGAGTCCAGACACACCAACCCTGCCGGGCGGTTATTATTCTAGTCCCAAACATTATAACCTAGCCGTTTGCAGAACAATCTCAAAAAAGTAAACATAAGTCGGGAAGTCAAACTAACGAACTTTCAACTTCCGATGATCAATGGTGTGAGACGTTACGACCGAACCTTGAAATTCAAACAATGCTTCCTTGTTTTATTTCTGACGATTGGTTCTAGTAATGTTCTGCAAATGGCTGTATTTATTTTACGATACCTTCCCTGCGCCCACAGTCGCCACCTTCAAAGTTAAACTTTATTCCCTAGATCGACAGACGGGGGACAAGCCCGACCATCGCACCATTAATTTGACTCGGATTGGCATGCAAAATGTAATACTATGACATTTGCGTTTGGGGCGTTCGGGCATCATCGAGTCATTGAGAGCCACATACGATCAGCGTCACGGCATGCCAGCATGCCACACTGGCACTTGAGGGTTTTGCCTAATTTTCGGAGCATCAAAACACTAGCAAATCGGATATGAACTTTTTTGAGGAGGAAACAAAGTTAAGTTTGTGAAGGCATAAAATGGGCAGGCTTGCGTGGCGTATCGGTGGAGCGCCATAAAATAGTATAAAAAAAAGAACGTATTTTATACAAATCGTGGTGAGCTCTTCTGTGAGGAGGCTCGGAAACATGCAGACGCTAAGCGAAAGCGGAAGCATTTCGGTTTACGTTCCGTTGATGAAATATATGAATTATGGAGAAGATAAGAGGTGAGGCGTTGGGTGGTCCTGCAATTTCCTCTTCTCTCTGGGCCCCCTTGGTCTTAGGTGCACATTGGATTCGGGGCGCGGCGAAAACTAGCAAAATGAACGGTAAGGAACTTATTATTCAGATGGCACAGCACCTCCCGCCTTGTGATAACCCAGGATTTTGTCGGAATACCGGGGGGTCCATGGAGTTTCAAATAAGGTATATTTTGGCGCAACAATTTTCTGGGTGGAATAGCTGACAAGCCATTGGACAACTGGCAAAGGGTTCAAGGTTACGAAGCTTGAAGTAATTTGTTTTACCATATGGAAGCCGTAAATTAACCAAGTTAGCACAGGAGAAAAGCCACGCCTTGCCACATATACTCCCAGCGTTACGCGGCCTCCGACAACAAAACATTGGGCGTCAGCCCTTCTCGACAAAACGCGTTATTTGATTCCCTTTGCGACATACCAGCATGTTGGCTAAAAAATTAATTAACTGACTGACCACCTCGTGTTATCCAGCGGTATAAAATACTTGTCTGAGGTTGACTTCCCTCACCGCAATGTCCACCTTTTCCCCTCAAGTCAATATCCCCGCGCTGAAGAAATTTGCCGTCACAGCTGCAGCGAAGCAGCATCCAGTCAAAGCGACAGGTAGACGGCACCCGCAGGTACCAACCCCAGTGGTGGTGAGCGTCGAGGACGTCAAATGGGCTGGAGAAAAGGTCAGGTTGATCATTTCCAAATAACCATCCGAACCTTACCATTGTTCTGTACGGTGTACAGATGATTCAAATTACGTTCGAACGCACCTCCATACCTCTTGGACCATACATCATGATGGCATATTTTCCTCGCGGACGCCAGAGGCTAACAACGCAGGCTGTGGTGCGCCACGCCAAAGTGCCCATCGATGGGCTGTGCGTACTTACCCCACTCCCAACAGTTAGGCATGATGGCCGCTGTCAGAAATTCGACCTTGAAGATCGAGGTGCCCAAAATCTATGGGTACAAGGACCTCCTACCCAATGACATCGGAGCTGAAGTAGTCCTCATGGAAAAGGTAGCGTGTGCCGACTACTCGACAGTAGCTCTGCTACATCTTCATACTTCTTTGCGCACAGATACCCGGGGAAAATCTTCAAGATGTGTGGCCCACCCTTGCGCCCGACGAGGAGCTCAAAGTCTGTAGCAAGCTGGCCGACCTGCTGTTGAAGTTGTTCAACACCCGCGGAAACCTGATTTGCACCGACCTTCTTGGTACAGGCATCGACACCTCCACGTTCAGTTCCCTCCTACAGGAAGGACAGCAAAACCAGAACCCTAACGGGTCCTCGCCGTTGATTTTATCGCGCCCGTTCAACGAGCCACCACTGGATAGAATGATCCCACAATTTGCACTATCCACTAACGCTGACTATCTGACAGCACTATGCTGGCGCGTTGGACGCCTTTGCGGTAGCACTGAGGATGTCATCGCTCGAGCCCGTGACACAGGATTTGCAGATAATCCTCTACTAACAATAGAAGACATGGTGCAAGCCAGAGAAACATTCAGACGGCTGGCCAGCATAATCCCACATCACATCGGAGGGTTCTACATCCCAGAAACGCTCTCTCGCGAAGCGAGGCAAGAGGCCTATTCGATTCTGCAACACAGGAAATTTGGCGTCTGCCATGGTGACATGCAGATGTACCGTTTCCTCATCCGGTTCCTGCCAGATAAAGATGGGGAACTTCGTACTCCCAGCTCAGATATCGAGCTCGTGCTATGCACGGGGTGGGAACACGCATTCCGTGCGCCACTTTGGTCATGCGCGCGCATGCCACTCTGGCTCATCAGCCGGCCAATCTTGAACGAGCCCATTTCCTGGGATCGCCAAAGACAATTGCGTAATATCATCTACGACATGATGAATGAGCCCAGTAAAATAGAGAGCGCCCGGGAGTGGATCATTTCGCACGTATACGGACGTACCGAGCGGTGGTTCGAGGGATGCGTCAGCGCGCATTGGATGTACAGTCGGAACATTGAAGCGAATTTGGTGGACCTCAAGAAGTATTGGGAATTTTGGCGTCCAGACATCGAGCTCCCGTTCCAGGTGGGAGTGGAGTACACTGGACAACAGCAGGCTCTATCCCATGGGTCGGCAGACGAACCCATCATCGCACCTGTCACTGAAGAACTGGCTATTCCTCCCCTTTCTGCGAGCCCTCTTGGAATTTTGCTTGGAATGGGTAGATCTTGAAACGCATGTCATCTCGAAGCTGACATTGGAATGTCTCCTGTTAATTGTATTGTGTACGAAGGTCAATGGGTTGTACTATGTCGGATATCTCCTCACAGACTCATCTTTCATGCACTTCAATGAAGATCATTTTGCACGCGGGCGAGCAAATACTAGTGCCTTCATTAGAGATAGAAGAGACGGACAAGGTCAATACATTAAAGGTCTGGGGCCCTTTACAGACACTGAGACAGTACTTTGCGGACGTGCCAGTTCGCGACGTATGCAGACCCCAGGAACTCTGTATGAGGAATTTCCACATACCCGCTTTTGGATATTACTATATACCTTCACGTCGAAGTACTACGCAGTAGTACTAACCTTCCCCTTCCATTCTGCCTTTACCACCTGTGCATAGTTGATCATGAATCGTATATTTGGCTCTTCTTCAACCAAGAAGCCAAAACCGACGCTCCAGGATGCTATCAACGCAGTGAGTAGCCTGTCGTCACAATCAAGCTCAGGCTAACTCACTGACATTAGACAGATACGCGCGTTGCCTCCGTAGAAGTAAAGATCAGGAAGTTAGATGGGGAACTTCTGCGCTATAAGGAGCAAATGAGCAAACTGCGCAGTGGACCTGGTAAAGTGCGCGAACACCTCGCCTGGTGCTGCGCTTGCTAATTAATCAATTGCGTCATACGTGTGCATGACACAGAATGCGATCCAACAACGAGCTTTGAGAGTGCTGCAACAGAAGAAACTGTATGAGGGGCAACTGAACCAGCTCCAGCAGCAGACATTCAATATGGAGTCCGCTGCTCTCACCACCGATAACCTACGGAATACGATGGCCACTGTGGATGCCATGAAATTGGCGAACAAGGAGATGCGTAAACAGTACGGAAAGATTGATATTGACAAGATTGAGGTGTGTCTCATGTTTTATGCTGCCATCAAGTGGCTCATTTATTACTCTTAAGAATATGCATTATGATATGGAAGAGCTTCTGGAACAGGCAAATGAGATACAAGAGTCACTAGGTCGGTCATACGCCGTTCCAGATGAGATTGACGAAGCAGATCTTGAGGCTGGTACGTACACACATTGCTTTTGATCTTGGTCATGTCGAAACGTCATAATCATCGCAGAATTGGATGCCTTACAGCTCGAGGAAGAGGAAGAAGGTCCCTCATATCTTGCAGACCTCAACAAGGTCCCAGATTTCCTCGATGAGTCTCCTGTAGAGACAAGCGAGGTATGTCCAACGATCAATTCATTGACATGTTCAACTCAACTTGATTGGACAGCCAACCACAAAGGAGGCCGTTAAGACTACATGATGGGCTTTCGAAGTTTGTATTGTGCCTGTCTCCTTAAAGACGAGTAAACATGTATCCTGCGGTAATAATGTACACTAGTAAATCCTACACATACCACCACTTCATAGAGAATGTCAAGATAATCTGCTCCGCCGCGAACCATCACATCAGCCATATCTCTTCTGTTCTCCGCCAAACCAGTCGTCGGTTTGTCGAGACTCATCAGCCGACGCCACATTAACGATGATCGATTTGCTCTGAGAGTCTGTATAACATGTTGAGTCAAACATTTGTTAATCGAGCTAGCTAGACTCACAAGCTTCCAATGCCTCGATACCATTTTCCCGACCTATGCCACTCTCCTTCATACCACCCCTTACATGCCACCGTGAGATTGCGCAATGATAATCATAGGCTGAGTCACTCACCATGGCGAGCTTGGGTCATTGCGGTGATGCGTGTTTACCCAAACAAGACCAGCATCAATATCAGCAGCAACTCGATGTGCTCTTGACAGATCCTGAGTCCAGACTCCCGCTCCCAGTCCATACTTGGAAGCATTGGCAAGTCTAACTCCCTCGGATTCAGTCTGGGGGTAAACTAAGCGTCAAAGAGCCTCGCTCGCATGCTGATACAACTCACTGAGAACTTTTTCACGACCACCACAGGGCCGAAAATTTCCTCTTGCCATAACTCATCGCTGACATCAACATCAGAGATCACGGTAGGTGGGTAGAAGCTCCCGCAAGAGAAATCGAAATGGTCGAGGAGGGACTTCCCCAACATTCGCTTTCCACCCGTGAGAACTGTGCCTGATTGCCGTCGTGCTACCATGTCATCGATTCTATTCAGGTGGTGGGGAGATATAATAGAGCCCATAGAACATCTTTCGTTCATAGCTTCGAGAGATGTTATTCATGAGTACTGAAGGCATGATGTACGACTCACGGTCACCCATTCCCTGTGTGATACTTTCGACTTTCCTCAAGAACTCCATCATGAAAGATTCATATATATTTTCGTGTATGATGATGCGGGTTCCCGAGACACATGTTTGGCCGGACGCAATGAATGAGGCAAACGCGACCCCATTGACAGCAGAAACAACATCTGCATCATCGAAGACAAGTATCGGGGCCTGGTACAGATGAGAACGAATCCTCCAGTTCGACAATAGACTATGTAGTACTGACCTTTCCTCCCAGCTCGGCTGTAAAGGCGGAGAGGTTCGAGCCAACGATGGCTCCCAGCGCTCGACCAGTCCGGGTACCAGCCTAGATCCACGGTGAGCAGAATACGGTGCATGAGAGTAAGAACGTACTGTGATGTCGACCTTTCGAACGAGGGGATGAGTTGCAAGTTGCTTGCCCGTGGTATGGCCATAGCCAGGGAGGATAGTCAAAACTCCGTCAGGAACTTGGTTAAGATTTCAACACATATGTACAAGTAATTCATCAGTGGTTGTACTTACGGCCAGCTTCTTGAGTTCGGCTTGCAAACTCCAGTAGGGATATGGGGGTAAGCTAGTTTTGGTGAGTGTCATATCGATGAAAGACAGTATAATTTATAAACCTCAGATGGTTTGACGATGACACTGTTACCAGCGGCAAGAGCTGGAGCAATCTTCTTGATGGCAATGAAAAGAGGATGATTGAAAGGCTAAACGAGACCTCGGTGAGGTGATACGTCAGAGATGGCAAAAAAACGCACAGTGATCTGTGCCACGACTCCCAGAGGAACGCGTTGAACGTAATTAAGCAACTTCCCTTGAGCAGGGGCAACGAATCCTTGGTTCGTGCGTAGAAGTGCTGCATAATAGCTCCTACTCAGTGTATCAGACCACCGTCATAATTCGCAAAATAACTACTGACAGCCATTCAGGAAGACGAGTCATTTGTGCATTCATTTCGCGGATAGGCCTCCCTGTTTGCATAGTATCTATTCGGGCCATGTCAGGGATGCGTTGCTGAAGAGAGACCGCTAGCCGTGACAGGACAGATGCGCGATGTATTGATGAAGCCTTTGACCATATCCCAGAGTCAAACGTGGTCTGGGCATGAGACACGGCCCATTCAACCTCTTCGGAGGATGCTGCGTCGACACTAGGCTCAATTTGAGGCTTGAGCACTATCATTACTTAGAAACAACATACGTGCACAACTGTTTCCCGTTAGCGGGGTTGGTCACGGTAATTCTCTGTGGTTCCCTGGTCACTAAGGAAGATGTGTCTTTCCATTTAACAAAGGACAGTCGTTGGTAGTGATCCTGAAAGAGGAGACCTTTGTGTTGCAGGTGGTGTTGTTGGCAGAATGCTCTGCTAATGCCAATTGTCATGTGGCTATATTACCGGCAGTAGGTCCGAGGCCCGTGCAGAGATGTCACAACTAAGATTCTGTACACTCGTGACCGACGCCCTGCGTCGTGGCGGCGTGGCAGGAAGCGCGGAAGTCGAAATTTTGCAGATGCCGATAATGCCGTTGCACTAAGATCTCCGAACTGGCAGCTTCGCGCCTAGAAATTCCGAGCTCCGCTCGGCTTTGCTGTCTTAGTGTAGGCAACCACAATTCATAGCAACCATTCTAATTTCTGGCAACGTCTCCGCCGCCGCTTGTTATGCCTCCCGCTAATTCTGACTACAACGGACACTTCTACCTGTAGTAGAATCCATTTTTCGGACTGTAATTGTCGATTTTCACACGAAGCTGCCTTTGCATAAGCCAAGCCTGAGCCAAAGCCAGAACAAACATTCGAGCGCCACTACCGCGTCAGATTCACGTGATGACTAATTTTACTGTTGAAAAGCCTAGCCCATTACATACTAATCCACGGAGTCGCTGTGGACCCGGTCCTTGTCCACTCGCTTCCATCCTGACCACCACGACCACGGCCACCTCTATTGTCCGCCTGTGGCACTTTAATCGCCACAAGACCAGATATTTAATCTTGCATATACCCTCACGATTTACATATCCTTAGCTATCTGTAATTCCAATGTCCAACCCACCTCTCCGTAGATCTGCTCGTGCAGCCTCACAGAAACCTGAGGAACCCAAAGCAGCAGCTCTCAAGGCCGCTGTTGCAAAGACGACGGCACCTAAAGCCGAAAAATCAACTCGACCCGTTGCCCGCACACCCAGTCGCTCTAAGAAGCGTGCTGCCACCCCGGAAGCGTCGCCGCCGCCCACCAAGCGCTCTCGGTCCAAGGCCGGCATATCCGATGCAGAGGATGTTAAAAAGGTCCCTAACAAGAAAGCCCCAGCCACGGCTGCGTCCAAGAAAGTTACCAAGCAACCAACCGTAAATGGTCTCACGCCTGTTCATGAGTCGAAACCCCATTTCAACCCCCTGCCTATGGCTAATGACCACCCTCGACCTGCTCAGCAACTCTTTGTTTGGGGGGCAGGGAACTTTGGTCAGTTTGGATGGGGTGCCGACCAACTCGGGGAATTCGCTGTTCCCAAGCGCAATACCTGGTTCGAGAAAAAGATGGAAGAAGGTGCCTTCGGCGGGCAAGGTGCTGGCCTCGAGGCCATTGCTGCAGGTGGTCTCCATACCTTATTCATTGATGAGAAAGGAACTGTGAGTTCAATTTCCGTGCCCTTGTCTACTTCCGTTGACATAACTTTTGATCAGGTGTGGTCGTGCGGTGTGAATGATGACGCAGCACTAGGACGTGTCACCAAGGATGTTCCAGATCCAGATAATCCTGGAAAGTTTATTCACGTTGACGAGCTTACCGCTGTCCCTTATCCTCTTCAGTCGCTTGTTGATGAGGGATTCCGCGCTGTCAGGATTGCTGCTGGTGATAGTATTTCCGCCGCTATCAGCGATAATGGCGAACTTCGAGTATGGGGTTCTTTCCGTGTGGGTGTCCAATTTCATCTGTTCACACATTTTCTAAGATAAGATTTGTTTATCAGGCTGCAGAAGGCTCTCTGGGCTTCTCTGGCGACGTGCGACTAGAATTCCTTCCCAAAGCGATATTAGATTTGCCCACAAAAGCAGGCGATGCTGAGAAGGCCGTCTCTGTTGTGTCAGGCAACAATCATCTTCTCGTACTAACTACGCATGGCAACATCTATGCGTGGGGTGCTGGAGAGCAGGGCCAGCTCGGTCGCAAAATTCTCGAACGTCGTAAGATCCATGGCACAGTCCCTGAAAAAATCACCCTTGGTACCCGCCACAACCGTGCAGTATTGGTTGGCGCAGGAAACTATCACTCGTTCGCCATCGACGAAGAGGGTGACGTTTGGGGTTGGGGCTTGAATACGATGGGACAGACAGGCACCGGCGTCGCAGAACCAAAATCGATGTCTGACGAAGTGCGGTCACCAAGAATCATTCGGTCGCTGTGCCAGAGGACCCTCGGTGAATCAATCGTGCAGATCATAGGTGGTGAACATCACACACTTTTCCTGACTTCATCTGGCAAGGTGTATGCGTGCGGTCGGTGTGACGGTGGCCAGCTCGGTATCAGCGACGAGGTTGCGGAATATGCTTCACGCAAGAATCCTGATTTCGTGCCAGAACCTATGTTGGTTCCATTCCCAGAGCCGGACGATCCTATCGTGTTCATTTCGGCCGGCACACACAATAACATGGCTATTTCCCAAGCAGGTGCGCTGCTCGCATGGGGAGAAGAGTCTCAAGGAGAGTTGGGTGTCAACGAAAAGGAGGCCAAGACCCCAATGGTGGTGGTGCGCAGGGATGGCGGCGCATGGAAGGCAGTGAGTGTTGCCTGCGGTGGCCAGCACACTCTTGGGATGTTCAGAAAGAAGACCTAGCATGACTTGGCTGCCATACGGGTAACAATTATTGATTACACCATCTTGCATTTCACACACTCCATTGCGTACACACATGCTCTTATCCATGAACTGTGGACCGAACGATGCTTTCTTGCATACTCGGTCATCTAGACACCACCTGCACACGAATCGTAATGTATGTCGTTGCCTGCACTATAAATAATATACGATACTTGACCGTCAGAATTTCGTGTCTGGGCGTATTTCATGAGTAAGTAGCTGCCAAACGTCCTACAATGTATTGCTCCGTAGTAAGCGGAGGATATCTGCTTGGATTGGATGTGCTCGTGCAAGTGGGCAAACTCTCGATGATGGCGTCAAAGTTCGGGTTGCAGAAGAATGCAATTGACTGCCGTGCGGGCGTCATGCCTTCGGTAGCGTTGATCTTCATTGCAGGCGGGGCAACTACACGATGGAGAGTTGAACGGAGAACATCGTTACTCCAGCGCGCCAAAAGGTCCCCAGCGTTGACAACAATTGTTCCAGGCTATGGAGATAGAGAGTTAAAAACTCGAAGAGTAAGCCGAGGGGAAGAAAACGAACAATGGGTGAAGCAGGTTGATAATGCTTAGTATGAGGGTTCTGGACCTCTAAACCGCCAATGGAATCCTGGAACAAGAGTGTCAAAGTTCCGTAATCTAAGAGACAAAGCAAGTCAAATTCGACGACTCGGAGTGTCACTAAAAAGGAACGAACTCACCTGTGTGAGAGGCAGCCCTGGCTTGACCGTCGCCTAAAAGTAAAGAGGTTCGAATAGGAGGATAGGACAAAAGTCGTAAGTTATGGTCCTGACGATCGATCTTATTGTCGAAGAAATCCTCAGGAAGGTCAAGACCCAACGCAATCGATTTCATGACCATAGTGTGCACTTCGTGGCAAGTCTACGGTAACAGAGACCCAGGGTCAAATCATTATGCGTGCATATTTCTGCGTGCACGTACCTGGAAAAAGTGGAGCATCGTCTGCTTAAATCCAGGTACTTCAGTTTCCTGAGGCCACTTATTACTGAACGTAGGATGATTTTCACGTCCAATTTCCATAGATTCCTTGGTGTCTGGAGCCTTTGCGCGTAATACAGCAATCTCGGCCGCATCCATTGAAGTGGTGACACGCTCACGGCCAACTTGAACATAACCACGGTTAGCCTTAGGGTCGTCCCATGCTAACCTTGCCTTGGTGTCTTCGGGTAATCGGAAGAATTCTGCACTCTGAATACACAATTAGTTATGAACGTCCATCCTGTTATAAAATGCGAATACTACTAGCCTTCTGGAATACGTAGTTGACCGTCTCGGGTTCAATCACATGGCCTGTTAAGTACACGAAGCCAACTTCTTTGAATCCGTTTACGATGTCATCCGCGATGCGACGCTTCTCAGCCAAAGAGGTGGCTTGTTTATAAGCTGCAAAGTCGATGAGGGGTATCCTGAAAGTTGAATCCGAGCGAACATCCTGCACGTTGCTAGGTTGAGCATTACACCTAAGACCAAAATGCAACCAACCTCTGCAAGTGTACTACTGTATCTAGGTGTAGCGATGGAATGCGGCCGGGCTGCACGGAACACGACTTGACGTATAAACGGTCTTAGGACAAGCATTTAATTGGCGGATATTACTTGTACTGGCGCGAAGGTGACGAAATACCTAGACACGGGTACGATTGATATTATGAATCGGTATGAGTGGATGCCAGATGGACGTACCCTCAGGCCTCAGTACTCAGTCTCGGATAGAAGACTGAGGGAAAGTCACAAAGAAGCGTCCAAGTATTGAGTTGTCTCGGGAGCAATCGGGGTGCTATTTACGGTAAGTAAAGAACGACGGAGAGGCAACTTCAAATTAGCTACGTTGTGACCGGTACCCTTGCACTACTAGAAGTGGAGCTAAGCAACGTGTCAATAGTATTGTGGGCCCATAGAGTGGCAAGTACTGGCACTGGCCATGGCGCAGATGCGTAGAACCATTTGCCTTGGACTAGAGACGGAAGTATTAGAAGGGACAGCCAAGATCTCTTATTTGCGCATGTTTTTTGCTGCGTCCTTTTGCAATCGTGCTCCTTCTGACGAACGCTCATTTATTTCCTAACTATACTCTTGTTCTTTCACCACCATGGCTTTTGCCTGTGATGTCATTCAACAACAGATTTCAGGGGCTGACGCTGGAGAAAGCCGTACTTGACCTGCGCACAGATTTGTTCGTACATGGCCAGTTATACACTGCACTTTCAAGAGTACGATTCGCCGAGACATTCGAGCGCTGTCTCCAAGAGAAGAAGAGGAAAACACAACAGCAAACAGAGTGTACAGACATCTCTTATAATTCACGATAGAAAAACGTCCGAAGGTGAACGGAACGCTTGTAGTATGAAGTGCCAACGAAAACCTCCCAGATTTTTGGCAAAGAACATGCATCTACAGTATTTCCATCGTCCTGACGTCCATAAAGTCTCGAACATAAGCTACATCTTTGACCTGTGCAATGATATCACGATCCGACGCAAATGATCCTCTTGTATTCTCCGCCGCGCTAGCAAAAATGCGCCAAAAGGCCGCCCAAGCAACCGCAATGCTCGCGATTCGAGATCATCCACCTCTTGTTTTACAAGAGAACGGCTATGTGAGCCGTCTGACGGAGACGAAGGCGGCGTGCAACAATCCCCTTCGCTCTCCGAATTGTCTTGCAGATCTGCGAAGTCTGGTAGCTCCAGGGGAGACCGATCCCAGGGACGGACAAACATGAAGCCTTGCTGAGTGGGCATTGACTACGAGAACTGAACAATCGCCTCTTTGGTGGTGATCAGCAGGTCGCGAGGCTCGTCTGCCTTGACTTCATATCGAGTATCCTGGGATGGACCATAGCTCAGACTGATGTCTGTGACACGGAAGGTGATGCAGGGCAGATGTATTCTGCGGTCGCGAAACGAGCAGCACTCGTGTTATCAAGCCACCCATAAAGTTTCGAAGCCAAATCCACCGCTACGGGAGGGTGACCGACCTGCTCCCAGGTTGTTGTATTCCATTCGCGTACTAGTATGGTAGGATCGCCCCTACTTCCGTCTGTGAGAAGGCGTGTACCATTGGGCGTCCACGCAAATGAGAGGTTGGATTTTGTGTGAGCCTTGAAGTATGCGACCGTTCCCATCAATTGTCCATCTCGTGATACTGCCAATGCAACACCTCTTTGTGATGCTCCTTCATCTCCTTCAATACAACATCTGTCTTCAAGTCCCATAACCGAAGCGTCTTGTCCCATGAGCCCGTAACCATCCGACATTTATCGGGGAAAACTGCGACTGCCCTTGCGCAGTCTTCATGGCCTTTAAACTCTCGCAGGCGTGTAGTGGTTGGAATGACGTTCGACATCTTACTGGGGGTTGATGGTATTGAGCACGATCGAGGCTGACTTTGGAGGGGATATTGTGTCTTTCTCTGCAGAGGTGCGTGTATTATGCGTTTTATGGTACTTTGCTGCGTCAACATGCCTTATTTCAATAGACGCCTAGGACACTTACTAAGGCTGTTCACCTCCACACGACATCCATCATTGTAACGATGCACCCTACTGTCATACTCGCTGTCCTCGAGGGTATGCACTCCCGGCACCTCTGCAGTGCATACATGCATCTCACTTTTGTAAACCATAAGCTCACAGGTGTGAGCTCCCCTATCCCTCATTACCTTCCAATGGCTTTCGGTGTCGCCATAGGCCTGTAGCACTTTAACGACGATTTTCGCACGGATCTAGATGATTCAATGCGTTGCGCCACAATTCTTTTACATTGAAAAACTGATACAGTTGTACAACATCCAGTGTTTCCACTGGCAAAAGAAACAAAACACAAGAGCCAAGGAGTTAACGTTTAACTCCAGTTCGTCAATTTAGATCATCCACCCACTTGTCCATATTGGGGAGCCTAAGCTCATCAAAAAGAATCCTGCTATCGGATCTTCAAGCCTTTGTCTGCATCTGGCCCCTTGACTACCCAACGACTCGGATCATCGCACTAGCCTAACTGGATGATTGCGCGATCTTGGCATCAGTACTTTCTATAATTCCTGTCGCCTTGTCTTATGTGGAGGATTCAATGCTAGAAGACGATTTCGCATTTAGGATTGTCATAATGCCTTCGATTGGTTTTATTGCATAGTACTAGTAACAACATCATGGTAGGGTTATATTTGAAACAAGTCTACTATCGAGTCATCAAAGACGAAGCAGCGGAAATAGCACGCAACCTGCCTAGATTCGCGAAACTCGGGACCATAGACCAATCAGGCCACATCGCGCTCAACAAACACCTGCACCGCATATCGAAGATCCCGTCAGCCAAATGCGAAAAGTGTAACGCACACGAGACCGTCCACCACTTCCTGCTGGTCTGCCACGCCTACGTCGGACAACGCAACGTGCTCAGAGGAGAAGTCGGCACACGCAATTGCAACCTCAGATACCTGTTGAACGATGGCAAGGGAATGAGAGCCACCTTGAAGTACATCGCGCGCACGAGACGAATGGAACAATCATTTGGAGACGTCACCCCACCGAAGGAAAAAGAATAGAAGAAGAAGAGACCCATCCACCTACCATCACCCATAGCTCTAAGCAGGCCTTGACGTTCCCGCTCACGTCGGAACCATTAATCGAAGCTGACATAAAAGACATACGATACAAGTACATACGAGTAGGTACTGTCCATCATAGGGCTCGGCCCCAACGGACAATAATCAAGGATCAAAAAAAAGATAAGGAAAACGAAAATTCCATCCTCATGCAACCTCCACGGATGGGAATGGTGATCAATTCATTCAGGCTGCGGCCCACATCCAGATTGCGTCATCATCCATCGATATGCATCGGAAGGACGTTGAAGAGATGCGCACCACAAAGACCCATAGCTAAAGTTTTCTTTTACTTCAACGAGGAGTCTGTCGATATAACTTTAGTGAAGACCCAAAGCTAGAGGAGATTTAGGCAAACCGTATCTCTCCAAGTCAAATTTTCCGAATTCATCATCAGTTGAATCTTCACGACCAGATATTGCCGGAAGTTGATAGATTGTATGTAATTCGTCGTGGGTCACAATGGTACCCCGAGTGGCAAAATGCATCACGCTTTCTTTCATGCGAGATTTTTCGACATCCGCAGCTGGTTTGGCATCCGATCGAACGATCTGTCTGTTAACTGTGCCCGCCCAGACTGTTGCGAACACGACACCGATAACTGCAATTGATGTGTTTGCCAGGATTATTTGATTGATGACCACTGGGCTAACTTCGCAGTAAATGACAATGATCTGGGCAACCGAAAAGAGTGCCGGAATGACGAAGTTTGAAAGCGCGATCCAAAATAGCGTCCTAAGTCTCATTCTAAATGAAACTTGAACAGAATAAGTTACAATCTATGAGGATACAATTAACATTTACACTTGGTATTGCCCGTGGTGGAACCATCGTTATTTTTCCGCTTTGACCAAAGTGTCCAGAGGAATACAGAAGATGCATATCTGAGAGATAACTTATATATGAGCTCCAATAAAAAGGTGAGAGACATCCACTTCACATATTATCCACTAGCTGCGCGAACCACTCGATCTTGAGATACGGAGCTGCTACCCAAAGGGCTGCCAAAGTTGCTTCTGCATTGGGTCCTTTAGCCGCTCTTGTTAGAGCTGCTATAAAAAGAGATAGATTGATAACACGGGCAACTTTGAGTAGGACGGGCAGTGAAACCAACGTCACAAAGCGTTGCCATGTGAGGTATCTTGGCGGATAAACGGAACAGATGCGAAAGAGTAGGATGGTATCAACAAGGATACTTTGGACCGCCCCAAGGAAGCCCATGATTATGTCATAGGAAACAGGGTATGGATGTGTCGGTGATAACATAGTATTAACCTATCCGGAGATGTTAATTTCCAACATAGCAAAGGGACTTTTAAAATTACTTACAGCTCTACTGTCCCCCATTATGCCGACAGAGAATGCCAGGCACACATTCAAAATGTTAAGAATAAATATGGGCTGTCTCCGTGAATGCTCGTTCGAAAAGTAGAACATTGCAATGAGGAGGGGTACGAGTATGACCGTAAACGTATGCCCAATCATGATGTCTATCAGTGCAGGTTGGATTGCCGCAAGATAGTTGAGACCAGGGGGAGGGGGAACTGACATCGTGATACACACACCCTTGACCCAGGGAAGATAAATACCTAGACGCTTGCTTCTGGAGGTGAAAGTATAGTTCTTATAACACTGGCAGACCGAAGCACTGCAATGTGACAGGGGAGCTTGATGGCAACGGAAAAATCTTTCAATTGGCAATTATCAGTGTTCAAGCTCAAGTGGGGCCCTGTGGGGCCGCGACGATGGCATTCTTGGCATTGTATGGAAAAACTGCCGAACCCAATCGAGAGTCGTTATACAATACAGCCTTAACCATAACCATAACGTCTTTCTTCTGATGCAGTTTGCCTAAGGAGACTAAACATTAACCGTCCGTCGTCAGAGAACATGTCAGACGAACCTCTAAGGATCTGAGGCATGATTGCACGGCAATCTAATTGCAACACAAGCGCTGGATAATAATACTATGAATGTTGTGCATGTTTTGTGGACTGAATTTTCTCCTACCATAGCTAAAGATCGCATAAATAATATTGGTATGAACCAAAATGGGTAACATATTAATTGCTTGTGATGGCTCACATGTGCTGTTTGCACTGGATTGCGGCTGCCGCATACATGGACATCAATTATATCCACACTCCGATCTTCCGAGTAGAGCCACGCTGTGCACGCTCAGGAGAATCAATCAGGTGATTAACATAGTTCCACCAATCGTCGGAGTTTGCATAGGGAGGCAGGATATGCTGTAAAGCGTTGTTGGTCCTGACACTCATGACGCTCGTTCTCCGCCTGTTGTCAGCTCGAACTTGAAGTTGTTCCCAATCATCAATAGATAGGACCTGAGCCGGCGCCTGTGATTTTCATACAGGATACAGCAATAACATCATGTCACCGCCCTCAATAAGTTTCCCATACTACATCTGGTACCATCTCCCTCATAACTGCGCAACATATCAGAGCTACACTATCGAAAACGAATGTGACTCACGTTTCCAATGATCAAGCGCTTCTCCTTCCTGCCATGTGTTCAGCGTGTTATGCGCATCAGTCAGAACGAACTTTTCTTCCATAGTCGGAGACCAGATAGAGCTGTCGCCAAATTGGGCGTGATTAATTTCCCGTTTGTCAAGACTGGATAGAATGTGACGGCGAAGATATGAGTGAAGATAGTCCTCTTCGACTGCAGATCGGAATGTGAGTGGTGTTGGAGATGGGGTACAAAAGAAGACCTATCGCGTGATCATCAGACTTTGTCCAAGCTCCAATGAGGGAACTCACAATATTGACGAAATTTGAGTGAAAATGCTCCAGGGAGATGGGCTCAACATGGTCATGGAAGGCTCTGCATTGCCCAAATGCTCGCAGCAAAGTTACGAGTATTGCTTGTGATGAGTCGGATGCAAGTTTTCCAGCAAAGTTCTGTCCGAATGACACAAGATAAGTGATATGGGCAAACACAATGTCTGAAACTGCTTACTACTGCGACGACGCCTTCTGGGCTTAGGATAGTCGTGAGATCATTCCAAAATTCGATAGAGAAGAGATGCTCAGGTACTCCCCCTCCAGAGAAGCAATCATGGATAACAACATCATACTTGATTGCGGAGGGGTCCTCAGCTTCTACCATAGCTCTCCTGCTCCTGACCCACCCTCTCGCATCCTGCAAAAACACATTATTGTTACCGGGATCCGATAGGCCAAAATACTGGCGTGCAGCATCGTACACAGCAGGATCGATTTCGATAATAGTTGTTGCTATGCCATGTTGGGCAAACGCATTTGCGGAGATTCCGGTACCAAGACCGCTGTACGTCAAAGTCGTCACTCTTGCTGGGCATCAAACAAGGTCACCACTTACATTATGAGCGCATTATTGCACTCTCCCTTCCGTCCCTGCGGAGTACTATTGACAAGCCGCACTGCCTCCTGGAGAACGAATGCGCTATAGATAGAATCTCCTAAAGGAGTACCATCTTGGTCGGTTAACGGAGAAAAACTGTCGAGTGTGGCCACTGAGTCCCCGATCCATACACCTCCCAGTAACGAGTGAGATGCTCGAAGGTAACGGATAGAGTGAAGAGGAGTAGAGCTCATGTCGGCTGGAGGTAAGATCTCGCCAACCACCACTACACCAGTCTTGGACTGGGTTGAATTCAGGATACGGAGCGGATATGTTGGACTGTTGTATGGTGTAACAATGGAATTTACGAGCGTCGGGGATCGGAGAGCTGGATTAAGATTTAAAAGCACAGTCAAGACTAGGGGAATCGCACTCAAGGCCACTGTGGATCGAGTGTTTCGGGCATTCGGATGAGTGTTATGTCTGCCCACATCGACTCTAATCCCACCGTGCACAGCAAGACATACACATCCCAATGCAGTGAACTAGATGAGTGAATGTGTTAATTGAAAGATGTTACAACTACAATTGCAGCTATTACGCACAATAACACTGTTCAAGGCATCTAGCGATAATGCACTGAATACTAGCATTAATAGTGGACGAAGCTGTAGTGCATTGGCGGCGAGTACTATGAGGGCCAAAGTAGGCTAAAAAGTAGTAAACTGGATGTTAGTCTAAGGTACATGCGCAACAGTTCTTCCCAGGACAGGCCAGGTGAAACTCACATCAACGCTCATCGCCAAAGACACTGAGAAGTACACAACGGGAGCCAATACAAGGGCATGGGTGACGAGAGGACTGTAAATGGGATCCTTGAACCTAGCAGCATGAACACTGATCCAATAAGAGGTGTGAGGTGCTAGAAGAAGTAGACAACCGAGAATCAAGAGGATTCTTGAACTCGAAAGATTTGGGGTAATAATGGCAAACGCTGTGCTCGTGTGTACGACATAACCAAGGTATTTTAGAGTCGGAACACTGGCAAACAGCGGGATGACCGAGTTTTCGTAGGCAGTCGTAAACAAAGAAAGCGCGACGCTCACGGCAAGTATGGAAAGAGAACTTTTCGTGCTCGTCCAAGTTGCCGACTCAGAGTTGGTAGACATTCGAGTGTAGTAAGGCAGACTTGGCCTTGCGGCACACGCTAGGCCTGGTTCACGGTGGAGCGTGGCAGTTGTGGGCAAAACATGATGTCACACGTCGCAGTTACTGGTAAATACTAATCCACGGATTTTCAGAGTAGCGACTTTATTATACAAGTGCTAGTTCAAACAGTTGTTACTATGCTCTAATGAACACAAGGGTCGAGGGAGTTCGCAGGATATCACAGATCCTATGCCTGGTCATATGGTACATAGGACTCGGATTTCTGATGATGATCTATATTCACAGGCGAATAGTCTCAAGAAGGTCATCGATCAGCACTTTCAATCTCCCCGCTTCGTAGGCAGCAGCGGTTGCATTTTTGTCCATGGTAAGTGCCTCAGTGATCCCCGGGAAAGTGGTGGCGCCATAGCCTTCCAGTGATAGGCTCAACCTTCGTTACAGGTGAAAAAGAGCATGACACTCACCTGACCACTTGCCAGGAGCTACGCCCAAGTGCTTGTACCACTCACGATCTTTAATACCGTCCTTCGATATGAAACTACGTTCAAAGGCGATCAATCGCTTATTCACAGCTTGCACACGTTGGATAGCTTTGACAAGGTGTTGACTGGGTGGTCTGAAGGAATTGCCTGTAAGCCGTTGTCCACCGAAAATGCGAAGAGACTCGCCTATGGGAGTGTTCCCTCTCCATGTCTTCGTGTTTGTCTTTCGATTCGCACTGGTGCTTTCCAAATACCTTCTTGAGTTTGCAGCTAGCCTTGTGAATCTTGCGACGGATCTTGTGGCAGATAGCATGCTTCTTTTTGATTTGCTTGAGTATCTTACGGAGTTTAAGCTCCGCCTTGGTCTTTGCAGAGTCCAGCTCTAAACTGGCACTCTGCAAAGCGTGAAGGGAGTCTCGGAGAGGAGACAGATCAACGTCATGGGAGCCAGCGGCTGCAATAGAAGTAACCCTGAAGGTTCCCAATCAACTATAAATCGCCTGTAGGGAAGCCAATGGTGCATACTTGTCGAGGTATGATTCTAACTCAATGGAGTAATGGGTAGTGTTGAACGGTAAAATAATATCGCCAGATAGACGAAGCACTTGTAGGCCAGTATGTTTGGCAATAGCAACCTGTGAATATGAAGCTCATGTGAGCTGGTAGGAAGCCAAGTAGTACTCACATGACGAGAGAAACCAGGATCACCATATAGCTCTTGCCAATACTGAGTGTCAAAAATCGAGTGGTAGTGATACACGGGATCGTGTAGCGTCGAGGTGAATCCATTGTCAGTACTCGGCACCTGATATCATTGGTCAGGTGTAAGCTGCGGAAAACATGCTTTGCTATTCATTTACTTACACCATGGTATTGCAAGAAGACGGTATAATCACTCCCGGATCCCAACGGACTCACTCCAATACTATCAGCTGTCAAACGTTTATTTTCATGCATCGCAGCAATTTCAGCGTCCGTATGCTGGCCGAAAAGCGTTCCAGAATCTCCGCGAGCATCCCAAAGGCTTCGTTCCTCAGAGGTAGGGTGGGGAATCTGCTCCGCCGTTTCACGAAAGAGATGCGCAAGCAAGGGAGATCCTGAAGCCTTGAAACGGGAGCCTGATGCAGAAGTATCTGAACATGAAGGTTGAGGTTAAGTGCACAATGAACGTTGCAAACTAGTCCTTCATACCCATGTTAACGTAAGCCACGACATGGTTCTTGATCCACTCCGAGAAATCTTCGCCCCATTCTGTGCTGCCAATCAACCCAAACTACGCAGATGACTTATTTGAGTATGGTAAAATCGGCGGATTGAAAGACAGTCTCACCTCTTCGCCGTCCCAGCTTGTAATAAGAATCGTCCTCAAGGGCTTCCATCCTTTCTTTAATAGGACCCCAAAGCCGCGAATTACCTCTGAAAGAGACACAGTGCCTGAGATTGGATCACTGGCTCCTGTGACCCAAGCTAGAAAATATCAATATTTGCACAGGGATCACAAATGTCCGTAATTACTCACCATCTCGGTGGGCACCTATCACGACCACCTCGCT